GAGTTTGAGACCCCTGAACTAGAACATCAGTGAAAATGTATAATATTGAGGAAGCAGGATTTTTCTTGAGATATTCGATTTCATAGTGTGTTTTATATAAAAAGTTAAGAATACATGGTTTCTAATCAAAATGGTTAATCCTCTCTGACTGAGATGATTAATATGATAGACATGGTACTGGAGACTACTGAATTCCTTTGTAACAGACTGATAGGGTTGATGTGTTATATATGCATTGGAATTATTAATTCTCGGCATTTGGTGCATATAAATTATAGCCACTAACATATCCACCATGAAATTTTTTTACCTCCTTTTAAAGTGATTTTGCTAGCAGCCATTTCTTCTGCACAACAGAGTGAGTTCCCATTGCTTCTTCCCAGCTCCTGCCAACCTTGCAGTTTGAAAGCATGCACGTGCAAGTAGATAAAAAGGTACCACTTCGGTGGGAAGGTAACAGCGTTTTGTGCACTTCGGTGTTTAGTAATGCTGGCTTTATGACCACAGAGACTGTCTGTGGACAAATGCTGGCTCCCTCGGCTAGGAAACAGAGATTAGCACTGTCCCTAGAGTCAGATATGACTGGACTTTAATGTCAAGGGGAAACCTTTACCTTATTTCTTCAGTTGGCAGTGAATTCTGCAGGTTAACAAACTAGCAAACATTAGTAAATATTAAGTATATTTGCAAATTAGTAAGTTTTGTCTATTCTGAATTTACTGCCAATCAATTTAATCAGATTATCTTGAGTTCTGGTATTATGGGAGAGGTGGAAATGTTCTATTCAGATTCTCTGCACCATTTATAATGTAATCCCTCCTCCCATCATCTTTTTTTTCTTAACTAAAAAGTCCCAACTTTCTTTATTAGGAAGGTTCTCCAGCTCTTGAGATTATTTTGCACCTTCTCCAGTTCTACAATATCCATTTTGAAATGGAGTGACAAGAACCACAAATATTATTCCAAGAGTGATATATATATATATATATATACATTGCAAGATTGTGTGTGTGTGTGTGTGTGTGTGTGTGTGTGTGTGTGTGTGTGTGTGCATTACAAGATTGACAGTTCTCCTTTCAGTACTTTTCCTAATAGTTCCTGCTGTGGTTACTCTGCTAATTCAGTCACAAAAGAATGTGTTTCTGTGTGTGCATGAATGAAGCAGATTTGTTTTTGCGGGGTGAGCTGCAAGTGTGCAACAATTTATACTTGACATTTTGCTGCTCACTCAAGTCTCATTTGTCATTTTTCTGCCTCTTCAGATCTCATTTGTCTTTTTTCTTGCACATTCACATTTGGATATATCCGCTGGGGCCTCTTTGTACCACCCCAAGCAATGTCACACCATTTGAAATTCAGCCATTTCACTGATCACCTAACTCCTAATTATGTATGGAGAGATTAAACAGCACATGGCCACCTTCAGATCCTTATAGAATGCCAGTACTTGCCTTCCTCCATGTGATATATCTCTGCTTCCTGTTGAAATAGTTACTAATCCATAAGAGCACAGATCCTCTTATCCCATGAAAGGCTAGCATTCATTGTACACTGCTTGAAAGCAGGCACTGAGATTAAAAGTCAAATGTTCAAGGAAAACATGGCAAGGACAATTTAGTAGGATAGAATGGCACCTTCAGCCCCGGGGTCATGGGCAAGTTATTTGGGGATTAGCAGTTCAAGCTTGGACACATTTTGCCAGAAGTATCTGTACTCCATGGTATGCTGATACATAGTATTTTCCAGGGCATACTGTACTCACTGCTTTTTTGATATGTCTGAAAATTTAGGAAGCAACAAGGAAGAATTATAAAGCAGAATACTGTTTTCCTATTATGGCAGGCATTGCCTAGGAAAGAAGAGAGTCCTTAGCATGTCAAAATTATCTGATTAAAATAATAAACTTTGAAAAGCCTCCTAGCATCTCCAAGTTATCTTCACCAAACTTTTTCAGCATATACTTTGAGAAATCACAACCTGTCACCTAGAAATTCTAGGACTATTGGGTTTAATTTTAAAAAGATATTTTGCCTTTTTCTTTTTTCTTTTATGATGGTCAAAACAATACAACCAGACAGTTAAAATTGCTGTTTCAGTTCTTCCTGTCCCCACAGTTTAGTCTATGTAAGGTGCCTCAAGCTGTACCTGTACCTGCCAGTCCACGGAATGGACTGGGAGCAGTTTATTACAAGCAGCTGGTATGCATTCTGTACAGCTGACCTCCTGTGCCAAGCACAGGTTTGTCTTTTGCAAAAAAGGCAGCCATCTTTCCCTTTGTTACCTGAGGCACTTGTGACAGCACTTGGTCTAGGAGGTGCCTTTTGCTTGGCAATTCTTCAGGTTTTTTGTTTTTTTTTTAGATTTGGCCTCTGGTTAACACATACCAATGTAAAATAAACTGAACTGAGAGTAAAGCTACCTCTTCAGCAAAATAACATAGTAGCATTTTTCCTGAACTCCACCACTATAGAATATGAAAGAGGGGGTGTACATTTTTAAAAGATTTCTTCATATAGAAAAAAAATCCCTGCATATAAAAAACCAGAGCATCACATTTTCTGATGTTTTGGCTTTATATGTGCAATTTCTGTTTGAAAAACAACACAGGGAGTACTCAGAAATGTAACACAATTGCTCTCAGCATATTGGAAGCATTTATTCCAGAATCTCTTTCTGAGGACTACCCAATATGAGAGTCTCGGACTACTTTTTGGACCCTGACGTTTCAGTTTTTCACTCCATACCAGGGACTCTCCACAGGTCATAGTTTTTTCATCCAAATTCTTAGCTTATGTAGAAAAAAAATAGTCACATAGAATCTTCAGATCAAAATGTTGTGGCATTATTTAAGTTACGGTCAACCACAAAACCATGGAATAAATATTACACTGGGTCACTGCACCAATTAGTGCTCATATTGTAAATGCATACAGACACAGCAACTTGTGTGTCTGGCTAATCCCTTCTAATTTGTGTTCCCACTAAAGCATGCACTATTTATTTTCATTGTATATTTTTAGCATGGTTCGGAAGCTCATTACCTTGGACATCTGTTTCTTAGTCTATTCGGACCTATTTTACTTCAATTAACCTGCTGTCCCCATGAGTAGACTGATGTTCTTAGATTCCGCTTTCTTATACATTCCCACAAACTTTATATTTTTCATTGTAAATCTTGTGCTTATAGGTTAATATATCTTATTTGAAAAATCAATGGACTTTCAATGGCTGTCAAATTGTTTTAGGCACACAAAGGTAGTCACATTGACTATAGAAATAGTTCCAGAATTATATGAATGTAATAACCTTATTAGGCAAGAAAAAGGTAAAGAAATGTGCAGGGTTTCAAGATCTCCAGATTTCTTCATCACTTGGATCCAAATGTTATCTTGGTATCCATCTGTTGAATATTATTATTATTATTATTATTATTATTATTATTATTATTATTATTATTATAACATTTCTATGCCGCCCCTTGCCGAAGCCTCGGGGCGGCTTACAACACAATAAAATACATTGAAATACAATAGAACATAATAAATTACCATTAAATACAAAAATACAAAAAATACACTGAGTTTCAAACATAATAATATAAAAGTAAAATTAACAGTATAAAATAGGTAAATAAATAATATAGGAGGAGAAAAGAGAAGGAAGAAGAAGTTGCCCTGGCCAGATCATATATTTTAACAATTAAAATGATGTTTAAATAAAAAGGTCTTTACCTGGCACCGAAAAACCAGTAACGACGGTGCCAGGCGGACCTCTTTGGGGAGTGAATTCCATAGGTTGGGCGCCACCGCAGAGAAAGCCCTTCTCCGAGTACTTACTCTCCTAATTTCTTTCATGGAGGGTTCCCGGAGAAGGGACTCTCCCGCAGATCTCAAAGGGTGGTCGGGCATATACGGATGTAAGCGCTCGTTCAGGTAGCCAGGACCCAAGCCGTTTAGGGCTTTATAGGTCATAATCAACGCCTTGAATTGGGCCCGGGCTTCAATGGGAAGCCAGTGAAGCTGACGGAGGACTGGAGTCGTGTGAGCATAACGCCCCGTCCCCGTCAGCAACCTGGCAGCTCTATTTTGCACCAATTGAAGTGTTCGGACCGTCTTCAGGGGAAGCCCCACGTAAAGCGCGTTACAGAAGTCTAGGCGGGAAGTCGCCAGCGCGTGTGTCACCGTCGCCGGGCAGTCGTACTCCAGGTAGGGGCGCAGCTGATGAATCAGCCGAAGCTGAAGGAAGGCGTTCCTTGCCACCGCTGTCACCTGAGCTTCCAAAGAAAGCTCCGGGTCGAGGAGTACTCCTAAGCTGCGGACCTTGTCCCTAAGAGGGAGTGTTGCACCATTCAGGACCAGGTCAAATCCACCCTCTCCGAAGCCCGATCCGCCAACCAACAGGACCTCCGTCTTGTCTGGATTGAGTTTCAGTTTATTGGCCCTCATCCATTCCATTACCTCGGCCAAGCACCGGTTCAGCACAGCCACTGCCTCACCTGGATTAGTGGAAAATGAGAGGTAGAGCTGGGTATCATCAGCGTATTGATGATTCCGCAACCCACACCTCCTGATGACCTCTCCCAGCGGTTTCATATAGATGTTAAATAGCAGAGGGGATAGAATGGAGCCCTGTGGTACTCCATGGCATAGCTGCCATGGCGCAGAGACATGGTCCCCCAGCACAACCTTCTGGAATCGACCGTTGAGATAGGAGCGGAACCACTGCAAAGCAGTGCCTCCAACTCCCAATCCCGCTAGCCTATCCAGAAGGATACCATGGTCGATGGTATCAAAAGCCGCCGAGAGGTCCAGAAGAACCAACAGGGATGCACTCCCCCTGTCCTTCTCCCTGCACAGGTCATCGTACAGGGCATACGAATATAAAGCAGATAGATTTCATGACTTCAGTTTCAAAACTTGGGAATTTCTGGAATAAAATCTCTGGTATTTACAGTATGGTATCAGGCACAATTCTATGGTCAAATAATTTAATTGTTTGATTGACACTACCACATATGAATTTGGTTTCCTAGAGTTGGTTATAATGAACTAAGAGAATATTAAGCTACATAAAAACCCCAGATTAACATATAGCTTAATTATATTCCAGCCTCCTTAAGATGTAAGTTGTTTGCAGTTAGATAGATTTGTTAAGTTTCCAATTTTAACTGATACTTGCTGCGCTAATATTCACTAATAATAATAACTAAAAGAAATTCTCTTTAAATATCAGGATAAATGGTATTTTAAATGACTTTAAGGATCAAATTTTAAATCAGTGGAAATGGACAGAAAGTCAGATGAAGAGAGCTGAACAAGAGCAAGCCCATCTCACAAATCAGCTTCTTGGCACAATGAAAGATAATCTGGTAAGAATATTTATACTTACTAAGTTCTGTAGAACTAGCACTAAAATTAACCCCTTGTGGATGTACTATACTCTTGTAAAGAAATCTTTCCCTACAAAGAATACTGCACACTGAGACCTGGTTGATATTTTCAGCAAAAGCCCAGGTACAGTTGTTGTATTATAATGAATGAGGAGGAGGAAAATTCAAAGAGAAATTGGTGAAAGAGATCTCATAGGATTAAGAAGCAGTAACAAGAATGAACTCAGGGGTCAATGAAGAAAATCCATGTAGAACAGGAGTGGGCAGCTTCTGCCCAGTGGGCTTAATCCAGTCTGTGTAGTTTGGGCTCCCTCCACAGTTTTTGTTTCCCCCCAAACCCCACTACCCTTGTCATCTCCACCATAGAAGGTGTCAAGTTTTGTTACCCAAGATTTGTTACCCAAGATTCTATAACCAGTGTAATAGTTTAGCCCTGCCACTTAACATATTGCTGTGGTGACAAGAGCTAGTGTATGGGTTTGCACAACACAAAAGTCTCTTCAGAATTTTAACCGTGCACTGTGGTTAAAATCCATCCATAACTGACAGAAGATCAGGTGCAAGAGGGGTTGCGTGGCTCTTCCCACTCCCCAGTGCTCCCACAGCAACCCATTCAGCACTCACCACAGCTTGGCTTTTTAAAAAGCCTCTCTGTGTTATGCAGTTAGGAACGTGAGGGGAATTGCTCTGCCACTCCTGCCAAGGGGTTCCCTGTCTTTTTGACTCGACCATTGCTTATTTTGTTATCTAGGTTCCATGGATTTATTAAACCATACTACAAGCCATGGCTAGTTGGGTTGGTTTATAAGCGAGGTTTGTAAACACTCTGCAGGAAGGGTGCTGCATTTAGACAACAGCCTGAACCACCATAGCTTATAAACTGCCATGGCTTAAAGTATTGTGTAAATGCAGTCAGTGTAAAAATATTACTTCAATCCAATAAGGCAATTTTTTAAAATGTTTGGATTTTCACATATTTTCTTTTGTTATGGGTACTGCTCCTTCAGTCACAGGCAAAACCACAATATTTTTGGCTTAATAAGTCTCCTGCAGAAGGTAGAGGGCTTTCTTTGTAAAGTGCTGCATTCTAAATAACAGTTTTGGTTCTTGGCAAATGAAGAACTCTTGGATCCATGCAACCACTTAAGTAGAGTGTTTGGTGTCAGAAAATCCCTGTTCCAGGATCAGGACTCTCAGGGTTTATCTGCATTAAATTTCTCTCACAAAAGTATTGATGTGCTTGGAAAAGTTCATTTCCTAACTCAAGTCAGAGGAGGAACATATCCAATGCTTCTCTATAGAGAGCAAAGAGCTAAATAACTAGCCATTATTGGCACTGTATGGCATAAATTTAAATAGATATTTTAATATGGAGAATGATACAAGTTCAAAGTCAATGTTAGCAGTCTGAACAATATCAAGTATGGGAGTGCTTTGAATGTCAAAGGCAAACTGAATGTGGGAGACACCCCACCAAACAGACATGGCAGAAAACAACTAAACATTTTTACCCATCCCAAACAACATGGTACGCTCCTCTTCACCAAAAGTCATTGCAGAAGCAGGACATGGCCATGATCATGGATAAACAATGCACACAATGCAGCTCACACAATTACCAATTTATTTATTTGTTTAAAGCATATCGGCTCCGTTCCACAGCCAAAAGTCTTCCAGGGTGACTTATGAAGTTCAGAAATAGGGTGGTCCCTGCCTGAATGCTAACAATCTAAAAATCAAAAGGAAAAAGTAAAGGAAAAGATTAAGCAGAGGAAAGAAGTAGGCAGCAGATTTTTGGAGTCAAACTACGCATGCAGGTTTAGCAATGTGAGTTTTTCATTACTTGAAACATAAGCACAGGGGATCCAGTCCAGAGTGGGAACATAGTTTGAGGGTCAATGTGTGCATATTAATCCTTTGTCCCCAGCTGTGGTCATGATCTGGAAAGACCAAACTCTGCCAAAACTTTGCAAGTCCAGCAGAAAGCAAGTATATTTTTGTGGGGAGGGGGCAGTACACTCCATAGACTGTTGTTGTTGTTAGTCGCGAAGTCATGTCCGACCTATCTCGACCCCATGGACAACATTCCTCCAGGCCTTCCTGTCCTCCACCATCCCCTGGAGACCATAGATACAGGAGGTTTTACAAAGTTAATATACAGAGACAATTAAAAGAAGCAGCAGTGCTCTTAAAACATATGTGCCAGATGGCACAGCCTTTCCAAATATCCTCACAGAAATAAAGCCTGGGTTATCAATGCTTGCTACAGGAATACAGTTTTGGATACCATTTTCTACATTTCTTCATTGCACAGACATCATCTTCATTCCTGTCTCTTAGCTACCATAGTTCATAAGCTAGGGACATGTAAATACTCCTGAAAGTAGTTGGTAAAAAGCAGCTTGAAGAACAAAATTGCTATATAATTGGAAGGTTTTTAATCATTCCTTTCTGTATCTGACTATGTATTGCCTGTTCTGTCTGCTCCTTACCACCTTGTCATATTTTGAAACAGTTGTTGTTTGTGTCCAGTTAGTCCATTACTTGAAATAAATATAATGCCTTTTTGCTAAATATGTATTCTGGAAATTTTCTGTAGACATAAAGCTCTAGCAAAATTTGTTAGTGTTTTCCAGTGAAGTTCTTAGTGGCATATTTGATGTAAGGTGATTATCAGAATTACTTAATCTCACTGAGTGTGCTGCTTTGTCCTATACAGTACTGCTGAATATTTCACAAAGATTAAACTGTTTACAAGCTTCCTACACAACCTTAGGAACTGCTTTGTTTATTTTACAGCACTTCCACCTCATTGCACACCCATTAGCTCCCTGGGTCTGCAATCTATCCATCACTATTAAGAGGCCTGTTAAATTTACCGATTCTTTCAGCAATAGGTCAAGGGACATTATCTGCCATAATGAGAAGTGCAGGCTGAAGATCTATTTGGCCAAAGTTAATTTTGCTGCTAATAGGAAATAATGGAAGGATACACAGTACCACCGCGAGATGACTGGAGACTAGATCTTCCTTTTCAATACTGCCACACAAGTAGATATTCAAAGTAACCGGGGCTTTCATAATGCAACAGTGTTGCCTTCATGATGGTAACAGCTCACAGAAGTATATGAATGAGCAAGATATTTATAAAGTGGTTAAGATTGTCAGGGCCTGACTACTTACGATTTCAAAAGGATTGTTTCTTGCTGCCCATTCATCATGAGTGACCATCCTTAATGACAGGCAGTTTAATAATGTGTATCTTTCCTTTTTGAGAGCCTGTGTAATGTAGTGGTTGCAGTGTTAGACTGGGACTCAGGACATCTGGGTTCTAGTCCCCACTTCACTGGCTGACGGTCATTCAGTGAGCTCCATGACTATTAGAACAGCAGCCTCCTTGCTCCTGGATCAGCACTCTGTAAACATTACACCCGATTGTCTCTGAACCCAACCTGAATTCTTGGTTGCCATACAAAAGTTAGAATTCCCCATTCCCCAAACAAAATACAGTGATGCATAATGAAATTAGATCATACATGAATTACTCAACTTGAAATTTAAAATATAATTTGAAGTGTTTATACTAAGTTTTTACACCAAAGAACGCACAACAGGGTATGGGAAACAGTTTTAGTCATGATTTAAAGCCTGTTTTATGGGACAGACCATACAGTTCTTATCTTGGTAATTCTATTAATTTATCATAATGCCTCTTTCAAAAGGAAACAGTGGAAAAGAAAATGGAAGATGGTTTGTATTACCTCTCCAAAAGGATAGAGAGTACAGATAAAACAGTGCAATTTGATACAGAGCTGAGCCAAGTGAAAAATGATCAAAATAAACTCCATGCAAGGATTACTAGATTTGAAAAACTGATGTGGAATGAATTGGAGGAAATCCAGAATGAATATAGATCAGGTGAGGTTTCAAATAAAGACATATATTTTAAAGAATCCATCTAACCTTCTCATTCTCCAAACATGCTTATTATATCAGTTCAAAAAGAAAGAAGTTCATGTTGTTGGGTGGCATTAATAATCCCCACATGTCTTGGTGAAGGATGCTTCGATCACTAATAACAAAATCAAGCTACGGGTTGTGCATTCCAGCTGTAGTGGATGACTGTTTTGGCAATCGATTTTTCAAGAACCAAAAGCCTTTCCAGCCTTTCCAGATTAATGCAGTCCTAGTGAATTGAAGGAAAAGTAACCAATAGAATTAATTTCCTGGGTGCAGTCCTAGAATGGTATTGTGTTTCCCTGACTGAAGCACTCCATAGCTGAGATAAACATTCCCCAGAGAGACCTATCTTAAGGGTTTGGGCCCTGTGTAGCAGCAGCCCATAAAGGCTGAAGGGCTGCCTTTCTTCTTCTTTTTTCCCCTTGCTCTCCCCCCTGTGTTTGTGTGTTGTGGGAGGAGGTGGTGGTTTGGATCTCTTCTAGTTTGGGCAGATAGCTGAAAAACTGTAATATGCTGAAAATGCCCTATTCAGGCTTCCAGTGTATCTGCTTCTCCAGTTATTGTGATCCCTCGTTTAGTAGCAGAATATATGGGAAATGATGAAGTATAGCAATTATGGACAGATTATTTTTTATCTCACTTTGTTGTGCAGTATATCAGGGAGATGTGTGTGTAGGAAGATAGCAAACTATTTTTTTTCATCCAAGGAAAGCTTGATGAAGAAAAAAAATAGGTAGATAAAAGATAGCAAAGGAGTTGATTTTTAAATTCCACTTACATGACATGAAATAGAGCTGATTAATTTGGTATACTTCAGACCAAGTGAGATGTAGCAGAAGGAATGCCAATCTTTTAAAAAGAAAAAAGCAGTCACGACCACTATTTTTTAACCTGACTCAAATATGCCTGCTATTCTCCAGGATTCCAATCCATTCGTGACTCTCTCAGTGCACTTAAAAAAATACAGACAACAAAATTGAAACTTGAGGAAGAGAAATTCAAACAAGACATGAAGAAGATGCGACAAAAGATAACTCAGCTTCAAGAAGCCTAATGTCCTTGGCATTTGCAGTTTTGCCATTAAGGGGAAGTGTTCAACGTTAAAGAAAAAAAATAGTTTCTCAGTCCTACAATATCAGCCCTGCTTTCCTGGCTCACTAAGATATTAGTAACATATTGTACATTAGCATTGCAATAGACCATAGTAGATCTAAGTCATACATTGATTTTAGTTTATATGTCAGGGTTCTTGTTTTTTTTTTTTTTTTTTTTTTTAAATCAAAAGCTTCCATGACTTGCTGTACAAGCAGTTGCTTGATCTACTTAGGCAACTGGTTATTAACTGAGCATCCACTGTTAACATCCTTAAATTCTCAAAGTATAAGCCTGTTTTCTGGCCTCATATATATACTGAGAGGAGGCCTGCTAAGTTGTTGCAGCAAATGGTGTAATTGTGTACCAGTGTCATATACAGAAGGATAGCTACATATATTCCCCCAAAGAAAATCCATCCTAACTTTATGAAATGCTTTTGTGACTTCACCAACAATCTTTAAAATTCAGATGTTTGATCTTACATGCAGTCTTCCTTCTGTACTTTGCTGCTTTAGTTGTATCACAAAGGGAACAGTGAGGTAACACTGTTACAAAATGTCTGGAAAGATCCCAGATGGTTGCAGAACTGGAAAGGAAGGAAAGGGGAATGGGCCACTTACTGCTGTTCCTTGATCTCACCTACCTCCCTACATTTTCTTAGAAGGAGACTATAAAAAAGATTAACCACTGTTTTTTAGATGGTTGTTCAGTCATGTTATGATAGCTGCATGAGAAATGGATGGATTTTCTTGGACTGACCCACAAACAAACTAATTTGTTTTGTTAAAGAAAGCAAATCTGTTTCAGAAGCCAGACTGTGGAACCAAGGAAGAGAATACCCCCCTCCCCACTTGTCAAAGTGCCTTCCTTACCCTTTCCTTCTCTTACCTGCATTCAAGAGCAGCTGTGGAGAGCAGAAGGTGGGGGGGGGGTCTTACTTCCTGTGTCTTTCTTCCCCCACATTCATTTTCCTTTTTACTGATCTGCCAGAATGACAGAGCAGGAGCCTTTGGGAAGCATGCCTCCCAAGCGACACTGCTCTTTCAATCCTGATGCTCTCTGCAATGCATCAAGAAGAAAGTATGGCGGAGGACCTTCCTCCCCCACAACTAGATCCCCATATGCAGGTAAATAAATGTAAGGGTGGGGAAGGATGAAAATCAGGAACTTTTCTTTATTCCATAATGTAATCCATACCAGAAAAGTTTTCGAGGATTCTTAAAGGCATGCCTTCCCTTTTAAGAATTGCAGTTTCTGAGGCAGGCAAACTTCCATGCTATCTCTAATCCATACTCATGTCTGTGTTCTGCATTCCTGTTGGATCCTTCTACAAAAGAATAGCAGATATTAGAAGAAAAAATGTTCCTAAAAGTTACACATTTCATAGTCCTCATTAGAGTTTTCAGACCCAAGGTGTACAAATGGCCATTAAAATGTCCATAGTTTATGCTGGTTGTGGACACAGAATTTCTGACATTCCTCAAGAAACTTCCTAACTGCATTTTGCAATCAGGCCACAGGAAGAAACAAATTAGCAGCAATGTGAGATCCACATCATACTTAAATGTCCCCTAACACCCAAACGAGCGTATGCAAGAGGATGAGTTAGAGCTAAAGTTCTGTTTCTGGGATAGTAGAATAAGCTCCAATACAATATGTGCCTGCTTTCCAGAGAACTCTTTAGCATTTCTATAAAATTCTGTATCTCTATATAATTTAAAGCTCTGAAGAAATTACTGACTTTCTTCTTCCTCAGTCTCAGAATTTATAATTTAGGGATCACATTGCTTTTATGTAATGTGTGATGCAATGTGATGTGAAGTACTGGCAGTGAAAAAATCTTTGAAAAAAATCTAGAGGGGTTTTTTGGCATAAGAAGGAAATTGGTAAATTTAAAATATGGAATTTGACTCAGGGCATTTCCTCTGATATGGTGGCAGTAATTGGCTTGTATTTCCCTTCAAGCAGTTATCCAAGTATAGAATATCTTCTGTATTTCATATAAGTTATTCTCTCTCTCTCTCTCTCTCTCTCTCTCTCTCTCTCTCTCTCTATATATATATATATATATATATATATATATATGGGAGTTTAGGCAAACACGATGCACATCATTTTAAGACACAAAGGGCTTCCACAGATGATATTTACAAGACTTTGTAATGTGGAACATGAATTCTGGAAGTAAAAAACCGCTTCTCCTATGGTACTATTTTATATACTATGAAAACCTGAGTGTTTACATTTAGTGTAATTATCATTCAGTCATAATGCTTAAATGGCATATAAAGCAACAAATAAAATGATGTTGATAAAATGACAAGCAATTTAATTGATGTTAACAGTAAAAACCCACATTCACTAAAGTTCTAAACTGATTAGATACTGATGCATTTGTGCCAAGAATTTCATTCTCATGAGTGCTTGAAAACTGGAAATGCTATTCAAACAATGCTATTTATTTTCAATTAAATCATTGAAAGTATATGATGGATAGCAACAAATTTAAGTAAATCATATTTTAATCAATTTCTTTACAAGACTTCTGGTCACTCAGGATCTTTAGCTGTAGACCAGGAAGATTGTCTGATAAAGTTCTCATTCATCACTTGAAGAGATCATGCCGTAGAATTCTGTGTCTTAGAAAATTGTTGTATATTCTTCTCCATATTAGCAAATTCAATAAATGAATGCCATATTTTTAAAAAAGTGTAAATTTCTACTTGTCCTCTGTACCTGCAGATGTTCAATGAGTTTCTCCATTAATTCAAGCTCCCAGATTTTCTATTCCCATTTTGTAAATGTTAGTTCAATTACTGATTTCCAGTTAGTTGCTTTGACTGAGCTGGCTGCTGTCCAGAAACAGGAAAAGAGCTCCTTATGTCCTCTTTGTGAATTAGCATTCATATAAAAAAATAGTAGCCCGAGGTTTGCAGATAGTCTCATATCATGGTCATGTGACCTCACTAGCCAAGGCAAAAACCTTCGCTCCGGTGGGCAATCCTACCACATACCATTTTGTGAGCTGCCCCGAGGCTTAGTTGCGATGGGGGCGGCATAGAAATATTTTAAATAAATAAATAAATAAATATGTAGGCAGATATTTCTGGTGGTTCCACACTTCCAACAATTAGGGCTCATATGACAATCAATGTAGCTCTGCTTTAGTGGCACATCACATCTTCAACACCTTTTCTTTCACTTTGTGATATAGACTTCAGGCTGACCTTAGAACACAGTGCTACTCACCATTCTGAACTGCAGTTCAGGTCCTTTTCTCATGTCAAATTTGCTCCACTGCCTTGCTATTAATTGTAGCATTTTACATCTTATATATTTGCACCTAAAGCTTTTGTTTCAGATTTAGCCCAAGGAATTAAACTTTCAAATGCATTTAGTGGGCACATAACCTGTGCTTTTATGGTCAGTGTAGATGTGAAATGAAGAATGTATTTCTGAAACCCTGGAAATTGTTCTCTTATCTGTGTTCCAGTTCCTATTGTACAGGTCAATGAGTCCATAAACCCTTTTCTGCCCATTTTACATGTTGCTTAAATTTGTCTCTTCAATAAAAAGGTGGATTGCATAAAAAAGGGAATAACGGGGGAGGGAGAAGACAAGTATTTATTCCATCTTTGCCAGGTCCACATCATCATGTTTAAGAAGGCTTTACCAATCACCGAGCTTTACAATGGAATGGTGTGCCCCTTAATACTTCTTTCTGGTCTGTAGGTATCACAGTACTAATCTTATGTTTAGTTTGATCATCATGTAATAGATAAATGAGTTCTTTGAGCTGAAAAGCTTAACATTGAGATAATCTGGAAAATCCCAGGCCCCTCTTTTACCATCTTCAGGTAAAATGTTTTCATTGATCCTGGCTATTTTGAGTTTTTCCCCAAAAATAACTGCTGTCTGTTATCCATGTTTATAAGTAAACTGCTATATTTTCCTTATTTGATTTGCATTCCAGCTGCTTGCCTGAAGTCTTTTAATCTGCACAGCCAGCCTTAAGCTCCTAATAGCATTTGATAGTGTTAAAATGATATTATCTACAAACAAATTAATGAAATTTGACTGTGAATTAATTTGAATCCCTTCTGTTAATGGAGAGCTACAAAGCAACTTTGCTAAGTGTTCAATAGAAAAATCATAAAGTAGTGTGGATCAAGGACAGCCTTGTTTGGTTTCTATTTAACCATATTTCGAAGGGAATCTGTTCTATTTGTTCTTATAAGTATTTGGTTTTGAAAATGTAATTAAGACAATTGTGAAATCTGTTTTCCATCACTATATTTTATTTATTTATTTATTTATTTATTTATTAAAACATTTTTATGCCGCCCCATTCGCCGAAGCCTCGGGGCGGCTTACAACATAGATAAAACAATAAGTTAAAATATCCATATAAAATAATCTTAATTAAAACACACATTATAAAATAAGCCACCCTGGCCAGATAAAATTCAATTGTATTTAGCATTTAAAATGTTGCTTGAATAAAAAGGTCTTAGCCTGGCACCAAAAAACAAATAACGACGGCGCCAGGCGGACCTCTCTGGGGAGCGCATTCCATAACTTAGGCGCCACCGCTGAGAAAGCCCTTCTCCGAGTAGCCACCCTCCTAATTTCTCTCACGGAGGGCTCCCGGAGAAGGGCCTCTCCCGCCGATCTCAGGGGGCGACTGGGCAAATATGGATGTAAGCGCTCCTTCAGGTAACCAAGTTATGCACCAACATATGCAAGTAATGTTATTCTAGCTAATCAAAAGCTTTAACTTTATTTTATGGCATAAGGATTTTTCCACTTCTTGTGCAATGCTAAAGCTACATTAAATATTATTCTTATCAGGTCAGCTATATTAAGCCTTCCAATAAAAGCAATTGTATGTGCAGCAACATCTTGTGGAGCTAAAGTAATAGGGTGGTATGAAGGAAGCCTCTTTAGGGTTTTTCCCTAGTTTTTGTAGGACTGGGAAATTTGTCAAGAGTGAGGCACTGCAGTATCATAATTTTATTGAATAGCTTTATCATATATGGTGTTAATTGACCAGTAGGCCAAAATTTGTAATATCCAGATTTAAATAAGACTGCTTAAGATAGTATTCTTTAAATAAATAGGAATGAAAAGTCTTTTTAGTTTAGAAATTTGCATCTCCATGCATCTATGAATATATATTGTTGTAAAGTATGGATTGTACTACATAGGGATTGTTTGTTTAGGGAAAGGAAACAGGGTCAACTATTAAATTCAATTCTGCACCTATTATTATCCCATCACTAAATTAAAAATTTCAAATGGTTTCAAAGCAGATGCACAAAAACGTTTTGTTCTGCATTAAAACCACAGATAGTACCCAAGATGAACTTTTGTAGTGCCAATATCTCTTTTAAGAAATATAACCCTCCTATTTTTAAGACATCTCAAAATGCCTTGTACTTTCAAAAAAAGCAGCTTTAAAAATATAGCTACTCCTCTAGCATTAGATGAACTGTTTGCATCGTAAGTTTCTCTAATACCAAGTAAATAAAAGTAGTTTATTTACCATATCTTTCTTATGGTGCATCTCTTGATAAAACAATATTGGTTTAGTCTACATAATCAGTTTTGGATCCTTCTTTGCTTTTTAAGACCCTAAGCCCTTTGCATTAAATATCATAGGGTTTTGTTTTGTTTTTGCAACCATTATAATTCTTCATCATGAACTTAAATATGTTTCAAATCTTTTTATCTCTCCCTCCACAGGTTCCCCATGTCATCTTTAGTCATTGTAATACAGGAAGAATAGCATAAGACAAATCCCAAGTTTCCTTCCCTGCACTGCCTCTTGCTTCCAGGAATGGCACCACGGCTATTTGCTTCTGACAAAAGGAGAACAAAATAGTCATAAACAGCCTCCCCACACACACAGTTAATTACAGTACTAAAACTACAATAGTGAAATCAATCTTTACTTATGTCCACATTCACCAAAGCTTGACAATCATGAAGGCCTCTCAGATTATTTATTCCTTGTCAGACATCTATTTTGCAAAAGGATTGCTTCTTCTAATGGACTGTAAGGTTCTTGTTCTTAGTTTAGTGGCAGCTGCAAAAGCTTCATAGAATCAAAGAATAGTAGAGTTGGAAGGTGCCTTGAAGGCCTTGGGCCCAACCCTCTGCTGTTGCAGGACACTGATTTACACCACCCACTCAGATGCTGTCCAGTTTCTTTTTTAATGTCTCTGGTGTGGGAGAGCCCACTGCCTCTCTAGGTAGCTGGTTCCACTGTTGTATTGCTCTGACAGTGAGGAAGCTTTTCCTGACATCTAGCCTGAATCAGGACTGGCTCAGCTTTGACTTGATTATTCTGTGTCTTGGACTCTGGTATCAGCAAGAAGAGACCTTCCTCTTTGTGACAGCCTTTGAGGTACTTATAGAGGATTATCATGCCCCCGCCCCCCCCAGTCTTCTCAAGGCTGAACATGCCCAGTTCCCTCAGTCTCTCCTCATAGGGCAGTGTTTCCAAACCCTAGATCATTTTTGTTGCCCTCCCTGGACCCTTTCTATTTTTTCTGCATCTTTCTTAAATCTTGGTGCCCAGAACTGGACACAGTATTCCAGATGAGGTCGGACTAGTGAGGAGTACAGGGGGACTACTACTACTCATGATTTGGAAGTAATACTTCTGTTAATGCATCCCAAAATTGCATTTGCCCTTTTGTCAGCTGTATCACATTGTTGGCTCATATTTAGCCTATTGTCTACAATTACTCCAAAATCTTTTTTTTCAGTTCTTTTGAGCCATCTATTCCTTCTTTTATCAATGCATTTGGTTTCTTTTTCCTATGTGGAGGACTTAGCGCTTGTCCTTATTGAATCCTTCTGTTGCTTTCAGCCCAGTGTTCAAGTTTATCAAGATCGCCCTGGATCTTCATTCTGTCTTCTAGGGTGTTTGCTATTATCTTACCTTGTATTTCCTCATCCAAATCATTATTAAAGATGTTGAAGAGCACTGGGCCCGGGATTGACACTTCATTTTCTTCCTACTCTTCTTCCACACTTGGTTATATTTCTTCTCTGTGATCCAAATTCCTATAGATCAAGCACTCTTTTGCCTCCCAGTATTTATTACTGCAGTAATAAATCAGTATTTATTACTGCAGTTGTATCATCAGGCTGTGTTACATTTTTGAAGGGGTGACTGCAGCAGTATGTTATTCTACTTTTATGCTGTTTTTCTATGCAGTATTGAAAGGTTTTGCCTTTCTAAAGAGTTGCTGGGCTGTTATCTTGGAAGAGCGTTATGTCAGATTGATTATACTAGCACTTTTGGCCAGCCTGGGTACAAGATACAATAGCATCTTTCATTTCTAGGCTTGCTGAGTGAACCAATACATCCTGCTGTTTATTGTTGTTTGGCAAGTAATTGTCTGATACTATACATTTCTTCTCTGTATCTCTTTGGGATATTTGAGCTTTGGCAAGGACACTAGCTGCATCCCACCCTTCCACCAATTTTGGTATCTCCCTGAAGTAGGGATTAAATATGTGGCTTTCCAAAGACTCAATACATTGCTGCAGCTCTTCAATAGCCTTTTTCAGCCTAGTCTTAGCTCTCCTGTTTTACAACCACAATTCCACTGCTTCAAAAGCTGTGTTCCCAATTGCATCAAGTTTGGCAGCAACTATTTTCATTCAAACAGGTGTGGTGCTTTAATCCATTTCCCAATAGAGCTTTTGTATTTGAGAATTTACTATCTGAAAGGGGTGTCCTTTGCTGCCTTAAATGCTTTTTGTACCTCCTTCAAAACAGGAGGCAAGATCTTTTTTATTTTGTGATGTTTCCTGAAACACCTCTGGACAGAGTATTCATTTTATGGCTTTTTCAGGCACACTCTTTGCTTTCTATTTCCATTATTTTACAGTGTATGCACGGGGAGTAGGCTACCATCTTGGTTGCAAGCCAATTTTACTTGCTTACAAAAGCTTAGTTATGAGTTGGGGGGGGGGGCATTTTTCTTTTCTTCTCTCTTTTTCGTAAAAAATATTACTGTCTGAAGCTGCAATATCAAGTAAAAGGCTGACATAAAAGGCTTCTTAACCCTATGTTTCTACTAAAAATATTGCCTCTGGCTTCTACATACTCTTTCTGTGGACAGGATACAGGTAATTGCCTCTATTTCTTCTCTTCAGATTGTAAATTTTAAAGATAAATGGTACATTAGGAAATATTAAGAAACTTCATGCTACTCTTTTCCTTCAAACTGAAACTTCAAAGTTGTGTGGGAAAAGTCTCAAACGATTATGGAATGACAACTAGCTAACCTCAGAAAAATTCGATCCAACTGCTTTACACACATTTAGTCTTAGATGGAATTTTTGGGCTGTATTCCAAATCAATCCAAGTCTGAAAAGACTTTGTACTGGTGCATATTAGCCTACTTTACTCAGATAAAGATGTCTTTCAAAACAGATTATGATGCAGGAAGTTAAGTGATAAGGCAAAGTTTGTTCGTTTGTTTTTTCATTTTCAGCAATTAAGCAAACATCTATATACCAGAAATCAAACTCAGGCAACAGACACTTGAAGATTTACAGCACATGACAATACTCTGAAAGATGCCAATGTCACAAAAGATCGATGTGGAGAGCAGAGTGATGTATTCTTTTTAATTTCATAAAGACACTTATGTTTTGTTGAGGTCCTTAGAAGACTCTGAGTTTTAGAAGACTAAAAGAAAATATTTTAGGAAAAATGGACTTACTCACCAGTACCATGTTATAGAGGGATTTACTTGTAAAGAGCAATAAAATGGATACTGACATAGATAGCAAAAGCTTTGGCATGCTCTAGGGCAGCCTTTCCCAACCTTACTTCAAGAAATGTGAAATAACAATTTCCTTCATTTCTGACCAATGACCAGGCTGGGGCTGATGGGAGCTGTAGTCTAAAACATCTGGAAAACACCAGATTGGGGAAGGCTACTATAAGATAAATAATAACTCAATGATTTTGCTTAACATGAGATTATTAAGGCTGTGTTTCAAAAACAGAAGCATGATCTACTCTGCACCATACAGAAATCAACTATCTGTGCATGGAACCTCTCAGATACTCAAGAGATTAAGTTGCACACAAATCAAACATCAACTGAATTGCAACAGTTTAATGAAAGGTTCCTTTGCAAATATGCTGGAAAATTGCTACAACTTGTTTAATAAAACAGTTCCTTGGACTTTAAGGAATAATTGCTATGTTGCTGTTGATTCCTTGGGCATCTAGAGTTAGTCTTCATCTGTCTGACTCCTCAATGGAACTCATACTAGGATGCTTCTGCTGAGAGTTTCTTGTTTAGTTCCAATGCTCGAACATCTCCATTAACTTTTGCATTTGCCACCAGAGCCTATAGAAGAGTACAGGATGGTGGGGAGAGACAATGGTACATTAGTGCTAATGCTTACATTCACCCTAGCAGTATGAGAACTAAAAGTTATTTCCTGACTAACATGTCAAAAGTTAAAGGGGGCACTTGATGACATGACTTACCCCAGGAATAATAGATAATATGTCTATTATCAAGGTAACCCATTCATGGACAATCTACTTCCATGCTATATTTCCATGGCAATTTGGCTACCATGTGAACATATAATGAAGAGTTGGGACACACAGTATTCTTTGCCAAAGCATCAGTGCTCCACAAATGCATATTCTTTTTATTCTTAATGTATTATTCTTCACTGCTTGCTGGGAGGTGCAAGACAGTGCTGGACCCCAGTACTGAGAATCAAAACATGTCAGTTATCATTATGGTTGCTAAAGAGGTTGTAGTAGGAGCCTGGCAGGTTTTTGGCACTAACAGCTGTCCACTTCTTTTGATGACTCCTTGTTGCCACCCCAAACATGCACTGTTCCTGCTGGGGAGCAGAAAGAAATTAGGAAATCTTATGTTTCTTCTAGAGACCAAAACTAAAGCATGACCGAAATAGAAGCAGTGCTACAAAAGCATGCATTTTCTTATGGAGCACCGGAGAGACTGGAGAGTTCATTTGCTCAGACAAAACCACAATTCTCTAGTTTTCTTAAATGACCTGCTAATTACCACTTGTCTGCTTTTTGCTAGTCACACATACTGCTTCACAATTAATGGCTGACAGTACAACTCCATGGGTACACAAATCCATGGGTACACATGGTGTAAAAAGGAAACCAGATTTCACTATTCTGAAGAATGGGTTATCTACTTAATATATAGGGGTGAGGAACAGGTTTTAGGTGGGGCCAAATTGCCCACCACTGGGACATTCATGGACTGGACAGAGTCAGTAGAAGGGGCCACAATTTGCTGACATCAGCAGGTAGGGCCACGCACAAATTTAACTCTCCCACCCTCTACTCATTTTGCATTTTTCTGCACTGAGACAGGCATGGAATTCTCCATGGGAATGGTGACCAGGGGAATTCTTTCCAACACCAGCATTCTTTCCTGCTGGTGTTGGAAAGAATAATTCCGCAGGTTTTTATGGCACATATTATTCCCAAGGGGAAGTGCATGATCAGATTCTGTCGACTTTTCTGTTCAAGAGCCCAAGCTAGGGTATGCATTTACACCTCCCCGCAAATAGTACAATTAAATCTAAATAGATATGTCATATATATACAGCATATGAATACTCCAGATATTATAAAAACACACTAAGCTAAGAACCTTGTAAGAAACAAAGTTTTAACCTTGCACAAAAAGTATGTAAAGATATGTTTGAGGTTGAATTCCTGGGGAGGGCATTCCATACCTGCACCACAAAATTTCTGGCTCAAGTGCCAGTACATTAAAATTTCTCAACCAGTGGACACACAGAACAAGACTTCATTCGCTGACCTCATATAATAATAATCCCAAGAATTACTCAGCTGTGCCTAGTTCCTAGAAGAAAAAATCAAAAGCATTTCTGTAATAGTAACTGCTTACATCTATCAATTCATAATCATCTTTGGCATATAAGTGTCTTAAGAGATACCATCGGGCAACTGATATTACAGTTTCTGGATACCCAGGTTGATACACCACTCTTTCTAGCATGCGACGAGTTTCTCTACAAAGAAAAGAGAAATTGGAATACCAATTAGATGTTACAAGATATGAAAATAAAATTACTTGAAAATGCGGTTGAGTCAGTAGCATTTTAAAAGTTCAAATTAGGTCCTTCTATTCAAAAAGTACATTCTGCACAGCAAGTTTTCACACATATTTAAGGCACTCAGTACGAAGGAACAGAAAGAATCTAGATCCTGAAGCAGAAAAACCCTTAAATAGAAACATAGAAACAGAGCGAGGCAGAAGGGGCCTCCCGGGCCATCTAGTCTGACCCCCTGGCTCCAGCCAGCTCCGCTCACGACACGCCCACCATGGGTTTCACCTTGTCTCTATGTGTGGTCTCACCTTATCAATGTCCTTGTAAGTTCCAGTTTTCAACGGGAAGTGGAACAGGTAACAGATTGACAAGGTGCAATTGCATTCAGGCTAATTTACACACAGTTGCTGCGAGCCAGTGTGGTGTAGTGGTTAAGAGTGTGGGACTGGAACTCGGGAGATCTGAGTCATTGTCCCCACTTAGCCATGGAGCCAACTGGGTGACTTTGGACCAGTCAGACTCTCAGCGCATTCTACCTCACAGGGTTGTTGTTGTGAGGATAAGAATGAGAGGCAGAGGAACACTTCCCATATACCTTTTTTACTCCCCTAGCTACTGCAAAAAAGGGAGCCGCACGCTTTTTTCAGAGCATGCTTATTGCTGTGATGATTGTGGTTCCCTCACAGTTCTAAAATGCAAACAAATGCAGAAGAAACAACTGAGTTGGACCAAGTAAATGGTGTCTCTTTAAGACAATTAAAAATTGCTGAAGAGACTTGAACAATTTTCCAAAACTGCTTTTTGGAGAACCCTAAATTACACACACACACAGGCATCGAATGAAAAGCAGCAGCCATTCAAACATGGAGAGGGAGACAAAGCAGGTTCTGCTATGAAGGATACTGAGATACCAGCGGGAGGACTAAGAGGAAAGAGGGATAAAACAGGCCACAGAGTGCTGAATCATCTGTTGGATGCACCATGGGTTGTTTTGTGAACAACTCATACTGTGTAGCTTATTCACAGGGTGGCTTAGTTATGTGTGAACATGGGCCCACTTAGTCTTATTTCTTGGCTCTGAGTCAAAGGATGATTTCAGTGTGAATAAGGCAGGTGTATGTACAGCCAGAGATTTTGCTTTCTTTTTTTATATAGCAGTTCTCACTCCTAAGAAGTAAGACACGTTTCTGTTTTAAAAGCGTTGTTAATTTGGCAAGGGAAATTGTTGCAGTAGAAACCTGCCAGAAACCACCAGTTGAAAGCACCATCTCCTTCCTCATATCAGATTTTTATGAAGTCAGAGTTTTTAGCGCTTCCCTAGTTGGTATCCTCTAGGTATATTAGACTGCAACTTCCATAGGCTATACAAGCTGGGAATTATGGAAGCTGTAATCCGAGGCCACCAGCTTGGGGAAATGTCATTTTAGGCTATCTTTAATTGGAAATGTTCTCATTATATCCACAATTCTGACTAAATGTCATGTAACAGACAAACCAGTACATACCTGGAGCCCATTTTACGGTTGTATTGCAGAAGTGCTTGAAACAGAAAGGCCAGAGGGCAGAAGGTAAGTTTCAGAGCTTCTGTTGTGGCTTCTTGAATCAGAGATTGCCAATGATCTTTTGAAATATTAGCCTTTAAGCAGAAACAATGTTAAAATCAAAATGCACTAAACTAGCCCATGTGATGCAACATAACACTTTGCTTATCTATATTATTATTATTATTATTATTATTATTATAACATTTCTATGCTGCCCCTTGCCGAAGCCTCGGGGCGGCTTACAATTTTCATGTTATACTTAATCACTCTAAAGAATGGTTTGAATGGTTTATGCAGCAAAACAGGTTTCTAGAAATGTGGATACAATGGAATTAAACTTCCGTTGTCAATGTAACTAAACTTTCTTTCTGTGCAGTGTTTCACACAGCCTCATGGACAAATAAAGATGTTCATGGTTAAATCTTACTTTGAAAGTTTACTCACTTTCTTAATTCATGAAGATCATGATCTTATATTATTTCAAACACTCACATCACACGCAATTCACTGAGAAGTGCTAGTATATCTCTTATATGCCATGAACCACCCAGAAACTTACTTACCAATTTCAGGTAAGTTAATGAAGCATGTTTGATAAAGGATTTCTGACTCCACTAAAAAAACAGCACTCTACTTTCCAGTGGGAAAGAATGAAGAAAAAGCACTGGCTACTTCAGGCCCATTTATAAGGTATAAATTAATAACATTTGCACACTCAAATGATGACAGATGAAATGTGCTTGTCTAACAATTCAGTAATAAACAATCATCTTAGTAACTCTGGCTGGAACACTGGTAGGCAAGATGCCATCACATCTGCATAAACTCTGCTGCAATTTGGCAGTGTGAAATGCTGAAACTGCCTTTGCCTTTAGAATTAAGTGAAATGAAACTCCTCTGCACGGGCTTGATAGCTAAGAATGCAGTAACCCTCATAGTACACTTCTGATTAAAGCTGATTAGTGTACATTACTTGATCACACAATTTGTATGGGAACAACTCTTGCCCTTTATATCCTCTGATTTTACTCATACTCACGAAATGAGAAGCGCCCTATTGCATTTTAAACTCAGTTTATGTAAATCAGTGCAATTTATCATTTAATAACTTATCTCCCTTACCATGCAGATTTCTAGCGCAAGCTTAGCAAGTCTTAGTAGGCTAGAGAGCTTCCCACTCCAGTTGCCCTGCTGGGATGCCACCTGCAGACTTTTTCGGTAACACATTTCTGCAGCAACCATCATCCGCTGAGACTGGTACACTTGTGCCAGCCACTGGAAGGAAGAATGAAGTCCATTGCTCAGGCTGGCAACTTTGTTTTTATTCTTCTTCTACTGCATACTTACATTTCTAGTCTCATAATTTCATTAAGCATTCTTCAAAACAAACCAACCAACCCACCAGCAGCAAAGGTTACTTTAAAGCAAGTAAAACCCCAAATACAAGTATCCACAAAGTATCTTACTATTCTTTAGCACTCTAAAGTAGAAGTATAGAGCCAGAGGTCAGTAAATCTACATGGAGCTTGGCATTAAGCTTTACTCAATATTAAACATGCTGGACAGGTGCCCCTCTTAAGTCATGGAGATGAGAGCTTAAGCCAGAAACATAGCCTCTACATATAAACACAGCTTCCAGGGGTATCAGCATAGGTAACATCTGTGGATCACATGAGTGTCCCACTGCTTACCGGTGTTATCCAAAATATATTTACAAAATTAGGGAGCTGCTACCAGGGAAATTAATGTCACCCACAAAAAGCTGCAACCCTCCCTTTCCCTATTGTCATCTTTTTTTATAAGTTTTTTATTCGAAATTATAATCCTAAAAACAAAGAAAAACTAAAAACGACATCAATCATCTAAAACATCGGGCCTACTGGGTCAGCCCCCACATTTTTTTCCATTTATGATAGCTTAAAAACAAGTTTAAATCTATACGAAGACCTGTTTCTCTAACCAATAGTAAAAAGAGTCCCAAGTTTGACAGAAGTCAGTATCTTCTTTCTCCTTCAATGATAAAGTCAATCTATCAATTTCTGCACAGTCCAAAATCTTTTTTAAAATCAGTTCATCGGTGGGTGGTTCTTCACTTTTCCAGTGTTGAGCAATCTTTCCCTATTGTCATCTGTAGGCTCTCAGACAATTATTATAGTTGCACTGAATGGGATGGGATGGCTGCCTAGTGTGTGTGCTGAGGGGACCAGCAGCTTGAGATGGGATCAAGAGGTGACCTGAGCAATGCAAGCCAACCTTCCCTCTCTTTCTCAGCCTCTGCTAGGCATGCCTAGCTCACAGTCTATCGGGACCCCATCATTTTAATATCTGCAAAGCGAAGCTTTCACCAAATACAGCTGCACCTGCAGCTTCTCATATATGTCCTCTGTGCTTACTAATAAAATCCCCTTTTTCATACTGGCCTAAGCTACCAGAATTCTCTTTCCATTTCTACTCAACTCAGCAAGACCTGCAAGTAATTATCTTGCTGATGGTAGCTCTTTACCTACTCTGCTTTGCCTATGCCTCCTGAACCTTCCCATACTTCCCCTACTGCTCCTGCCATTCTGTATCCCACCCCAGCTGGGACATATCTGAATGCTGCCTTGCAATGGGAGCACACACTCTGCTGGCTTGGACACCCTCTTCCGTTCTGTGGGCCCCAGCCTTCATGACTGGGCACAGGGAAAGGGCAATTAAGAGGCTCTATGCCGAAAATTCAGAGTGCCAGATAACACTGTAAGAATAGCCCTGCTGGATCAAGGGTCCAACTTTCCATTTCCACAGCTGCTAACTAGGTGCCTATGGGAAGCTCACAAACAGGACAGCAGCTCAATAACACCAAAGATATTCAGAAACATGCTGCCTCTGACACTGCTGGTAATATAAACTCACCATGATTAATAGCTATAAAGCTGCCACACAACTCCCTTATGGAATACAGAGCTGCCCTCTGGGAGCTTTGTCTCCCTTTTAACCATAAAAAGACCTGCTGCGATCTTCCTAATATCACTGTGAGACAAGACAGCGTTACACGCATTGTGGAAGCGCTCTTTTAACTTAGGTAGTTGGGTGGGAACAATTTTAATTCACTGCAAGTCAGTGGCTACTTGCAAGTATGAATTTTTCTTTGTTACACCTAAACCAACTTCCCTCTCAGGAGGCCTTGGGAAGGAGGGAGAGGCCTGAGAGAAGGGGCAAAGCCCACAGAGATTCTTCTGTAGGCCAGAGGGGGAACCTCTATGGGCAAGACTCAGAACACAGGCCAGAGGTTCTCCACAGCTGCACTTAAGTCTTTACACTATCTGGTCTGAATCTTCTAGCTATTTATTTTCAAGCTTTCCACTTGTTTGCTACAATTCCATTCCCTTTCATGAATCATTTGATGTTCTTCCTACTCCTGCCATTGTGCACAAGCTCGATTTGCATCTGTTCCTCTTCATCTCTTTTTCATGTGAAAGGACCTTTCTCTTCTAGGCCTAAGCTCATGCATGGAAGAGAGCATGTACTGACAAAGATAGGTATCTACAATTTTGCACTTAGCAATGATATTCTTGGCTAAAAACACAATGGTCAGAACCTAGTAGTCTGATGAGATTAAAAGATGCAGCAGCTCAAGGATCAAATACTTACATGGCCATATATTTATGTGTAAATGATACAGATTTGCCACCAAGCCACAGATAAAAAATCTTAACATGGTTTTTCAAACATCCCTATACTTCTGTTCGCTAAGAAAATGACCACTTTTGAGGATGAGGCACCACTAAAATCATGAGATCTAGCAGCACATTCTGGATATTTGTATTTAACTCCAGGGATAATAGGGAGGGGAAAGGCAAACTTGACTGCTATTTTTAGTATATTTAATAATATTTTATGTCATAGATAACGTGAACTCAGTTCTCCAAGTATGAGGCTTGCAGAAGTACAAATGAGGGTATGCTCAGTGGACACAGATTGCAGGCTGAGCATTTGGAGAATGGAGGAAGAACAGAATGTCTGGACACTGAAACACATTTTCCATATTGTAATAATTTTTTTGCAACTTCCACTTGTCCAGCATTAATGTGATTTGAGCATAGAACACTGAAACCGTTATAATTTTCTGTTACAAAATAACATGACTGTTTTTTTCTCTCAGTGGGACTGTTTAAGCTTAGAAAAAAGGCAAAGAAGGGGAAACATGATAGAGGTGTTTCAAATAATGCATGGTGTGCAGAAAGTAGAGAAGGAGGCATTTCTCTCCCTCTCCCATAATACTCAAATGCAGGGTCATACAACTTACAGTTAAACTATGGAATTTGCTGTTATGGGAATTGGTGTTGGCTGCCAATCTGGATGGCTTTAAAAGGAGATTGGATAGATTCATAAAGGAGCAGAGTATCAGTGGCTACTAGTCCTGCTGGCTAGGTGGTGCCTCCTTTACCAGAGGTGGCATGCCTGTATACACCAGTTGCTGAGGAGCTTGGACAGGAGGAGGTCTTGTACCCATCCTGCTTGAGTGATCCTGTGAGCAGCTGGTTTGCCATTGTGATACTGAGCACTAGACATGATGGTCTGATCCAGCATGGCTTTCCTTATTTTCTTATGTCCACACATGCATGCATGCACACACACAGACAGAGAAAGAGCGAGAAAAATGTTGTTGAGGAGCTCTAGTAGATGAAAATTACTTTGTGTTAAAGCAAAAAAAAAAAAAGATAACGATATCAAAGTTATCTCAGATGCATTAGATATGTCTAAGTCAATAAAATCAAATTTATCAGGCAAAGCTTTGTTATGTAGTAAGATTGCATTTCATTCCAAAGGGATCCTGTACTTATTTTATGATTTGGTTTTCGGTACATGTTAGCAGTGATCATACTAGTGGAACTGCAACAGGAAGAAAGAAGGCAGCATGTAGTAGAATAGGTGGGTAATTCTATATCTGAAATACATCCCCTCTAGCCCATGTGAATTTGTATTCTAAAGATTTTTTTTCTCCAGAAACAGTGAAAAAACAGCTCTGTGTTTAACCACTATTTGTTCTTTCAGTTCTTGGTCACAACATTAAAACATTTTTGCTTGCAATAATGAAATGCAAAAAGCCATATTCTTTGGGCAAAGTATCAAGTGCATTTCAGTGCAGAAGAATGGCATCAAAGTGAATAAGAAAAGGCTACTTTGATTCTAAAGATCAACTGGAGAAGCTACCAAGAGCTGATGTGCTGAGGCAGGGTTAGAGTTATTGACAGTATCTATTCTGCCACAGGCAGCCATGTCAACTTCTATTGACGTTAGGGGTGTGATGCTGAAGGACAAGTAAATAGCCTGACTGTAAAACCTACTCCACCTGCAAAACTATGCTCTCTTTCTTCCTCTCACTGTGTCTGTGTCTCCATGCAAAACTGAGTGAGAGTGGGAGTGAGGAGGCACAAGTACATACTTTCCCGGCATACCCATGTGGGCAGGCATACCTGTTGGGCATACACAGGTCAAAGATCCTGCCAGCCACGAACTTCCCACAGTCTTGGACACAGTTAGATTGGATCCAGATGTAGGTGTTTACAAGGGCCTGGTGTCCCTCCTGCTTATGTCAGCCCCACCCCCAACCCCCTGAAAATACTACACAAGAGGAAACCACTACTGATTTTCTTATGTGTCGTAGAAGTATGTGTATATTTTCATCTCAGAAAATCATCATTATGTGTTATAGATTTCATTTACTAGTACATTATGTTATTTACCTCATTTCAAGACTACTAGAAGTACAATACATACTTGCATTTTTGATCTTTTAAGTAAAAATTAGACATTGATTCATGAGCTGTCTTATGTGGAAGGAAGAGACTTCATGCAAGCAGAAGGGAAAAGTCCTTCCAGCTGATTTTTGGGGATCCCTCTTCCCCCCACACCACAGCTCATCCCGTTCAGCAGGGTCTCCTGACTCTCTATATAGCATTTTCTATGGGCTGAAGGGGCTGCACTATGGAGAGAAGAGAATGTGAAAGTCTACTTCTTCTAGCACTATTGACCCAGTGTAAACAGGCAAAAGTAACCAGAACAATTTTAGTATCAGAACTAATATTGTATAATATTTAGTGTTTTATTTGGTTGACTTGGGTTCTTGCTTGAATGGAAGCACCCATTTTTGGCAATTTTCCCAAAAAGCTGAGAAAGACCCATTCCAAATTAAGTGGAGGGTTTCACTTGTCAAAGCTGACAAAATTTAGTACCTCCTATAGTTTTGCATGGCTAACTATAGCGTTCAAACTTCTGAGTGAATTTTTAAAATCAGCTTTCATATTACTTTCTTATAAGAAGCAACTGTTATGCTGGATTGTAATCAGAGATTAAAAAGAGATCTGACCACAAACAAATAATTTCCAATCTTACATGCCAAGCTGTAACTGAAGAGGAGTTGGACATCACAGCCTTCCGCAGCTCTTCTAGGATGGCATCAGGAAGCTGTTTGTGAGACTGCATAAGGGGTTTACACTGAACTTGTCTTAAAAGCAAGTACAACATTGGTTGTTCGGGAAACATTTTCAACCCCTAGAGGCCAAAAGAAAAAAAAAAGGTTGAGTTTCAAGGATAAGTAGGGTCTTTGTATGAAGAATACAGCTTTGAGTGACTCTGAGGGTCTAGGCCTCTCAGTTATTAACAATCAAAAAAGGAATGTGTGTCTCTTACAAAAATAGATGCAAAAAGCAAGGCAGTAAAACACAATTATTATTAAGCTGGCCATCAATACATTCTTTGCTGAAACCAGAATTCAAAACAATGCCCACAATCAAAAGTCACAAGCCCTCCTTCCCCTACCCCACACATTAAATCATCAGTTGTTGTGAATGAAATGGAAGCAGGCAAGTATACTGGTTCTTACTGTTTGTCCTAGCTATGGCTAGAAAACACAGGGATGGTCCATCTTTGGGCTGTTTAGCATGATGTCTGACTCAATATTCTGGGTTGTTGAAGGAGAAACAATCAAGACTAGAGCCCAGGGTTTAATCTGTGAAGCATCCCTAGGTTGTTGAGCAGGATCAGCACACTTACTTGCATCTGCTCTGTTTACAACAACCTAATGGTTTAAAAAAATCTAGTTTCTTCCAATTTTTGAAAACAGGCGATATTTAATAAGTAATTCCTAACACATTTTGGTAAAGAAGTAGAACTGCAGAACAAGAATATTCACAGACATGTTTTACTAGAAGACGACACAATTACCATCTTAATTTATCGCTGAGTAAATTCCCTTAAGGGTGGCAACCAAAAAGTGTCAGAAAGCATTCATAAAATAATTGTATTCTGTTGTGTTTTTCTCTTGCACTGGTTATCCTAGGAGATGTTTAGTTAGATAGCAAAGAGTTACAACACCTTTTCCCCTTTGTGGGAAATCAATAAAGTAAAACCTCACATCTTTGGGTCAAGCAGAAAAGAAGATGGTATGGAATTGTCCTTCTAACTGACTAGGCCGTAATGCATGTATCTCAGCTCTCTACTCAAAGATTCACAGCAGACACTATCCTGAGAATGATCATACCTTTGTGCAGAGCGCCTCGGCTTCTGCGGCTCTGCCTGTTTCATTTAAGCCAGTAATAGCTTGGAAAAGAGACCACTCCTCAAGAGCTTGAGCATGGGGAGCTGGAAGATCCTTTTCTTTAGCTAGAAAGCATGTAAAGTATTATTTCTCAAAATCTCAAGATTTATTTGCATCTAAATCTGGAGTCTCAGTACCAGAAGCTATGTTCATGTGATAACGAAACATGCAATAAAATACATTTTAAATTAAAACCACTCTTGCATTGGTATATAATTGTATAGCATAAATTGTGTTATGTATATTTAAAGGCTTAGCTCCTTGTCAAGCCTTGGGCAAAGATGTGACCTCCTCTCCTTACTGACTCCACAAGCTCCCCAATGCTTAGCAGCCCTCTTTTATCCTTGAGCTCAAGTCAATTTCTGCATGCTGCAGCTACAAACACAGCAGGGAAGGAGAAAGACAAACCCTGAATTTGCTATAATCTTTGTTTTCTGAATGCACATAAAGCAGCCTTGAGTTAAATTTCCAATTTTTAAGTGAAGGTTCACACATTCCTAACAAGGTTCACACATTCCTAACAAAATGATTAACTAGATATCGGTATTCATGTGAAACACTGCCAGAACTGCTAATACTTTAAATCATAACAGTGCATTCATTCTGTCTGATAATCTAGGTCCTTACATTTACATATTTTTTCCATTAGAACTGTGACAATGTCCTTTAACACCAGTAGAAGCACTTATGGTATAAACAGTATAGAGAAAAGATAATGCATAACATCTATCAGCTAGTCACACTGTTTTTCAGGATGGTCAAGACATGAATGAGCGCTTATTTATATACAGAGCCCCATGCTCCTGCAACAGACATGTAGGTTTAATCTAGCCATGTGGCAGGAGGAGATAATGGACTGTACCAGGCTGCAGGTGCGGCCACAGGAGATGCTCCACTATGTCATACATTTCCGTCAGGTAAAACACCCCCGCCCAAAAAAAAAAAAAAAAGTTCTAGCCTAATTTTCTGCCAACAAGAAGTTATTACACTTAACACGCCCTCTAGCTGACATCTGAAAGTTCTATACCTTTATTTTGCTACCTCATTCCACTGTATCTGCAGTCCCATGTGAGAGTATTGGGTGTGGTACATAAATGTAATCATCATCACGATAATCAAACCAGGTCTTTTCCCCAGCTTTTCAACTCAGTGATGGCAGTGACTATGTCATTTTTTCTATGATGATGGACTAGAACTGTAACATTTCTGGAGTGGTTCCAAGCAACTTCCAAATTTTGGAGTTACGTTTATGGGATTTTGTGACTTTATCTACATTAGACAAACTGTGCTGCACCCAAATATGTTGGTATGTTCATGAACTGATCGTTTCATTTCAATGACTAAGGCTGGAAGAAAAATTCTGAAATCTTCCTTGCAAAATGACATATTCATACCAACAATAAATCCTTACTTTTTATTGAAATTGTAGCTACAAGCATTTCCATTAAATGTGTTCTCTTGGGCTGTGCATTATGCAGACAAGCAACTGTGTTTTCAGCATGACAGGCAGCCAGGAGCACTGCCCAAGCAGCAGCATCATCTGGAAAAGAAAAATTGAACTGTCATTTCCCAGGTATAAAAGTGGATGTACCCAGGGATACAAAACCTAAGTATTAAAATGGATACCTACTGAATCTATCATTGCCTAGCCTAAAACAGTAAGAATCTCATACTGGGAGATGCAGATTTTTCCATAAACAGCACAACATTGTACAACTATTTCTGCAGGAGTACCAACACTGAAACAATTCAGAATACAAGAAGGGGTTATATATAGAGCTTAAGAGCTGAGTAAAACTTGGTTTCTTTTGCTTAGTCTGCACAGGGAGATACAGATGCTTAGAAGAATTTCAGGGTCTTTATGCTGCTCTTTAGGAAGAGGTTCTCATAAACATGTTTACTTAGGATCCAAATATTATAAACAATGCATCAATACAGAGCCAAGTAAAAAATTCACACCAAGTTGAGATTTTAGTTTTTATTTCATCCATTTACACCAAAAGCTCAGAGCCGCCTACTAGAGTATGAAATAGCAACACACACTGTAAATCAATAACCTACAACACAACTCCATTTCTCCTCTAACCTCGGGATCAGAAATTAAAGCCTCAGTCTTTCAACCCCCATATTTATAGTCTCCTACCATCCCACTTCTGACAAAAGAGAAAGAAAGAAAATTTGGAATTTTGTAATTTAGAAATCTAGTCATTCAGAAAAAAGATTCTACAAATCAACAAGTATCTACCACCTTTAGATGGGACTCCGACTAGCTCCTTCCAGCTACTAAATACTACTGTGCAATTTCAATTCTATTAACCTTCTTTTACCTAGTGCATTACCCAAATTTATGTTCAGCCTTACTAATAAAAAAATGCTATGTTTCTGTTTACTTTTGCTTTCTGCTTGCCAAGCAATATGGGTGTTTCAGCTACCTACACTACTCTATTCCTTCTTAAGACTTGGATGATGCTGACTTCAACATCAGGTCATCCTTCCTCACTCCTTACTTTCTCTAACATTTTGCCCAAAAGAGATCTAGTGATCATAAAAGTTTGTCCACAATTTTGATCGTGTCAGCTTACCTTTATAATAAAGGGATTGCTTGACTGTGAAATGATTGGCTTATTTTGAACCAACTTCATTTTGTATGGACCAACTTTGTTTTATGCATTGTGTGACTCAACAGTCTTCCAGTAAAGTCCCTGAATCCTGCCTAAATTTAAATACTGTTAGTTTTGGATGCAGAAGTAGAAGTCACCTGGGGAAAGATGGACTGCCTTTTGGATATTCTTCAATGCATTGTTCTTTTCGTTTTCAGTTGTATGAGATCCTACAGCCAACTGATTAACTGCAGTATTCATCAAGGCTTTCTGAACATGGGAACATATTACATATGATTATTCTTGTATTTTAGAAAATCACGCTAAATTTACCATGTAGGAAACCTTTTTTAATAGGAAAACACTAACCTTTCCATGGTTCAAATCAAGAATGTGAGCAACAGTTCCTGCTGCAGCGCCACCCTGAGAAGTAAAATATCGATCAGCGTAAGACAGAGACAAGTATGACATATTAATGAGCCAGAAGAATTCTGCTGCCCTTTGGATCAATACATGTGAAAATGTCAAATAGGTCAGTACATTTAAATATTCTAACTTCTCAAAGGGATTAATAAAACTCAATCTGCCACTAGCTCCCTTTGCTCCCCGCCCTTTGTACATCTTTGCTGACAAGGGGAGACAAATGGTGTCTCCACAGACAGAACAAGCACAGAAACTCAGTGAGAGATTGTACTGCTGTTGCAAGCAAACTCAGATAGGTAAATCCAAGAGCTGATTTGCTGCAGCAATTACCTCCCATCATTATCCCGTATCCTTCAGAGAAAGCAAACATAAAATGAAGGGAGCTTCATCTGGAAAGTGCAGGAAGGTTATCTTCAATCTCCTAGGATAGCCCCCTAGCAATGCCTGTGGAGGACCATGGTTGGCTAAATACAGCAGCCCCTATTCTTTAAATGCAAAAGTGTCTATTCAATTCCCACACTCCATCTGTATCCTAAAATACCAAGGCAACTTTATTTCCCCTGGAGAGCTCTATTTCCAGGGCATAGGTTCTGGCCATAGCTACAGAAAATTTTCATCGATCAGAGCTAGTAAGCATGCATTAGAACCATGGAGTGCTTTCAGGGTCTTATCTGGGGTGGGTGAGAGCTTAGCAATGCTTTAGGAAGCAGCCAATCGCTATCATCAATAGAAACATGTTGATCTCCTAATAACTACCCTAGATACTTATCAAAGCATTCAAGGTCTATTTATAGATAGATAGATAGGTTTTAAGAAGCTTAAAAAAGGTATTGTTAATACACATTTGAAAAACAGAGCATGTTGAAAACTGCTTGTCAAAATAATTCACAGTTGTGTACAATTGCTGATGCTGAGAACTTGTTTTAGTAACATGTTATCTATTAAAATTGTAATTAAGCATATTAGCAAATGCCCATATATGTTTCACCCCATGCTTATTCACCTTTGCGTTCTGTGGTGTATACTGCGGTACCAGTTGAGATAGAAGAGACCACAGGGCAGGATTATCTGGATTGCTGGAGAAGAGACAACAGCAGGACTCAAATTGCTATATTCTATAGTGTAAAATCCATCGATAAAGACTGAAGTTATAAAATGTGCTTTTTAACTAACCATTTGTAAGCCAACACTTTCTAACTTACACCATCCATTTATTTGTTTGTTTGTTTGTGATATTTATATACCGTCCTATTGCAAAAGCCTCAGGATGGCTTACATAATAAAATACAAATGTCAATATAAATAAATTATAACAAAGTGTCAACAACATAACAAATCGACCCACTCTGGCTGCAGTTAAAAATATAATATGAAAAATACCATATTAAAATATTGATGAAATAAAAAGGTCTTAACCTGGCGCCGAAAACCATATAATGATGGCGCCACGCGGACCTCTCTGGGGAGCGCATTCCATAGATGGGGCACCACCACAGAGAAGGCCCTCTTCCGGGTGCTCTGCCTCCTAATATCTTTCACAGAGGGTTCCTGGAGGAAGGCTTCTGCTGCCGATCGCAGGGGGTGGGAGGGCAAATAGGGAAGAAGCTGTTCCTATAGGTATCCAGGTCCCAAGCCATTTAGGGCTTTATAGGTAATAACCAGCACCTTGAATTGAGCCCAGACTTCGATGGGAAGCCAGTGGAGCTGGTAGAGGACTGGGATTATATGAGAATAACGCTCAGTCCCCGTCAGCATCCTGGCAGCTCTGTTCTGCACCATCTGAAGTATCCGGACTGTCTTCAAGGGCAGCCCCATGTAAAGCACGTTACAGAAATCCAACCGGGAAGTAACCAATGCATGTGTCACTGTTGCTAGGCAATCTTCCTCCAGGTAGAGGCGATGGTAGGATTAGCCGAAGCTGAAGGAAAGCGCTCCTCGCCATCGCAGTCACCTGAGCTTCCAATGACAGCTCCAGGTTGAGGAGCACTAGCAAGCTGCTAGAAAAAGCTTTAAAAAAAGCTTTTTTCTTTTAAGCTAGAAAAAATAACTTTTATATAAAAAGTAGTGATTTAAAATGTGGCAAATAAGTAAATGCAAGAACTAGTTTGAAAAATTACTGAAAATTGGGTTAGACTAAAATTTAAACTGAAGTTATACTGACAGGTCAACATTTCAAAGAATAAGGCAAAACTTCACAACCCCCAAAACATTTTCCTTATAAGTTGTAATTTGGGCTGAATGCACTTTCTTTGGCTCAATCCGAAATGTATTTTGCTAAAACAAGTATCAATAGCATTAGTTTTGGATTCTACCCCTAGAAAGTAACTTTTCTTAGTCCAAATCTGAAATCTGGATACCACTGCAATTCCCATGGCATCATTTGAACATGATGGGGCCTGAACACTTCCACGCGATCCTACTCTAAACTTTACTGGAGTTTGGATTTGCCTATTATGTTGGATTGACTAATGTTAAGTTGGAAGCACCCACAATTTCTTAGTTATAACAAATGATTTTTTAAAAGCAAACAAAGTTCATTCTTGAAATTGTTCTTCCTCTTTTACCAGATATCACTCCATCAGGTTTTATGTTCTTTCCCCACTGAGCTGTCTGTTCATTTTTGAAGAAGAGAAAGAATGGCTAAACTAAGAGTTCATTTATTTTATAGGAAGTCAGTGCTTTTGAAGTTCAGTCAATTGTTCATATCAAGCTGGGGATGTTCACTTGACATGAATCAGCGGAATTTGCAATTTTAAAAGTCTGGCTTTTGAGTAGATAAAACTTCTTTTCACCAGAGAAAGGAGTCTGAATACATGTACATATAAAGCCATGCAAAGTTTCACATTAGTGAAGCGTAAGGAATCTGGTTTAGGGGTGGGAATCCATCAGACTTTCTCAGCTAAGTTCCCTGGACTCTAGTTTGCTTTCTCTCTGCCCTAAACTCAATTTGCACCAAGTGTTTGTGTAGGAGTCCAGCAGGAAGTGAGTCCAAGTGAGTCTACAAGGCCATGTTGCACATGGGCTGCCTATACGCCTACTGAGCAAGTGAAGTTCTGCTTCTACACAAGTGACTTGCGGGTTTTGCAGACTTTGTGAAAAATAGAGTACTTTGCGCAAAGAAGTCACTAGAGTTTCTTGCTTATTGGTAGACTTGATCTTGGCTTGGCTCAGCCAGGACCAAGAGTGCAAAAAGAGTCCAGCAAATGTATCAGAGATGGATTTCGGCTTGATCAACCAATCCCTAGTTCACATTTCCACTTAGTTCAGTTCAGCTTTGCAGTTCACAGCGAAGTCTTGGCAAGTAAATCTTCTGAGCCTGACATACCTCACAAGGTGGTTGTAATGCCAAAACAGAACAGAAGGGTATGATATAATAGTAACATTTCTTTTTCAGAAAAGCAGATTATGTACCTGTGGATAGCTTTAGAAACTTGTCTCCGGACAGCCATATTTCTGCCTTGTAATGCATAGACAGCAGACGTGAGAAGGCACTTCTTATAATCATCTTTTCTTTTTACATGCTTTAATAATTCTTTAAGTGCTGCTGTTGCCAGTGTAGCATCCTGCTTTATCAGCCCTAAAGTGCATAAAGCTTGCAGACTTTCCACATTTGGTTCCTGTAATATAGAACTGTAAGTACAACACAGATAAATGGCTACTCAGTGTATTATTACTACATAAAATGTGATGGATCTGTTGTTAACTTGGCATGCTATTTAGAAATCTAAATGTTATTTGTCAACTAAAATTTGTGTGCACTTCTGAACCTGTGAAATGGTCCAGAACTACAAAATGGGAATGAGTCTTAGCTCACCAGTAGAACACTTTGCATGTAGAAAAAGCCCAGGTTCACGCCTAACATCACCCAAGCCCAACCATTCTACCAGAGATTCTTTTAAGTGGAATATTCCAAGGAGTCTACTTTGGTCTAGTGAAGACTTTTGAAAGCTGCTGCCAGCTAGAGTAAACAGTCTGGTTACACAATGACCAGCAATTTGACCTGGAATCAGTGAGCTTCATCTTTTCCTCCTCAGCTCTCTGATGACCCAATGCCTACTTCCAACAAGCAACTATATCCTGCTAGCATGTTGCTCAGCACCCTGCAGGAACAGGAGATTTACACGACAAACTATAGCAGGTGAGGTTCCTTGAAGATACTTTCTTCAGAACTGGCAGTGGCACAGACCAATTGTGTTAATGAATTCATGTCTCCTAAGATGTGAATTGTTCATTCCTAGGGATCTAGTCACACACAGCCTAAAGACCTCTCTGACATCCCTTCCAGTCATCCTGAAGTAATGAGATGGAAACATATATTGCAGAAAGCAGCACTTCAAAGATATTCCCATAGATATCACTGCAGCAGCTTCAAAGTGCCTGCAAAAATATGTGGGTTTTGCTTTTAAGTTGATAAATTAGGACAGCAAGATCTCCTTATTAAAGGTAGAGTATCATTGTTCATTAAAAAGGACAAAAAAGAATATGACTAATATGACATATTTAGCAATATGACTTTATGCATACAAAGCCAATTGTATCCACAACTGTTTTTGGTTTTGCTTTCAAGAAAGAGAAGATAATAGCAGCCTCACTCCCAATTAACTTTGTTGAGTGTGTCTCTCGGGTCGAGAAGCCTAGAATATTAAGCCAAAGGACGATCCCCATTAGTAGTTAAAAATCTGAAGTAGATGGAATTTTATTTTATTATTTATATGCTGCCTCATAGCTCGAAGGCTCTCTAGGTGGTTCACAATGAAATTATTATGGATTGTTTTTGTTTCCTCTGAGTAGACTCCCTCATTTAAACTGTAATATGCACAAATCATAGTTTGCCAAATCTGGATGGAATGTCAGATTGTGTTTAGTCAGAACATGAGGGCAGAACAGAGTGCATGAAACCAAGACTTGTATGTCTACTGTTTTGTATGTCCAATCCACAAATTTTGCTCTACTACACAATTCATTTATCATCAAATAAAATCTTACATTTTTCAGCTGGGAAAAGTAGTGAACAATGTCAATCCCCTATGATTTCCCCAAACCTGACAAGTTAGAAAAGTTGTGCATGTGAATTAAGAGGAACATATTGAGCATCAAAATGTAAGCAATGTATTCTCTTGACATAGTAAGCTTTCTATTGTAGACTTGATTATCCATATTATTATTATTATTATTATTATTATTATTATTATTATAACATTTCTATGCCGCCCCTTGCCGAAACCTCGGGGCGGCTTACAACATGATAAAATACATTGAAATACAATAGTACATAATAAATTACCATTAAATATAACAATACAAAAAATACATTGATTTACAAATACAAAATTAAAATTATCAGTATAAAATAAAAATATGGGAGGAGAAAGAGAAGGAAGAAGAAGTTGCCCAGGCCAGATCATATGTTTTAACAATTGAAATGATGTTTAAATAAAAAGGTCTTTACCTGGCGCCGAAAAACCAGTAACGACGGTGCCAGGCGGACCTCTTTGGGGAGTGAATTCCATAGGTTGGGCGCCACCGCAGAGAAAGCCCTCCTCCGGGTACTTACTCTCCTAATTTCTTTCATGGAGGGTTCCCGGAGAAGGGACTCTCCCGCAGATCTCAAAGGGCGGTCGGGCATATACGGACGTAAGCGCTCGTTCAGGTAGCCAGGACCCAAGCCGTTTAGGGCTTTGTAGGTCATAATCAACACCTTGAATTGGGCCCGGGCTTCAATGGGAAGCCAGTGAAGCTGATGGAGGACTGGAGTCATGTGAGCATAACGCCCCGTCCCCGTCAGCAACCTGGCAGCTCTATTTTGCACCAATTGAAGTGTTCGGACTGTCTTCAGGGGAAGCCCCACGTAAAGCGCGTTACAGAAGTCTAGGCGGGAAGTCACCAGCGCGTGTGTCACCGTCGCCAGGCAGTCGTATTCCAGGTAGGGGCGCAGCTGATTAATCAGCCGAAGCTGAAGGAAGGCGTTCCTCGCTACCGCTGTCACCTGAGCTTCCAAAGAAAGCTCCGGGTCGAGGAGTACACCTAAGCTGCGGACCTTATCCCTAAGAGGGAGTGTTGCACCATTCAGGACCAGGTCAAATCCACCCTCTCCGAAACCCGATCCGCCAACCAACAGGACCTCCGTCTTGTCTGGGTTGAGTTTCAGTTTATTGGCCCTCATCCATTCCCTTACCTCGGCCAAGCACCGGTTCAGCACAGCCACTGCCTCACCTGGATTAGTGGAGAATGAGAGGTAAAGCTGGGTATCATCAGCGTATTGATGATTCCGCAGCCCACACCTCCTGATGACCTCTCCCAGCGGTTTCATATAGATGTTAAATAGCAGAGGGGATAGAATGGAGCCCTGTGGTACCCCATGGCATAGCTGCCATGACGTAGAGACATGGTCCCCCAGCACTACCTTCTGGAATCGACCGTCGAGATAGGAGCGGAACCACTGCAAAGCAGTGCCTCCAACCCCCAATCCCGCAAGTCTATCCAGAAGGATACCATGGTCGATGGTATCGAAAGCCGCCGAGAGGTCCAGAAGAACCAACGGGGATGTACTCCCCCTGTCCTTCTCCCTGCACAGGTCGTCGTACAGGGCGACCAAGGCAGATTCAGTACTGTACCCGGGTCTGAAGCCGGACTGAAAAGGATCCAGATAATCAGTTTCCTCCAAGAGTGCTTGGAGTTGTCCCGCCACCACTCGCTCCAGCACCTTGCCCAGAAACGGGATGTTGGCCACAGGTCTATAGTTAGTGGCCATCTCTGGATCCAGTGACGCTTTCTTCAGGACCGGTCGTATTACCACCTCCCATATGCAAATACATGCAGTTATAATCAATAGATGGGGTAAAAGACATAAAACTGAGAATGACTCTGAAAGCTCTTCTGCAAGCACAACCAACCACACAAATGGATAAGAAACTTGATGAATGAAGGCCAAAATCTATAGGTGACCCACATTAATGATACTTTGCAACTGGAATGGTATTAAATATAACTACATTGCCTCTAATGTATTGACTACTAGTAGAAAATCAATACAGCTTTAATATAATTTTTATAACTTCTTCTGTGGGCAACTGGAAGAACAGCTTTAAAAACATAGCTCAGCACAACTAGACTGAAAATTTGAGGACTAACTCTATAGCAATCTTCACATTTGGCTGCTTCCCCCTTATTTCCAGCCAAACCTATATTCAATTTTTTAATATTAATATTAGATGGGAGCATGCTGCCAGTTAATTGGAGCACTATAACCTAGCTTTTACAGTAATTGTTTACATATTTATAGCAATGCTTTGTCCTTCTTGTTAAAGTGATGTATCTTTGAAGAAAGTTATCATTTTTTTCTAAAATAAATTACTAATATTGTATAGGATGCTATTACTGCTCCAACAGATGGTTAAAAACAGTCAAGCATGCACAGTTTCTAATATAAGGGTATAAGTTGCTCTGGCTCTCAATCAGAGTACTTTATTAACACATAGAATCTAAGATTTACAAGCAAGGCAGTTTTTCTGAGACCACTGCAATTCTTGTTATTAAGATCAAGATAAAGCGATGTTACATCTTGCTGCTTCACCAAAGCCTCTACACTTCCACATGGACACCAAGGCATTCTTAGAAAAATTAAGTGTGTAGCTGCAGTCCAGAGCTTTGATTTGCCACATGTCTAACTGTCCACACGGGTTACCTATGGCATGTGCATGTGCATTTTTGGCTGATTTTTTAAATGTGGTCTGTGTACAACTCCAAGTGTGCGTGCATATGGAGACATTAGCCGGTTTGTCTAATTTGGTGTGGTATGCATTTTGCTTGGTGTGCATGTGTCTGCTTGTTTGAGAGGGAGAAAGGGAGGGAGGGAGAGTATCAAGTCTGCCTTCTGTGAAACTGATATTTTCCTGTGCTTTGTGAAGGCAAATATATGATATGGGAATTGGGGCTCAAATTTCACTTCTGCCTGGTACTCAGTCATCTTGTTCATATCACCCATTTTTCAGCCTTATCACTCTGCTTTCTGTGAAACAGACATTGTAAGAGAAAACTGTGGATTCCAGTTTTCTTGAGGAATTTGGAGTACACGTCTGTCCTGTACTTATTCTTTGCTTTTATTTTCTTTAAGCTTCATCAGTTTTGGAAAGGGTGTCATATGACTAGCCATGTCTATTGGCAACCATTTCGTAAACTTGCAAGCCCCTCACTCATGACAGTCATTTTGCAAAGCAACTATAACATTCTCTCAAATTTTAAATGTACTCACTAGTGCAAAATGGTTGGTAGTCCCATAATTCCTTCAAGCCCATTAATATATGGAAGCTACAATCTTATTTTGGGATATTCTCAAATTGTTTTCAAACACATTAGAAGGTGCAATCATTACTTTCAAAGTATTATAACTGTTGCTTTAGATCAGGGACAGGCAACCTGATCCCTCCCACCTGTTTCAGGCTACAACTCCTTTATACCTCTATTAACCATGCTGTTGGGGCTGGGGTTCACAAGAGCTGAAGTCTGGAGAGCATCAGCTTGCTCACCTACTTCAGTTAAATGTCAGGATCTTATACATACCATTTAAACAAGAGGGCCTTTGCCGCTTCCACTTGATTCTGCTTGTATTCCATTATGGCAAGGGCTGTCAGGATGTATGCTTTGTCTTGCTCATTTTCAGCAGCAGAAAGTGCTCTCTCATAAGCTAATAATAGTAAGAATTAAATTGAGAAATTCAGAAGAACAATGAGGAAACATCCCTGATCAAATACTTCCAAGATAAGCAGCACCTTACAGAAAGAAAGGTACTTTCTATATTTTTGTAATAATCTATTTGTATATGACTCACTTATCTTGCAACTTACTTAACATATGAGTGACCAAGCTATGCAGAGAACATAAGTGTTCAAGTTATTATTTCATATAGGCAAAGATAATCATACATTTATTATATTTACAAGTGGACTATGGCGTCTCTGTTTGAAAAATGCAACCCCCCTGCCACTTAACATTGGTAGAATTTGGCTTTATGGGTCTAGTCCAGCAAGAAATTCTTTCTGATGCTGAATTTCAAAAAGGTTCAGGCATTTATTTGCTCCTAGGAAGCCACTAGTGTGGGACCTGAGTTTGTACATTCCATCCCTTCTCTATCTGCAATGAGTACAAGTAAGCTGGGAAACTGCATGTTTATTGGAATGCAGTATCTCCTACTTTAAAAATATTTTCTATCCACAGTAATAAGAAAAACAGAGAGAAACAGTTCAGGCCAAAGCCAGTCCTAATTTTATAGAAAGAACCAAAGGGCAAGATAACATTTCAAAGACCCCATGGAAGTTGAGCACTCATATTAGCCAATCTGCATCTTCAGCATAGGAAGGTTATAAATAAAACACAATAAAATATTATGAAGTCACATAATACCAATAAAAACTCTAGGTCACAGATTATGGGACAGCCATATATAGTCTTCAAAGAAGGGGCTGACAAACCCTTGGCAGAACACTGGGGGTGAAGCCACTGAAAAGCCTTATCTTTTGTATCACTACGCTAACTGCACTTGGTCATTAGTGAATGAGAAGCGCCTCTGTTGATGACCATGAAGTATGGTCAAGCTGGTACAGGAAAAGGTGGTCCTTCGGTTAAGTTGGGCCCAATCATATATGGCTTTAAAAGCTAAAATCAGTACTTTAAATTAATGGAGCTGGTCTTTGACCATAATAAAGTTTTACCTGATCTGATCAGTACTTTAAATTGGGTGTGGAAACCACTGGCAACCTATGTAACTGGAATAGTACTGGTGTCATATGAGCAGATCACCCAGCCCCCAGCAGTATCTATTTCCACTTCTCAGCTCCAAGACTGGAAGACAGCTCAGGCTATTTTGTGCTGTACTGCAATTCAGAAATACTCTAAATTTTGGCATGATGTCAGAAGCAATATTCTGCCCATTCCTGTTGGAGGCTGGTGACCACACATTCTGAATGGACACCAAGAATAGCCAAAATTTGTGGACCTCCATTCAAGAGTTTCAGTCAGCAGAATGGACAAGCATGGAAACAAGCCGCAATTCAAGTATTTGAAGTAGAAACATATTCACATGAAAGACAATTAGTTGCAGTAATAATTTATCTTGCAAATCCATACACATGATGAGTATTTGAGACACTTACCCTTCTTACTTTCTTGAAAATGTCCTTTCTTAAAGTAAGCCAGGGCAATTCCTAGAATATCTTCAAATTCTGTGAGGTAAGTTGATAAGTAAGCCTGGACAGCATCATCATAATGCTCAAGAGCACTTTCAAAGAGGAAGAAGAAACAAAGCCCAGTTGGAACACACAATTAATTCTTATTCAGTCTTAATGTTCACCTCTTATTCACAAATGTTCAGTTCTTTCAAATTGCTGGGTGAAATCCATCTCCATAAAGATGTAAAGAGGCAATTGTGGTCATTACCTTGACCATTATGGAGTTGTTCACTCCTGCCTGTGATTAGTTCATCTATCAACTTGCTTCAAAAAATTATGTAAAATCTGTTCCAGATTTGTCTATAAGAAGATTTGGGAATATAATTTAAGCTGCTGAGTTTATGCAATAAATTCTGTTTAGTTTGAAACTCAGCTAACTTAGAGACCGCCTCTCTATGAGTGATCTTTTAAACTGTATTACTTAAATTTCAAAGTTGCATTGGGCAACACAAAACATCAAGGAGAAAGACTTCCAATCTCTTAGTCTTCATCTTTCTGAACTTCCTTCAAATCCCTCCTCAAAATTCAACCTTTCCATGAAGTGCAAAGTCAAATTCTCAGGCCCTACCGGAATTCTGCAAGTACTAGTAACATTTGCAACTAAAACTGTGTATGACACTTTCCCCAAGCTGCTACCCTTGCAGATGTCTAGCCTACTACCCTCAGAAGATTCCATTCATCACTTTTTTAATTCTATGACTATAAAAATTAGCAAGGTTTTTGTGATCCATTTGTGCTGAAGTTATTGAGCATGTTTGGTTTCACTTTAAAGCTAGAATGCTGCCAGTATGTTCAAGTGTTTTGAATTCCATATTTCCTCTCAGCACTGTGGCAGCAGGGACCAGACTGCTGTGATAGGAGTGAGCTAAATTTGAATGCTGAGGGTAATCATTCTCACTGATGAAGAGAAGGGGAAAGGAAAGGGCTATGCTGGAATCCTGTGCAGGCTTAATCAGAAGTTCTTCTGAACATACAGATAAATATCTATTCATTCTAGAACATTAACAATACTTTTCATTTTTAAAATAACAAAAAACCTCAATGAAGGGACTTGCTAGTTTAAGACCAGAACTAAAGTTATCTCATGTTGTCTCAAGCTCCACCAGCCCAGGAAATTGAAGCCTTAGGTTGATACCCTAACACATGTGCCTTGTGATCAGTAGTTATGTTGTGCAATGACACAAATTGTGCTTGGTTAAAAGTAACAAACAGGTGTATGTAATGAGGAATCCCACTAACAATACAGTAAGATTCAGCTGCTTCACAAATACAGGGCTAGGACAACTTTGAGTACCTTTGCTTTTCTCATGCACTCCATCCACCCCATCTGGACTTGGGTTCAAATGACCAAGAAAAAGTGTTGGCATATGGAAGATTGCAAGCAAGTACTATTTATGCCAATCATCCCATTACATTGCAGATCACAGGGTACCTCGATTAAAGCCTAAGTTTAAGTTTCCAATTTCCTGGCTTTGAGCCACCATAAGATAACCTCAACTTGGCCTTAAACAGGCAGATATTTTGAATTGTAACAGGTTGAATCCAGACAAAGCAGATGAAACTCCACTCTTGCAACAAGGCATTCCTTCTCCTCACCATTATATTCCCTCTAGGGCTCCCCCAAAAGATACTATACCACAGTGCCTTAAGTACAGTATGTACTGCAAGTATATATTCAGGGAATTGTTCACATGATATGACATGATACTTTTTCAGTGCAGTAAGTAAACTAGAAATCTTAATTGTAAATGAAGATTAAAATTATACTTCATTAAAAGAAAGCAGACTTACCACATTGACCTCCCATAATTTCTCATTGCTATATTGTATTTCTCTTTATCTTCAGAATTTTTCAGTAAGAGAACTGCCCTAAAAAGTAAACATAAGCAATAAGAACTTTTGTAGGTTTAATATGAATGGGTGGTCCATTTATTTTTATTTCACTGAGGCTGCTTTAAGATGGAAGGTTTCATTTTTCTAAGTAAAGTTACTGAAGCTCACTCTTGACAAAAGTTTGAGCCATTATTTGAGGTAATGCCACTTTTTGTGTTTGAGGGTCGTATTTAGTGGTTGTGTAAGAAACAGTCAGTGTGAGCTTAAGTGGACAGGAAGGCCTGGGGAAATGTTGTCCATGGGGTCGCGATGGATCGGATGCGACTTTGCGACTAGCAACAACAAAGACAGTCATAATGAAGCTATTGTAATCTTTCTACTTATTTGACATAGTATTTCCTTGAACTTTCAATATAGAGTAGGATGCAAGTTATAAATACCAAGACTATATGGTATAAAAATATGCTTAGCTTGACACTATTTTTTTCTGTTCTGCTGTTCAACCCAGGTTACCTTTGGTATGCATCTGCTGCCTGCTTTTTCAGTTGAAGATATTCATTCAAATAACCAAGCATTGTGAAGGCACATGCATCATTTTGGATTCTTTCTGCAGTAACAAATCACACACACAAATGAAAAGAAAGAAACTGGGGGGGAACAGAATAAAGAAAGAAGACCAGGAGAATATTTTAGATCAGCCATGATTGTTCCTCTAAGATTCCCTTTACCTCTGGTTGAAAAGTACAAAGACTACCCAATATATTGTTTGGAGGCAATCTGAACACAAGAACAGTTCTTTGAATCTTACCATGCTTCTCTTTCTCTCTTACCACTGAGTAGGCAATTTCATACCTTGGATTTGACTTGTGGCACAATTGCCAAAAAAGGCTGGTGAGAATGTAAGCTTATTTTCAGATAAAGAGAATATGAGTGGAGCCCTGCTGGATCAGAGGAAAGGTTCATCTAACCAAGCACCATGTTTACAATGGTGGCCAACTGATGCCTCTGGGAACTCTTAAAAGAACAGGATGAAGGTCTTCCCTACCTTGTTTGTCCCTAAGGTACTCAGATGTATACTGCTTCTGAACATGGAGGTTTCACTTAGCTATTGTTAACTAATGTCAGTTATAATTATTTTCTTCACAGAAGTCACATAAAGCTTTTAAAAGCCATCACAAACTATTGTGGAAATGAATTCCATAAATTAACTATTGTTGTCCAGCACCCCTTCCAGGTTTTTGAAGGCCCCTGGGGAAGACACTCTTGAATGGGCTTTCTTCCTCAATGAGTCTGTCTTCTCACTGCCATCAGCATGCAGTGCTACCTATCGCTCCTTCTCCTCATCACCATCAGAGGGCAAGGCCTGTCACAATGGTGAAGAGAAACTTCAGGCTGTTCTTGTCAGTAGGCCCCTGGAAGCATGTGAGCCCTTGGCAGGGGCTTGACTATGTCTGTCCTCAACACCAGTTCTGATGTTATTTGCAATGCTGCTTATGTCTGTTTTGAATATCTTAATGATCATATTTCATTTGATCAGTTCTCCGTATCTGAGGCTTTTCCCCCTTTCTCATTCTAACCACACTTCCTATAGAGTAACTTTATATAACACAATGTTTCATTCTGAGTAACTAATTCACTGAAGTTTACACCAACAGAACAACTGTTACAGGGGAAAGGGAAGTAGGCTGTCACTTTAAGCATCAGATGAAGTTACCTGTGTATTTGGTCAGAGCAACCTGTGCAGCCGGAATAGCATTCATCTGAAGAATATTGTACCTATACAATTCAGTGTTTCTGATGGTTTCATCTTGCAGGGTTGAGCATACAAAATGGGCATAGCCTTTTGCTCCCTCTGTCTGTTTGATGAGAAAACACAACTGGAGTGAACAGCTGTTCAGTTGAGAAATTCTACCTTTAACATTCCTAATTAAGCATATAATGCTGCATGGTTAACAAAGGATCAGATACTGCTCTTTACTATTCTGCTTCTTAAAGCTAAACCCTAGCCATTTGATTCATTTCGATAAAATCATAAATATATCACAGTACATTTGATCAAAATAAAGGCAACAGTCATCTGTCAAAAGTTTCATATAACAGGAAAGTGAGCAATACAATGGACCTCATGGTGGCTTCAGGCCAGCCCACAATTTCCCATTTACTGACTTGAAATCTGTAATGCTTACATGCATGCTGAGTTCAGTTGTATGCCTGAAGAGGTCCATAGTTTCATAGCTGCCTATTGTTTCTGCAACGAGAGCCTGCAAAGACAAAAAACATACAAACAAACAAAGCTTGTCCAACATACACTAGAGCACTACTCTACAGCATCACTTACTATCTTTACGTATGACAAAGATTGATTTCAACCTGATTAGTATTCTACAGTAGTAACAGCCCCAGGCTTGTGGATACAATGATTCTTTCAGTGCCCCAAACTTAAAAGTGGCAGAGAAATAGAACTGGTACCCTAGAATGTTCCACTACATGCAACCTTTTTGGACAGAAAGGTGAGGAAAGTGTGAAGACAGTAGAGAGGAAATCTCTACTTTCATGCTCACCTGAATGCTTTTCTAGCTGCAGTTGTGAAAATGTCTCTCTCTTGAGTCTTTTTTAAACAATTTTCAGTCATTTCAGGAACCGTTTTTAGTGTTGTAAATACTCGCACTATTTTATCCTTGAAACTAGTTTTACTTTTGCTGTTTTGTACTGCTGGTGGCTTTTATTTGCTTTTCACCTTTTTATCATACTGAGATTGCCCTTGTTATACCAAGAACAACATCATCTACATTTATATTCCACTTTTTCCCTCTTGTGAAGAGCCCAAGGTGACTTACATAGTCCTCCTCTTCCTTTCTGCCAGTAACAATGAGGGTCAGTGACTGGTCAAAAGTCATCCAGTGAGTGGCCACATAGGTCCCAGAACCTGGATCTTCTGAGTCCCAGTCCAACACTCTAACCATTATACCACACTGGCTTTCATATGGTTATTATATGTTTACATTTTCAAAGTGTATACTGTTCAGACAGCTTAGATTATTGGGTGATTTAAATAAGTCCACACCAAACAGCTACTGCAAACTCTGATACTGGTGTCACTTCTTCAAGCTTGACTGTACTGTGAATCATTCTGCTATGAGAGTCATAATAATATATAAACACTGGACAAAGAATTCAGCCATGTCTGAAAGCTTCTGCAAATAAGGAGATATTGCTACAGGAAAAGTTGGAGAAAACAACAGACAAATCATAATGAAAACACTCTGGTGTTAGTTTTGTTTTGAAAGCCACATATAGCAATAAGTCTAACCCTCTACATTTTGTGTTACTTAGTAAGGATAGTACTCACTTTCAGTTTCAGTAAGAACTTAAGGACAATCAGGTGCTATGCTGCCCAAATCTTAATAAGGCCGCCATATAAATGGAAAACTGCAAGAGGTTAAGACATTACCTGCCCAATCCAACATGTTAGATAGGAAGGTTCCAGGGACTGGGCTACTTTGAAGGCTTCATGTGCTTGCTAGAATATAAAAAATCAACACAGAACTAAATCAGCAGAGAGCACTCTGGGTGATGGGGCAGGATATAAATGTTCTAAGTAAATAAGTAAGCAAGCAAGCAAGCAAGCAAGCAAGCAAGCAAGCTCTGCAAGATACAATTGTCTCTTCTTCTCACACTTGCCTAACAGTTTGCTCCAAGTGGTCAAGTTACATAAAAACAACTGAATGTAACCAAGCCAACATTCATGTTAGAACAGGGGTAGGGAACCTCAGGCTTCTGGGGCAAATCCAACTCTTCGGGGGTTTCCAGTTAGGCCCCCTGGAGGTCCCCAAAGGGCCATGTTCCAGTTTTCTGCCCACATCCTTTCCCCTGACTGCTGATGGTTTGGTGATTTTTCAGTTCTTGTAGGGTTTTCACCCATTCCAAAAGGTTGGGATGCCTCTCCTGTGGCTTAGCTGCTGATCATAACATGTTTAAGCTAAAATATCCTGAAATTTGGGTATCCTGGCCCCATCTTTTTGCCTATGGTCACATTCACCACTAGAATATCGCCCCTGAGAGCTTCTCTGAAATTGTATTCAGCCCACAGTGTTGAAAGAAGTTCTCTACCTTTTGTGTTAGAATAAACCTCAAACCTGCACAACTGTCCGGTCATGAATTGGTGAACTCCCCAGGAGATTAGTCAGCCAATGGTGTGGCCATTCATCTTTCAGCACAATGCATCTTTCAACCACACCAACCTCCCTCTTCCCCACTTTCTATACCAGAGGTACAAAATGTGTGTCCCACTGCCAACAGGCAACCTTCCAAGCATGTATGGCAGTCCTCAGGTCCCCAGTGTTTACGGCCACTAAAAAAGTGGGGAGACACTCTAGGTGCAGGCTCTGTGGTGCCTGCTATGGAAACCCCATCCATGGCATGTACCTGGAATGTCATAAGAAACACTGCTTAAGGGATCTGGGATGCTCTAGAATGAGCTTCTACAGCAGAAACCATGGATTTATTTTTCAAACATATTTTCCTTCCTTTTTTGATGCTCAGGTTGGGCTAGTTAGGTTGGGCAGGGAGCTGTAACAGTCTGATGCTGTGACATGCTGCAAAATGATCTGTTGTTACTGGGTGATATATTTGTACACACTTGTGGACACTTGCCATTTGAGCAGACACCTAGTGAGGCCACTGAGACTGGAAGGGTTGTGCATCCCTGTTCTATATGGTTTTCAAGAACTATGTTAAGAAAGTTTGGGGGCACAGCTGTTGTTGCAGTCTCTGGGGCACTCCTGTGACATCTCCGGGGGACAGTCACATAAGGGTCTTCACCCCAGTAATTATATTTTGACTGACATTCAAATTATATTAATTAAGCATTTAATGCTCTGACAGCTCACTCAAATGGAAAGGTAAAATAGCATTTATTTACAGGTAGTACCTAATTTAGCTCTTTACACTTAAAACTACATGTTTGAAGACACACTCTTATTTACCTCTATGTTTCCACTTGTTAAGTACAAGACACCCAAGTTAGTCCAGGCAACAATGTTCTAAAGAGAATAAAGGTTACAATATAAGTTAAATATTCTTGAAATCTCCTTCAAAAAGATGCAGCTATCTAAAGCACTTACAATTTGGTCTGCTTGAATAGATTTAATGAATGCATGTTGAGCAAGGGCATAGTTTCCAACACCTGAAAGATAAAGACCTCTGCAACAGTTAGCAAAAATGCAACAACCTTTGAATGTTGAAAGCATGTGTCAATATTTTAAAAGTTTTCCTTTGAAATGTACCTTTGCAACAGGCCACCACACCAAGGGCATTCCAGTATAGATGATTTTTACTGTCTAATCTCACAGCTTTTTTAAGACACTGGAAGAGATTAAGAGTGCAGTGCTATAGTCTTACATGTCATTTTTGGATGTCTTATGGTAACAAGCATTTTATTTTTACCACAGCTGAGAAATGTCCCTAATGCCAAGGGATCAAAATATCTGCTAGCATCAAAATCTGCTATTAAAGACAACTGGAAGGTTTAAAGAATTACCTGTACAGATTTCTCTAACAAGTCACTTGTCTCATTCTTGTTCCTGTCCAGTGCTGTAAGGTGCTGTGCTTGATGATAGTAATTTATCCCAAGATCACACCATGTATTTGGTGAAGACATCAGTTTTAATCCCCTGCTATAACACCTGCAGAAATAGGGAACGTTGAATGAAGAGATTCATCAATTCTTAGCAAAACAGTTGGGAAAGTAAACACATTAATTTAAGGATGTTTTCAAAGGCTGCTGTGTTTATGCATCCCTTTTCTGAAGAAACATGACTTTAGGAAATGATCTCAGAGAGGAGAATGTTAAACAGACTTCATTCCTGAAAGCAAATGTTTGCTGTGGTTAGAATTAGATAATGAGTTCACCTATGCCTACACAGCATAAGCTGGGGGCAGCTCTACTGTTGAAAAAAAATGATATCTCAAATTCCAGAAGTTCATTCTAAACAGATATTGATAAAATAGTGAAAATGTATTTTCTGGGCTATAGCTAAGGAAGTAAACTTCCCCTTCAAATTGTATTTACCCTACCTTTCTCCATATCAGTCTGTTTTCTCTCTGTCTTGAAAGTCCTACTACTGCCTATTTTATCCAAGCCCTGCATAGCCAAACAGATGAGGTTTCAAAATTCTGGCTGTTTTGCACATTTGAAAGCCCACTTTCATTCTCAGCTCTTTGGTTTTCAGTCTTGTTGCGCATGACAGTCTTCATCCTGTTCTGCAATGTGACCACGCTGGTGTTCAAATGCGTTAAGACTGATATAATGGCTCTACGTTCAAAAGCACTCAAAGTGTTCTAAAGTAGGGGAAGAATGGTTATACTTCTGTGCATTTTCTGGAGGAGAGGGAATTTCTCCTAAGTAAAAACTTGGAAATTGTCCAAACGCTCTTCATTATCTTCTCCTCCCTCTCCTGCCCATGCCAGCAAATCCACTCAGGAGAAGTCAACTAGCTTTATAGAGCTGTTGAACATTATATATGATGTATGTTCATCTTACCTTCCCCCCAGACTGAGCAGATCACTTTTGTTTAGCACACATTTGTCCATGTTCTGACCAAGAAGGAATCCTAAAACTTGCACATTCACTTTGGATGATGAAATAACACAAACAGAACTACAAGCATCTCCAAGCAACTTCCAAAGGCAAGACACTTCTGGACGATGCTTTGTTGCTCTGAAAGAAATTTTATAAAAAATCATAAAAGCAGAACTGATTTAAAGAACGGACAGTCTGGTTCCAGATTGGCCATGGGATTCAGCAAAGGCGCTTTACTGGAGATACAAGCAGGGAGATGCTCTTTTTTGTTTTCCCCTTCCCTCTGCATCCGCTTTCAACACTGTCAGGGTTCTGGAAGTCCACCAACCCTCCAGAGTAGATTTTCAAGAGGCACAGGAGGCTGCAGAAGGAAGGGTGAATCATAAAGATCATCTCCAACCTCATTCCTCTAGGACAAGTGGAGCTCCAGTACATGATGCTCTGGATCCAACACTTTCTTACTTCCCAAATAACATTTAGTTCTCTCTCAAGTCAAGAAACAGCACTCCCACCTGCCCGCACATGTCCAGTTTTTCAGCTGAGCTTTAGGGAAAGGGGAAATAGGTTCCTGGCAGCTCTTGGGACTGTTGAGGGAATTGTCTAGCGCCACAGGACCTGCACTCCTGATTTACAAGAACTCCTTTATTTGTTCTACTGATTTTCTCTTTAAATACCAATGCTATTTATTGAAATACAGCAATTTCTTTCAAAACCATCTTAGTATAGAATGGGTGATATAGAAATTAAATAAACAAAACCTATAGGACATTGTTGGTAACATTGATTAAGACATGAATACTAACCGTGCTAAAAAAGTAAGGGAATGTTCAATGTAGTCCAGAGCTTTCCCATCCAGATAGTCAGCAAGGGCCATCTTTGCCAACATTAGATAGCATTCCCCCAATCCTAAACAGAGAATAACTTATCCACATGTGACAAGCCTACAATAAGCGTAAGTTAAACTCACAGGGCTCACACTGTGGCAAATATTGGAAAAACATTGGACACTCAAAGTATTTAGTATAAACTTTAAAATCATTAGGTGCACATTATCAAGAAAGCAGCAGTAAAACGCCCCAGAAAGCTAAGCATAACTGAATATTAGTATATTTTAATGTCACATATGCATGCACACTACTTCCAAAAATAAAATATAAAATAAAATAAAATAAAATAAACTTTTCCAGCCCCCACCTGGAGATGCCAGGGCTTGAACCTGGGACATTCTGCATGCAAAGCAGGTGCTGTTCCACTGAGCCACAGCCCTTCAGTAAATGATTAAATTGTCCTCTTAGTTTACAGCTTTTTAAATAGTTTGAACAAGTGAAAAAATACTTTACTAGCAATGTATTCATCATATATTTAAGGAATATAGGTTGTTTTACATAATGTTATTGTGGGATATATCCCACAATTACATAATTTTATTGTGGGATATATCCTTTCTTTCACAAGTCTCAAAAATAAGCTAGCCATTCCTCTGATTTCAAATCACCTATACAAATTCACATATGTTGCTTAAAAGTGGTCACATTAGTCTTAAAACAGGGGCCAGTACTGAAACATATTAAGCAAGAAATGATAGCGCCATAACTCTCTAGTGTGACTATATTGTATATGTCATGTACATATACAAATACACAAATACCTTTCAGCGCAGGGACATAATTATCTGATTTCTTCAAGATGTGTTGATATTCTGCAATAGCTTCTTTATATTTTCCTAGGATCTGCTCAATTGCTGCAGCCTTATAAATACTATATATAGACTTGGGGTTTAGTTCTCTGGCCTTTCGGAAAGACTTCAGCGCGGTGGTGTAGCCCCCTCTGCTCAGATATGCCTCTCCGAGGGATTCCCAACAGTGGGGATCCTTTGGATCTGCTCGAAGTGCTGCCTGCAAACTGAGCACATTGCAAAACACAAGCCATTTATTTATTAATAACATTTGTTACTCTACAGGTATCTCTTTAAAACGTTTTATCTAGAAGATTCTAGACTGAGACTTTGACAAAAAACCAACACAGCACAAAGTGTGTGTGTTTTTTCCTTTGAACAGTTTGCAGAGGAAAAAAAATACACAATATGACTGCCATAACTGTAAACACAACTTGGAGCCTTCCTGGTGTGTTCTCCTCCAGTTGCCAACAAGGCTCTAGCAGGGATGCTGAGAGTCTGAATCCAACACAGCTGGAGGGTATAAGGTTGAGATAGGTTAGTTTGGATAACATTCTAATTTCTGTTCAAGGACAGAATACTGCTCCCTGAGCACACACAGGCTCCTTCCTTATTTGTAGTCTTCGAGCATCACTGTTAGTGAAGCCATTCCATTACAACCATGTCTATTTCGCGTTTTCTTTTTTTAATTCTCCAAAGTACTACAGCTGAAACAGAAAAAAAAACCAAAACAAAACAGGATAGGATAGGATACTGTCAGTAAAATACAGGATGGCTTTGGTTGCTAGTGAATGGTATTGCCAGGTTGCAACATGCTGAGATGGATCAGTAGCAGAACCCCATCTATAGAGGCATTGTCTCGGGACAAATACAATGTAAAGATAAGCCACTGAATTGACTGCTAAAATGAGAAACTTTCCACAAAGAATTCTGCCACCCTTATGAGAAGAGAAATCAAGATTAAGCAGTTCCAAATCTATTCATCTATCCTTTAATCAGTAGAAGTGCACCGAGAACAGTTTGGCTGGCTTAGGTTTTTTGTTTGCTTGTTTGTTTTTGTTCTGAACTGGCAACCATGTTTTCCCCTCATGCTGTACTCCTGCATTTGACAATCAAATTATTTGAGAAAACAAAGATGGAAGCAGAAAGCAAGATTTTGTTTAAGCATTTCTATAAATTTCTCAAACCTACCCACTAAATTCTCCAGCTGCATCTCAAAAATAATAAATAGACTGGTGAAGAAAGGGGGGCATGAATCTGAATGGAAACCAGTGTGTTAGCTGGGTTTTCCTCATGGACCTGTCCCTAGGCAAATTCAGGATTCTCAGCAACACCCTACTAAGCAGCTGCTTGGTAGGCTGGGGAGTGTGGGGACAGGAAACTGAGGTAGCAGATTCACTAAGCAACCTGCTATATGTTTACTGCGAAGCATGTCCCAGTGAGTTCAACAGAGCTCACTTCTGAATAAATAGATTTAGGATTGTAGTCTTTAAAAAAAGAGGTTCAAAGAAGATAGCAATTTTGGAAAGCAGCGATACCTGAAATACAGGTGCAGACAATCTCTACTTGGAGGTAAAATGGAATGGTAAATCTAAAAGAAATTTTACCCATTTTGTTAATTAATATTTTATTAGTGGTCATTCCAGTACTAAGTACATTTTAAAGTGCCATTATTATAGTGGACTTTCTTTTTATTTACATAGAAATCATGTATCTGCCTCCTTAGAAGTTCCACTTACAATGGGGCATGCTCCCAAGTAAGTGAGTATATGATTTCAGCTTTCATATATTATCAGACACATCCTAAACTCTGAGCCCATTTATTAATTTGAAAATGGATTTGAGCTTACAATGCTCATTTTGATTTTATGTTAGATGTTGTCATGAAGTAGAGCCAGGCTGCAATTGGTTTGGCTGCCAAGTGAATAATATCTGCAGTTCAATTCCTCCATTAAACAAACAAATGGAATTCAATAAACAATTAACCTACAGTTTACATAAAAATGTAATGCTGCACAATTTTCAACTAAGCATTAAAAAGCAAAGAAACTGAGGACTAAGGATCACAAGCACACATCTTCCTTAGGGAGGCAGAAAACGCAAGTGAAAATCTCACTTGCAAAAACAAATAAACACTGTGGACAAGATGGAGGACAGAATATACAGAGGTGACAATTGGGTTGTGGAAAACTGATGACAAGAGTCAACAACTTCTTCCTTTTAAGAGCAGCCTTCTGCAACCTAGCACCAACTATTGGATTGCATTTTCCAACAGTGCCAGACAGCATGTGGCCTTTGGCACCTTCTTTTCTAACATTAGGACAGAAGATATACAATCCAATGGAGGAACTTTAAAACAGGTGAAGACCTTTAATTAGACTACTGTAAACCAAACGAGAGGACAACTAATGAATCTTGAATACCAGTCCAGAAAGGTCTAAGATATTCTGTTTAATACGCTGTGTCTGTTTTAAGTTTCTTGGTGGATCACACACATTCTGCCTTAATTGTGGAAAGAGGATATCTTAAAACAGCTTTCTTCAACTGGTGCCTCTTGTTTTAGACTACAAGTATTCCTGACTATTGGCCATGTTAGCCGGGGTTGATGGGAACTGAAGTCGAAACAACTGGAGGTGCATCAGGTTGTGGAAGGTTACCCCTGTTACAATACTTGCAGATAACTGATTGTGTTGGGGAACTGTGTTTTCCTCTCCCCATGCTGAAGCTGTCAGTTTTCCATTTGCACCCTTTAACTGTAATCCTACATACCCCTGGTTGGGAGATGTAAAGATACACTTACAATGGTTATTGCAACTCAAAAGTAAGAAGAAAAATTCAGAGTGGAAGAGAATTTGTCTTTTTTAAAAACATATATATAGACATCTATCCAATCATCTGTTTAACCAGCACTTTGTAGAGAATGATGGCATTATTATTATTGCTACTATTACAATTATTAATTATCTTACTCTGCCACTGCTTGGGAATGCTGACCAGCTCGGAGGTAATACAGTCCACGACGAAGCCAGGCCCATTTTGCTCTCCCAGCACTGGCTCGTTCAGTGACATCCGTCAAGATGGTAAGAGCAGTTTCCTGACAAAAAAGATAAAGTTTGATCCGAATCTATGCTGGACATTTGTATGGGTGGAAGGGGACATCCCTACTGCCCCTTTCCCAAATCAGCCTCTCCAGCCCCCTGAAAATGCTACAGCATCAGGAGAACTTGCTGACTACAGTGAGTTGTGGTGTGAGGACAAGGGGGATCCCCCAAAATTAGGCAGCAGGAACTTCTGCCGCCTAATGAACGTGGCTGGTTGTAGCTCCTTGTTGGTAAGGAAAAGTCACTTACAGGACTGCTTGGTGGGTCTGCAATTGATGTTACAGGTTCTAGCATAGAGCTTCAACACTGAACACATATACTGAGACCAAGCTTTGGCTCATTATTATTATTATTACATTTCTATGCCGCCTCTTGCCGAAACCTCGGGGCGGCTTACAACACGATAAAGCTTCCTTATACACATACTTACTACCTGAGTAGTGGGTAAGCACTGATGTGCATTATAAACTTATTGACAGTGACATTAGCAAAAACCCTGACATCTGTGATTTGACTTTAAAGAAAAGGGAAGCACGTTGGACTTTTATAGAGAAGCTGTAATCATAGAAAGGATCACCTTCAAGCTCTTGTCTTTCAAAACAGATTGCACACAGCATATGAAGTGTGTGCAGAACTGCAAAGGCCTTTGGGGCAGCATAGAAGGAACTCTCTAAACGTTATATTCCTTGCTTGTTTCCATACTCACCAAAGTTAATGTTTTGTAATTGTCAATGTCACAATGGATTGCTATGCTTTTCTCTACTTTAAAAGTTTCACCCAGAAAGCTCCCTCTGTTGACCAAACACTGAAATACCTGGGAGAAGAACAGAACACTCTTCTCTGTCGCAGTCTAGTTTCAGAGCTGGCTATTTTGGCAGCTACTAAAGACGTCAACTGAATCTCACAGAGTCCCTCTCAAATCATGATCAACTCTGCTATAGTTGCTAATATTTCCCAGTTACTTCTCCAATCTTGTAAATATTAGTAGATATGTAAACATATGCCAGGTGCAACCAGAAAAACCAGCTGTGGGATTGCAGGGCTTATGAAGATGAATATAAGGGGAACAAGGATGTAATCCTTATAACATAGGACCTTAATGCTGTTAAGCTGGAAAAGCTAACAGAATAGTGGGAAATATTTTGGGGAAGCACCTGCCACCTCACAGGATCAATTTATCAACTACTGTACCAAGTGGTAAGTAGATCCTGAAGTCATCTGAATTGGATAGAAATGTTGACAGTGTAAAACATTCTGGGGTAAAATAGTTTACAAGTGAACAAGAGTAATTGTCCACCTGGTAAAATTTAAGCTTAAAGAGAAAAGAACATATCTTTGAAATGCATTTTGGGAGGACCACTGCAGCTATTCTGATCACTATAGTATATAAAAATGCTTAAACTGATATGTAAAATACCAAGTCTCCAAGTTCAGTGCTTAAGTCTACCACTGCTGCTCCAGCTTCTCCATCTGTTTTATCTTTCTCAAAAGCCTTTTTATAACAGCCAAGAGCTCTGTTTTTATCTCCTGCAATATCCTTATAGTAGTGACCTAAATAGCGAAATGCACCTCCAAAGTAATTGTCCAGTTTTGCTGCCTGCAAAAGAAAAACAGTTACTTTAGTCTACTGCTTTCATATGCACAAACATAGGTTTGATATAAACAACAGGGGAAAAAACCCCTGCCAGACCCTGCATGAAATAACAGAGAGCATTAGTGCAGGAGTTCTACAGGAACTTGAGTAAGTGAAGGAGCACCATGTCCCACAAAAATCTGCCTATGCCTTAAGGCAATCTTTAGAGGCTCCCAACCACAGAGGTGAGATCAGTTGTGAAAGAGAAGGGGGTTCTGGAATGGAATGGAATGGAATGGAATGGAATGGAATCACTGGAATGCCCTCCTGGACTACTCTGAAGCAAGGCATTTTTTAAAACTTATCAGGTCTTATAAAGCTATGGCTGACTCTTAAGGGATGTATTTATTTGATGCTGCTGCTTTATGTATTTTGCTAGCCTACTTTTTATATCATTGTCTTACTGTTGTGTTTTGATCTTGGTGCTAATCTGTTTCTTTGACAGTGAGCTATACCCTAAGAGTGGCTTATAATGAAAAGTGGTTTGAAAATCTTCAAAGTATATAAACATATAAATAAAAAAAACCAGTGAAAGGACCAAGGGGATGAAAATTACTAGCAATACCCAGTTCTAATGTTCTCAGCTCAGATCTTTCAGCCCTGTCAGAATCTATCTCTTCCATGTAGCCACTAAATTAACCCAGTGTCCGCATCTCTAAGACAAACCTAAATAGGAATAACTTTATTTCTCCACTATATTTGCTACTCTTGCATCTGTTGGATGCCCACCCAGAGAAAATTCCTTGTGGCAAGAATGTGTCTCTTTTTGCAGATAAGGAAGTAGATATTCAGCTTTCAATTTGTCCCTTGGCTGTTGTATTTGCTGACCACTGTAAGCAAGTAATTGAAACACAGGAGAAAGGAAATCACTGCTAATTATGTGCAGTAGGCAAGTTGTCCCTTTCCATATTTTACCTTCAGAAACTGAGTAAGAGCTTTAGATTTATCTTTTCTTGTCTCTTCACTCATAAACCAGTAAGTGAGGCCCAGGCAGAAATGGAAGTCAGCAACTTCAGCTTCTTTTTCAATAGCTCTCTGGAAACTAGAACAGTAATAGTGATTGTGATAGTGATAGAAATAGAATTGTTTTCAAATATCCTTTCTGCTAATTAATATGTGATTTACCTTGTTGCTGCCTCATGATAGTTCTTGTGCCTGTAATGAATCAACCCTTCAAGATAATAAGCTTCTGCCAGTTCAGGATGTGTCAGTTTAAGTTCTTCTGCAATCTATAAAAAGGTGTTAAGTTCTACAATTTCACAAGGTACAATGCCATCTTTTTAAGATAATATTGAATTATACAGAAATGTATACCAACCTTAAAAGCTTCATCAGCAAGTCCTTTATTTAAATGGGCCTGTCCTTTAAGAGCTATAAGTTTTGGATCGTTGTTTTTTTTCTAAAACCTAGAAACAAAATGCATATTTTAATTCTCAACAGTTGGAAAAATAGAAGACATCTCACAAGATGGAAATATTTAGTCACACCAAGCCTCCAATTTAATACATACATGTTATTGTTGTTAGCATTTATATCCTGCCTGTTCCAAGAGATTGGGACTCAAGGTATCTGTGGCAATTTTATATATGAAAGACTTGATTTTCACTTCCTCTGAGTAGATAATAAAGTCTGAGAGTATTTCATAATGTTGATTTATTCTCTGCAGTAATTTTTTGGGGAAATTACACACCCAATTGATTTACAAGCCACCAGCAGCTAAAGAACTTCTACCGCGTACTGTAATACATCCTGTTGTTACTGAAGGAAATCCTTCTACTGCATGCCAGAAAGTTTTAAATCCTTTCTTACTTACCCAAGAAGTGCCTAAAAGACTGGTGAAAAATGTATAACCTCATTATCCCTAGTGATCTTTGGCTTTCCATGATCCTCAAGCCTCAATTTAAATGAGAAGCCAGCCATGGAATATAAGAAAGTAAAGAACTAGTTGACATTATGGATCTTGCCATAAGGGAGCCCTGGAGAATTTTATCTGCACTGGAAGAAAGGTAACCATTTGCTCCAAGGAAAACTTTACTACAAAGGCAAATAACTGGTATGGGGTCTCCAATTTGGCCTCAGCTCCCTCACCCCTGCACAGCAGGTCCCAATCTAGATTCAGTCCCCTATGTCTGCTATTTACTTTTAGAAAAAAATCTTGCCTAGTTTACTGCTTAGGGCAGAATGCATGGGGGCAGTTCCATTCTGCCAAATGTGTTACACAACTGGTCCACACCACATGCACAGCAGCTTATTGCATCTGGAGCAACCTGAACAAGTGGGAACACTGATTTCTGGAAGGCAGGTGCTCAGTGGAGCTTAACTAAAGTAGTTCCACCAAACTGCCTCCTTCCATAAATGGTGTCTCTGCTTATTGAAGGGCTTCCCCTAGGAAGTATTAAGTCTCCCTTACACAGCAGTGTGTCAGGCCTCCACAGTGGAATTGGCAGGGCCCAATGCTTGTGGAAGAGAATCAACAGGATGGAAAGCAATTAGAGGAAGGACTAAGCACTTCCTGAGCTTCTGACCACTGTATTGAGTAATCCTGCTATCTTCCAGAGCCACAGATCAGGATCCAAAGACATATTTTAAGGCTTAACATAAGTTCAAGCTCTCTTAAAAACAAAACAAAAACAAAACCCTTTCTTTTGAACAGCGAAATCCCATGTTGTATCCACCCATGTTTTGCAGTGTTTGTGTTCATTTGCATGTGACATAGGGAACAGCAATTTTAAGAAACAGGGTCTACAAAGACCCTTTGGCATGCAAAACTAGTTACACCATACTTTAGACTGTAATATCGGAAACAGTGAAAAACTGCTAGCAATTTATAGTAGATGTCACACATTCAAATAAATATTGGTGGTATTAAAAACAATTACACAATATTAAATTATAAATGTACCTCAGAACATTGTTGGAGTTTCAAGCAAGAAATTGACTATTCTCACAACTTTGTAATTAGATAGATGTTCAGTGAAGACAAATTAGATTCTCTTGGGGAACTATCCCCTGACAATGCCTAAGGCAGTGCAGTAATTGATGTACATTCCTCTTAAGAAGGCAGATTCATATAGGCTAATGGATTACAATTGCAACGTCACATGAATTTTATCAAGTTTTAAACATGTTATAAAGAAGCATGACCAGTTTATCATAATTTTTAAAGTATATAAACACAGTTGGTTGATTTGTCCTGTCCACTGGTTAAAGATAAAATTACAATGAAAGGAAATAAAAATTAGATTGCAGCCTGTTTCAAATCTTTTGTGTTTGCTAAAATAAAGTAGTGTTAAGAATCATTTAAAAATATATCATGAAAAGAAACAACCATGTTCACAGCCAAGGAGTTGTTGTTGTTACTATTATTACTATTTTCATTACTGCAATTTCTCTTGGCGATACACAACAATGCATAAGCATATGTACAACAGGAAAACAGATACAATAAAGTACATAAACAATAAAGTATAGTGTATTTTGGCCTTATGCAAGCACTAATGCAGAAAAGTTATCTTTTGAATATATTTATATTTCCAATGAAAATAAGAAATGTGATTATCTTGCTGCATTGACAAATATCTCTTCCTAGCAAGAAGCCAGATATGTAATTATTTGAACAGAAAACACTGCAGCAAGTGAAGCAGCAGATATTTAACAGCTCTTTCACTACAGATACAGAATCTGAAATTAATCAAGGATGTACATATAATACCAATAGCAAATGGCATGTACTGAAATCCCAGAGGCATGGCTTTATGTAGAAACATTAATCAGTGAACCTTTTCCTACTGCATCTCCACATAAGAAAAAGAATACCTTGTTATGCTGCTCTATGCCATACAACTGAAAGGAGCCTGCAAACAAAAGTTACCACCATCACCAGCAGCCTGAGTCTGGAGGAACTGTACTCTAGAGCAGGGGAAGAAGGCACTGCAAGCATGAATAGAAATCAAGAAACTGAAATGTGTGTAATGAAGAAGGGCAGCTGTGGAAAAAACCTTACAAGATATGACTGTGTTAACAAGGAAGAAGGGAAGGAGGAACTTGTCTCATAAATGCAGCATTCTGAAGGAGAAAGTAATGCTGGATGAAATTCTCACTTTTTGTAATTATTAGAGTGGGGGGAAACATCTTGTGGCCTTCCAGATGTTTTACCCTTCAGCTGCCACCAGCCCAAACCAATGTAGCCAGTGCCGAGGAATCACAGCAGTTGTAGTGCGAAACATCTGGATGGCTACAAGTTACCTAACACTCTATTAATGGAGCATAGGACCTCTAGGATCTAAACCAGTAAATTCTAAGAGGTGAGCAGCTGTACAGGAAAGGTTGAGAGTGGAATGTCAAACAGATTCGCACTAACTAGATACCATGGAGAGTAAGAAAGGTAAATCTTGGCCAGGTTGCCAGATAGGGCCCGTCTGTGACGCATGTGTAACTATGATGACAAGCAGCAACACTGACATCAGAATTTATTTTTGTTTCTTTTCCTACCATAGCAGAAGCAGTTTTTTTCCTTTGGCAAGGTACATGCATTAGGCCAGTGAAGGTGGCAACCTAGGTCTCACTTCCCTCTAATGGAGCTATAGCAGCAATGTACAGGCATAACTTCAGCGTAAGGGTGTTCTTTAAAATTAATGCAGAGTGCTTCCAGATGGGGGGCTCTTAGTGCTAATAGTCAAAAGACATCCTTTCTTCCTTCTGTTTTCTGGCAAGAAAAAAGATGCAAGAAGCAGGGGACAATATGGGAGAGCTATGAATGGAAGATAATGTTGTCTAGAACCCTTGTAAAATTCTGCAGACGTGGCAGTGCATTTGAACACTACAAGTCTCTTCCGGAGGCACTTACAGGTTGTATTTACCAACACTGTGTTGTTATTTAAAAAAACAAACAAACAAATCACATACCTGAGTGAGGGAACTTATGGCTTCTTCTGCAGAGTCAGAACTTGGAATTTTAAGCAAGGCCACTGCTTTGAAAAAATGGGCAAGGTCTTTCTGTTGCTGACTGGAACTGGAGTCATTAAGTTGTCCCAGTGTCTTTAAAGCTGTTAAAGAAAAAAATCTGTTCCTATGCTTGTTTTGAAGGTCCTGTCATATTAACAATGTTGACGTTACAAGTTTGATAGGGTACTATTGAATTATGGATTTTACTAAAACCCTGTCAATTCAGAAACTGCTGCATTGTTACTACATTAGGACATTTCAAGAAAAAGTTATTCAAGTTCACCTTTTTGTAAACTATATTTTATTAGTACAGTCTAACCCATCACTTGCTCCATTAACGTATGCCAAGAATCTTACAATTCTGCGACATAACATGCACAAAAACATTACGAGCATGATTCTATGTCCTCCTGACAAAGAATAGCTCAGGGTTCACAGGACAGGCCTGAGTCCCAACTCCAATCTTGGAGAAACCCTCTGAGGTCAGAACTGGGAGTCTGACCTCAGAGGACCCCCCTGCTGCCCTTGCAGCTGGTGCAGCCCTTTCTGTACTGGCTGGGCTCCAAGGATGGAAAAATATCATCAGAACATGTACAGAGAGGGCAGAAAGGAAGAAGCATGCACCACTGTCTTCCAAAGAATCCCAGCAGTAGCTCAGCCTCTCCTCTTTGTGAAAAGGGCAAAGCCTTTAGACAGCTGAAATCACCTCTCTAAATGATCTGGAGAGCAAAGGGTTAGGATTGCCTTTGCACTCCTTCTACCTTTCACTGGATGCCCATAATCCTCTAAGTTTGGAGGGTTACACACTTGATTCTACCTTCCATATACTGAACACTGTGTTAAAATAGTTCTAGGGGGTTTTTGAAAGTGCCTACCACTGAAAAATTACAGCAGGTGAGAAGGTTTTTTGTTATTAAATGATACAAGAAATCCACCATATTCTAGAGCCTTTGACTGCTGAATATGACAGCTGCAATGCCTGCTTGTTATCGGTATCCAAAATTATTACTCTATTGCCTTTGTTATTTATTTCACTGCCTGGATTACCATGTCATAGCAAACAACACTGCATGGTTTCCACAATGCATTGGTTTTTGCCATTTTATTACTGGTCATATTGTGTGTGTGGTTCCTTGGCCAACATGGTTTCCCTGGTCTCCACTCTGTCCCCTCAAACTCCCAGCAGTGCATGTGAGTAAAATCCCATTCTTTACTCTATTGCTCTCTATAGACCTCAGCAGCTTTGTCCCGATTGGTCACTGGGCAATTTCTCCATCTTCCCTCTTGTGTGTTCCTTCATCGCTGCAATGTTTCCTAGCCACCCCAGCCCACAAAGGAATTTTTATTAAATCATGATAATAACTTTTGCCACAATTACCCTCTTTTCCCACCGAGTATTTATCCACCTTCTCCCTGTTTTGAAAGTGAACAGGAAGATGTGCATATCACTTACCCAATTGGAATATAGTGGGTGATGATGCATATGTTGCTAGGGGCCTGAGGATAGTAAGAATTGAAGGCTGAATGGCCACTTCCATGGCCACTCTTTCTACAAGACTCTTATCATATTTCTGTACCAAGAGAGCCAAAATGGAAATACCAGGTAAAGGTGACCAGAGATGCCATGGTCAAGTGTGGAAATCTTAGAACAGAGTTGATTTTTTTTCTGTGGTTTTGGGAAGCCAAAGGTACCATGCAAAAATCCCACAGCTGAGTCTGGATGACATGACAGACCAACAAGGCTTACTGACCCTGGCTTCTCAATATGCAAACCTGGCTAGTTACTTTTTTGTCATTGTATTATTAATTATATTTAATTGAAGGGTAGACTATAGTTTTTTGAAGTTGTATACAGTTCTGCAATTACCTTGATTACAAGCATGAACAGCCTCTTTGTACTTATGCATTTTCACCTGTGCCTTTCCTAAGTAACACCACGCTACTGGACACTGGCTGGTCTTCTGCAAACCTAGGAGAAAAATAGGGTTTAACACATTTCAAACACATGAGGTCAGATGGATCTTCTTGTTCCTACAGTTTTAAGATCAAATGACTTTTCAGTCCAAATGTAGAGAAGGATTCCACCAAAGCAATGTACTCAGTTATTATTTGGACCAGTTTATGTCCAAATATAAGAGTAGAAATGCATTTAAAAATATATACTTCACTCTGAGCACTGATACATAATCACAGAACTCCACACGTCTCTAGTTCCTTACCTTCTGTTAGTTTTTTTTCAGCTTCTTCATAATTTTTTTCTTGGAGAAAGTGAATTCCTAAACCAATAAGAGCTGGCCCACTTCTTGAGTCAATATCTAAAAGCTTCTGGCAACATTTCAAGGACTCCTCAGTGAAAATGCCTAGTAGACATGGAGGAAATTGGTCACTTTTTAGAAGTTAAGAAAAAATATAATGCAACCAATTTTGCCATTTTCCTTTTCACAAGTTTCTACTGGAAAGGTATACCATTTTCCAGTTTGTTCATTTTCAGGGTCTAAACATAAGACAATCTTGTTAAGGGATGGAATCTATAGGCCAGATCAGATTTTGCAATTTAGTGCACTGTTTTAAGTCAAGCATTTTCTTGTCTTAGAGGAAGATATCTAAGTAATCTATCCTTGCAGAATAACCATTTATCTCAATTGTTCAACACATTTAAGAAATGAAGGTCATCATCACCACAACAGAGGTATGTGCCTTGTAACATGTTGTCTAAATATAGTCATTTTCAACATGGGTTAAATCAAACCTCACACAAGCAGGTAAATATATTTAAGAGCTTTGAAGGTCCAGAGCAGCACTCTCAATGATAACCAGATGACTATATGAGGTGGCTTCAAGATGACTAATGTAACTTTTTCTTGCATTTTCCATCTCCCACATCTGCTAGAATTTCTTTATCGAGATCTAGTTAATGTACCCAGCTTTAGGCAAACTGGAATTGTCCTTAGTTTGAAAATTTATATAGCTCTCAAAAATTTACACTGGGTGCATTTGCATGTCACAGCAACAAAGCAACTTACACTGCACTCAAAAAACAACCAAGCTCACTACAGGTTGTCAGCCCATGCAGTAGTCAAGTAGAAGATGGAAATAAAGTAACAAACAGCAAACAATGAATTACATTTAAAAGCTACCTTGATTACCTGATTGAATGAAATGCACACAAAGAACTTCCAGAGGATCACTCACAGCAGCGTACATCATCATCATATCTTCACAGGCTTTCTTTAGTCTAGAAGACTCATGCGGCATCTTGTTTTAGGGGGAGAAAAACAATCGATCAGCAATGCAGATTGTGGGGCACATTGAAGTGCATCATTGTGCATTTCACCAATTCAAGTAAAAATGATTCTTACTTTTGACAAACACTGAATGAACTTGCTGTAAAGCTTTTGGTGCTCTTCACTTGGCACTGGGTCTGCGGAATTCACTGCCTCTTCAAATGCATTAAGTAGCTGAAAAAGATGGCAGGATGGAACAAGAGAGCCCATCAAACAGCATGCTTTGAGCAGATAGTGCTAACTGGATACTGTATATGCCTAAAGCCTGAAAAGATTCAACTTTAGCACAGTAGCAGCAAAAGACAAAATTAGAACCAAACTAATATTATTTGGTTGCATGACCCTTTCTGATATTTTTTTTATTTTTTAAAGGAACACCACCTATGAGAAATTTGATGACAGGGAAACAGTAGGGGCTGCTTAACTGTTCCTCTGACAGCCATTTGTCTACTCAAAATCTACTCTCTCCCTCTCAAGTTATTTTGCCACCTACAGTGGAAATGATATAAGGACCCATATTTTTATACACATATTGAAGAGCAGCCTAAGGAGTTGATGCCAATTAAATAGCTGGCTGGAAAATAGTTCCCTCTAAGCCACCCACACCCTGCCAACCCTCTCCGCAAAATTGGTTTGGCTAGAAAAATGAGTCAGGCAACATGGTTACATCTAACACACAACATGGTTTGGTCATTACATACAAGGATGAAAATGTAAGAACTGATAGTGTGAATTGTTACACAATTTCTGCATTGCTTTATTATTCCAAAATGCAGCATGGCTTATTTTCCAGAAGCAATTACTAGCCATAGGTCTACAGGTGCTTTCTGTTAAATGTTCATCTTTCTTATGTATTATTTTCAAAAGTTGCAAAATTACTCCTTGGAATGAGGTCAGGGTGTCTTTGTGGCAGCACAGATATCAGCTTTCCCTGTCAACATGGATAATTTTGTTCAGAGCTTGAGACTGGATAGAAAAAGGTAGGCCTGAAAAACTTCCCTTCCGGCTGGCCCCACTGTCCTACAGTTGTGATTTCTGTCTTGACACTTAACAGAAGAAATCTGACAGCAAACTCATGCAGGAAGATAGAAGTATGGGTCAAAAGGCAAGATTCTTCACAAATTAAACATCCTCTGATTCTACATACAGAAAATTTTCCTAGATTCTAGGTGTGTGGTTTGTTTCAAGAACAGAGCAAAAGGGAGTATTGTGAAGCATGTTAAGAGGAAGATTTAGGAAGGATTGGTTTGATCAAATGTTCCAGCTCAATCAAGGGAGCTAATGCACATAAAGCAGGGATAAGAAAAAAAGGCCAAAACTGCCTGAACTATTTGCTCATTTTGACATTAATAAATTGGATTGCACCTTAGGCTTTCATGTTTATTTTGTATTTGTTTATTTTATTATTTTTCATTACATTTATTTACACAGTTTATTACTTATACAATAAGATATTTATGACACACAAAATTTTGACACACAATTTGCATCAGAGATGGGCACAAGCAAGTTTAGCCACAGATTCAAGCAGGTAGTCCAGGAAAAGTCCCTGCATCTTGCCATTTCTTACAAAATACAAAATTTCCAATGAAATTCTAGACTGCCTTGATCTGAGACTCAAACTTGAATGATTGTTTAGCACTTTTGCTATGATGGGGTTTTAAAAACAGCAGATAGTCTGAACCTAAATGGGAGCCCTTACCAGTTGCTGTGTTTCATTATCCTGGAGATGTGTGCCTTCTTCCAGTAACTGGACCAATCTCTTCCACAGCTGATGAAGCTCGGCATTATCGGCACCTTCTTCCTGTTTTATTTTTATTAGCTTGTGCCACATTCGAGCAACCTGTCAAGAAAATTAGTCAAGCTTCAACAACTTCTCAAATCAGAGGAATGTTTGATCTTTGACTACTAGAGAACTGAAAGGCATTTTCCAATTTCAGCAATGAAGGTGAATGTCTTTTAGCTTGACTGAGATGTCAGAGGCAATAAGGAATCAGTATTATAAAATTACTTTGCAGTATTGCGTACTGTTGCCTACTGAACCATACAGCTACATAAATTGCTTTACTGCTATGATGTGGGCAGTGCCTCCCAAAATTGGCTGTTTCCACACTGCATTCTTGAATTGCCATTCATTAGTTGTCGCTCATTTCTTATGGAAAATCTAGATGTTGTCACTGTCAGTCTATTATGTTCTAACATTTATGTGCTGTTCTTCTGTGTTTCTTTCAGATCTAAATGGTGACAGCATTTGGGAAGAAAATGCAATTGCAGTATTGGCCTTGTCTAGATGGACAGGCAAAGCACATCAATGCTGTTAAGGAGTTGCCTCTAAGGTCTTTTTTTTTTTTTTTTAGCAGACTCAGTCCATTATTTAGCTTTCTGCTCCCATTTTATTGTTAGTGATGGATGAATGGTCTACCAATTGTCTCTTCAGGAGATTCTGGCATTAGGACAATCAAGAATTCTGTAAAGAAATAAGCTTGAATGGTTGATTTCTCTCAATTATTGTTGCTGACTGTACTATAATAGCAAAGTAGTGTTACAGAAAGCCAAAAAAAAAAAAAAAAGCAGCTTCCCAGTGATACCTTCAAGATGTGCTGGATTACTATTCCCAGCATTCCCCAGCCAGCATGGCTGGTAGGGGAATACTGGGAATTGTACTCCGGTGCATCTGGTGAGTAACAGGCTAGGAAAGGCTGAAATAAAGTCTTGCCCACCTTTCATTTTTATTATTAGATTTATATCCCACCTTAAAAAAAAAAAAAAACCTCAAGGTGGCTTACATCATTCTCCTCCTCCTGTTCTCAATCTTATCCCCACAACATTCCTGTGAGGTAGGGTGGCCTGAGAGTCCTGACTGGTCCAAAATCCTCCAGTTGGCTCAAGGCTGAGCAGGGACTAGAACCCATATCGCCTGAGTTCCAGTCCCATACTCTTAACCACTGAACCACACTGGCTCTCTGTCTAGGAACAGAAACTGACACTGGCACAACTGAGAAGTTATTAATCATTAATTTTACCACCTGCAATCGTGAGAAAGTAATAAAAAAGGCTAAAGTTCTTAATTAACACTGCTCACAGAATGAGAATTACCTCTAAGCAAGCAATAACGAGAGGATCTTGGCCATGGAGAAAAGTAGTATTAGATAATATAATGTGACATTTACTGGAAAGTCTGTTTTAATTCCACTTTGAGTTAATTGTGAAAAGGCAATACCCCAGCAGCATTGAAGTGCTCTAGCAACCAATGTATTGCTGGACAATATAACAACAGAGGAACTGACACTAATAGAAGCACTCAAATAGCCATTGAAGCATGCCAATAACAGATGGTATGCCAATACGCTGTACTGTGAAGTAACATTAATGCTAACTACAGGGTTTGGTAGTTTTATTTTTGCATGAAAGAAATAACTAACTTAATGGATGGTTCAATGAATACAAAGAACAAATGCTACCATAAGATGCACAAGTAAAATTGTTATATAATTTCTATCCTTTTGACTTAAAAGGGTTGAACTGTCAAAATGTTTCTTTATGAAATAGACCTTCAATGACTTTTCTTATCTTGGCCACCAACATAATTCCATTTCGGACTGGGTTAGTGATAGATGTTGATATTCCTAAAATCTAAAACTAAGTGAACATAATCCTTAAATCCAGAGAGTCAGAAAAGTCATCTGAGGAAAACAATACAGTGCAATTATGAGATGGAAGAACAACATACATTGAGACAAAATTCAGCCACATAATATGACTAATAAAAATTGCCTTGTGTCTGAGTTTAACACTGGCAAACATTTATTCACTGTAACATTCCAATTGTAAAAGAGATTGGTTATAAATGCTAATCACAATAAATGAAGCTCAACAAGACAGCAACTAACCTGAAGGTAATTTTTTTCTTGCTGATATTGCTGCACAAGCTTTCTACACACTTCACACCACTTCTGTTTATCAGTGCTAGAAAAAATATGACAAAACAGTGTCTATTAATTTCATATTTTAGTTGACATACCATATCAACTTAGAATGAGGTCTCTAAAGACCAGCTGTTCTGTGTTTCTTGTTGGGATCAAGCCTCTATTCTACCACTTCTTCAACCTTTTAAGAGCAGCCACTGGTTCCTGCAGTCCTCTTTGTGCTCCTCCTGTGTGCTGGTATTGGGAGGGGTAATTGCTCTTGGCACACATTCCCAGGGCATGCTGGGAGAAAGGGAAAGGGGAGCGGCAGCAGAAGCAGCAGCAGCAACAGCAACAGGGGGTCTCAGTATGCGGGCCAATGCCATTCATTGAGATGAGCGAAGCAGAGATGTTTATCTCAAGGCCAGGCTCCCCAGGTGCTCCAGCCACCAATATGAATGACCAAGATTTACAGCTATTGGGAAGGGGCTCGGAACAGGAGAATTTCTCAGAAACAGATGAAGCTGATACTGCTTTTGAACGCATGATGTGACAATGGGAGAGGAGCGCTACCCAATTACAGGACTGGCACACAGAGAGGAAGCATGCTTGTTTCCAAAAGGCCCCTCGGAAAAGGATGTGGCATAAAAAACTCAGAAGGAGAGTTCCTAGAAGTAAATACTAGATGCAGTTCAACGCACCACTCTGTGCACGTTCAGAGATTCATTCTGGGTGATTGTGCTTTTGGAAAACACTTTGGTGAGTAAAGAACTTTGTGCAAGGAAAGGTCTGTGGCTCTGAAAGGGCAGAGGGAGGAAACCTAGCTCCTGACACTGCGTTGTGTTTCTCCTTCCCCTAGGCATTGACCCCCTCCTTATCCTTTATTTTTCCATCACTTCCAAGCTGATCTTGGCACAACTTTCCTTCTTTTGGTCTCTGAATCCATCCACTTATGTTTAGGGCCACAAAAGGTTTTTTTTTAATCCCCCCACCTTGACTTTGCTGGGGTTCACATGCCACAAGTAACTCTGTGTGGTTCCCACTGTGTGTGTGTGTTTGTGTTTTGTTTGTTTTTTCTTCACGTGGAGGTGCCTGACAGACAATCAGGCTCATTGTGGTAACTCTTGTTCCTCCCCCATCTCCATCTGACTTTCGATGTCTCTGCACTAATGCCCGGAGTATGGGAAACAAGCAACACAAACTTGAGCCCATAGTACACGAGGGCAATTACGATCTTGTAGGAATAACAGAAACTTGGTCGGATAACTCCCATGACTGGAACTCTACAACTGAGGGATACAGCCTGTTCAAGAAAATAGGAAGGACAAAAAGGGAGGTGGAGTTGCACTATATGTGAGAGACACATATATCTGCACAGAAATTCAAGAAGAACTTAGTAGCCCCATAGAAAGCATCGGGCTCAATTTAAAGAGAGCAAAAGATAAGAAAAACATAGTTGTTGGCATATATTACTGTCTACTCAGTCAAAAAGAGGACAAGGATGCAACCTTCGAAAAGCAACTTGCCAGCATTTCCAAGAAGAATGTCGTAGTCTTTATGGGGGACTTCAATATCCCTGATATATGCTGAGAGACAAATTCTGCCAAGCATGGCCCCTACAAGAGGTTCCTGACATGTGTTGCCAACAAATTTCTCCAAGAGAAAGTAGAGGAAGGTACGAGAGGATCAGCTATCTTTGATTTAATACTAACAGGAATGGTTGGGTGGACAAAATAACAACCATGGGAACTCTTGGGGAAAGTGACCATGCAATACTTGAATTCTCAATTATAAAGGAGACAAAAGGTGACTGGAGCCAAACAAACACCCTGGACTTCAAGAAAGTCAACTTTAATGCACTCAGAAAAATAAGAAGCAAAGTGCCATGGCAACACACCCTTAACGGGAAAGGTGTTCAAGAGGGGTGGGAAATCTTGAAAAAGAAGATTCTCCAAACACAACTATGAACAATTCCATCAAGAAAAATGTGTAGAAGATGGCAGAGGAAGCCCACGTGGCTCCACAAAAGGTTAAGTGATATCCTGAAAGAAAAAAAGAACATGTACAGGAAGTGCAAGTAGGGCCAGGTCATGAAAGAAGAATATAAAGAAATAGAAAGGAATCGCAGGAATAGCATCAGGAAGGCTAAAGCAGGAAATGAACTGAGAATAGCAAGGGATGCTAAGCACTACAAGAAAGCCTTCTTCAGATGCATCCAGAACAAAAGACATGAGAAAGAGAAGGGTGTTCAGCAATTTAAAGTGGATGGCAGAATGATAACAGATGACAAAGAAAAGGCATAGAGGTGCTCAATTTCCACTTCGCCTCAGTCTTCTCCCACAAGGAAATCTGCAATCAAGAGGAAGTACAAGCTGGAACTGAGAGATGGCAGCCCAAGATTGACAGACAAATGGTCAAGGAATACATAGGTAGAATAAACACTTTCAAATCTCCAGGGACCACCTCCTATTATCTTGGATAAATCTTGGAAAGCAGGAGAAGTGGCAGATGACTGGAGAAAGGGACAACATTAGCCCATCTTCAAAAAGGGGGAAAAAGATGAACCTGGGAACTATAGACCAGTTAGTATGACATCCATCCCTGGAAAAATTCTGGAGCAAATTATTAAAAAATCTGTCTACAAGCATCTTGAAGAAAATGGAGCCATCCAAAATAAATCCTGTCAGACTAATTTAATCTCATTTTTTGACTGGGTATAATCCCAAATGGACAAAGGGAACACTGTGGAGATAATCTACCTAGACTTTAGCAAAGCTTTCAACATAGTGCCACATGACATTCTGATAAGCAAATTAGGAAAAACCTGACTAGATGGAAAAACTATTATGTGGATCCAAAATTGGCTGCTAAATTGGACACACAGAGTGCTCATCAATGACACCTTCGCAAATTGGAGGTGACTAGTGGGATGCCACAGCATTCATTCCTGGGCCCAGTGCTCTTCAACATCTTTATTAATGATTTAAATAAGGAAATGCAAGGAAAGATAATCAAATTTGCAGATGATATAAGAGTGGGTGGAATAGCAAACAACCTAGAAGACAGAATGAAAATCCAGGGCAATCTTCATAAACTTGAACACTGGGCTGAAAGCAACAGAATAAGATTCAATAAGGACAAGTGCCAAGTCTTCCACTTAGGAAAAGAAACCAAATGCATCAATACAAGATGGGGAATATGTGGCTCAAAAGAACTGAACAAGAAATTGTAATTGTGGACAATAGACTAAACATGAGCCAACAATGTGATGCAGCCACCAAAAGGGCAAATGCTATTTTGGGATGCATTAACAGAAGTATTACTTCTAAATCACGAGAAGTAGTAGTTCTTCTATAATCCTCACTAGTCAGACCTCATCTGGAATACTGTGTCCAGTTCTGGGCACCAAGATTTAAGAAAGATGCAGGTAAATTAGAAAGGGTCCAGGGGAGGGCAACAAAAATGATCCAGGGTTTAAAAACACTGCCCTACAAGGAGAGACTGAGAGAACTGGGCACGTTCAGCTTTGAGAAGAGAAGACGGAGGAGGGGCATGATATCCCTTTATATGAGTATCTCAAAGGCTATCACAAAGAGTAAGCTCAAGATCTCATCTTGCTGATACCAGAGTCCAGGACACGGAATAATCAAGTCAAAGCTGAGCCAGTCCTGATTCAGGCTAGATGTCAGGAAATGCTTCCTCACTGTCAGAGCAATACAACAGTGGAACCAGCTACCTAGAGAGGCAGTGAGCTCTCCCACACTAGAGACATTCAAAAAGAAACTGGACAGCCATCTGAATGGGATGGTGTAAATCAGTGTCCTGCAACAGCAGGGGGTTGGGTCCAATGGCCTTCAAGGCCCCTTCCAACTCTACTGTTCTATGATTCTATGAAATAACACCGCAGGGTTCAGATGACACAACAGACCAAATAGTGCCAAAAAAAAAAAAAAAAAGTTGCTTATCATATCATGTGAATCCACTTATTTCTCTTCTGTTTTCTTCCCTCCAGAGTAAAACTCTATCAGAGTTGGCTGTTTCTGCTCAGTCTTTAAGATATACAAGGACTTGCTCTACAAACTACTGTTGTTACAATAGCATTACTACCTATCTTATAGGCAGTCTTTTTGAGTTTCCCCACTACAATTCCTAACAAAAGGTGGCAGGCTTTCTCTTAACTGAAGGTATAAACAAGATCTTATCTCTTTCCCATCCCCACTCTCAACTTTCTGATTGTATGGTCCCCAAATTGGTAAAGCAGTTCAAAAAGAAAAGAGGTCCATACAAATATATAAAAAAACATTTTTGGGGTGAAGTGATAACACACAATAAATATATGAGTGAAATTTCACAACAAACTGGAATATCATCCTTTTATACAGACAAACCCTCCAATTTTAAATCAATGTGATAGAAAGGTTACCATGTACCAGGGATTTATATTCATGAGTAAATGAGGATTTTATATTATTGCAGAACTAACAGATACATCTATTAATGTGAAAGAAAATAAAGAAAATTATGGATGGTGTTGTAATCAAAGATTGCTTTGTGATTAATGGCATGAAATTATCTTGAACCAACTGCTTAGCCAACTGCTGCAACAGACTATACAATGATCAACTATTTCTTACCTCTCATAGAGTTCCAGAAGTTTCTGGTAAACTTTAATCAAATCTTCTCTGACATCTGCATGAGTCATTTTTTCATATAAATTAGCCAAGCCCTAGATGAAAGTGAAATGTGTTACTTTTGAAATAATTTCTTGGTATATAATGTGTCACAACTGTTGTTTCCAACTTCACTTATGTACTGTTCCAATGATCCATTTTTAAAGTCCACATCATACAACACAAGGTGAAAATATTACAAAATAATCAAGTGAAAATGAACTGAAAATTGAATCTGTATCTACAAATATAAAAGAAGTTGGTTATATTCTCTTAATGCTATTAATGGAACTAAAGACACTACCTCCCATTTTCCATTTATAAGTTATTGTACAATAGTGGGGATAGTAAGGATTGAGTCATATTTTTTTTTCTGCATTAGCAATCTCAGTTTATTCTGACCAGCTATAGTAGCTATACTTCTTGTTCAACCATTCAGGACACTGTTTACACAATTTAAATTTGCAGTTGCATCACCATGTTAGTGTTTATTTAAAACCAGATTAAACACAGAAACTAAACAAGAGTTTAACTTTTTTTTAAACCCTTTTGGATGTATGAAGACAATGAAAAAAGCATCAAACTAGAATTTTTATGTCCTATCAAAAGACAAACAACACTTGACTGTAGAAGGAAAACACAGAAGGAATAGAGAGTTCTACCTGCCATTTAGAACTTGTAAGCTTTTACTTCGATCAGCTTTTCTCTAAGCAGTAAAAATTTGAAGTGTTTGACCAGATTAGTCTAAACTGGTGCCATCCATATGTACTCGGACTACAACTTCTGTCATCCCCAACCAGCAAGATATATTCTGAGATATGCAGGGTGCTGGGATGTGTTTTGCATGCCTGAAAGCTGCTGTGCTGTGGCTTACTTCTGAGTAAATGTGCACAGAATTAAACTACACTTTGCATGCTTGGTGAGAATATGTCAGTATGTGCAGACACATTCACAGATATAATTCCTACAAATGTGGTTGTTTGGACCTGCACATGCATTCCCACAGCATACTCCAAAAATGGCCCGAAGGTGCAAAATGTTGAACACCTATGTAATGCTTACAATAATCATGTAAGACAGCTAGATAAAGCATATAAAGGACTTTGTACTCTTAAAAGACAAAGATTCCCTTTATCATTGCAAAGCATGGGAAAGTACTTGTTTCTAATCAGCTACTGATTGCAGAGAAAAGTTTTTCCTAGCAGCAGAAAGGGGCTGAGGAAAGGGGAAGAACTTGGCAAGCTAGACGGGGAACCCTGCAGGCCATATCCCTATCCCTGTTGTATAGTGTTCACAATATTTGCATTTTACAGCTTTTATTCATACAAGCATACAGAAGTCCATTTCATGCTAAATGGAAAATGAAAGCCATTGCATACATACCTGCCATGCCAGCAACTGTCCTGGTTCAAGCTCAGCAGCCTTTTTGTAGGCCCCTTGGGCTTGGTCAGGTTGGTCCAACTCAGCAGCTGCCAGACCGATAAATACCCAGGCATTGTAGTTATTTTTTTCTTGTTTCAGTACAGCCTAGAAATACACAAGTTCAAGTGAAAAGCACTATGCATTACCAAGATAAATATAATAAATCATTTCATAGCTGAGTAAGCAGAAAATATATAATACTCAGCTGCATCATCCCAATTAATCCATTATCCTGTTCAAAATATTCAAGATAGCTTATGACATTCAAAGCTGTGGAAGAGTGTGGTACAGAAGTAAAGTACATGCTTTGCATGCCTAAGGTCCCAGGCTTTCCAGGCAGAACTGTAAAACTCCTTTCTGAAATACTGGAGCCACTGCCAGTCAGTGTCAATAAAACTGGGTTAGATGGACCCATACTCAGACCCATTATAAGGAGGCCTCCTATGTTCCTAACATCTTCAGCTCAAAATGTAACAGCTAGTAGGGCTGGCGGGGAGGAGAACCCTCCTGCATTACTAAAGCAGCCTTCCCCAGCCTGGTGCTCTTCAGATATTTTGGGCATAGCCAATGGTCAGGGATGTTGAGAACTGCATGATGAACAATCTGGAGGGCACCAGATTGGGAAAGGCTATTCTAGAGCCACTACTTGACTGTGAAGATAGAACTGGGCTAAAACCCATGATGCACTATAAGGAAGTTTTGTATATTTGTATCTATAATGATAAAAGAAAACTGACACATTAAAAGAAGAAAGCAGTATAAGAATACAGTTAGAGAACTCCCTTACAAGTTTTTAGGTACAGTGAGGATAATCCCTTAGTGATCATCAGAGAAATAACTGTGGATAGATGATAAAACAGTACATGCACAAAGCTTAGTTGTATACTGGAATGCTAATTACCTTGCAGTGTTTCAGTGCTTCTTTGTATTCTTTATTTCTTATTGCATCTCTGGCACTTTTCAATGCTGCTTTCACTTCCTTGTTTGACATGACTAGTGGTAATGTTAAGAGAAAGAAATTACTGCCTTATACAAAGCCATTTGTAATACTTTACAATCATTCTTACAGCTTACACTCAACTACTTGCAGTGGTAGCAGTGGCGGCAGCGGCAGCAACAAAAATACTGTAACAATTTACTGATCAGCAGGCCTAGATCAAAAGAAATATGCTCTACAGTTATGATGCACAAATTTCATTGGTTAAATGTAGCTTGAAATGTAGCTGACACTGACCAGGCACCATTCCAGAGAAAGCTAGTTGGCACTTGACAGATAACAGCAGCACAAACAAAGGCCAATTCACACCAGCCCACCCCATCCTCCTTCTCTTCTATGTAATAGCACCCCTACCCCCACCTCCTTCAGAGCATCTTCTTTGGTATGCAAGTGGAAAAGATCACACCATTGTAACTTTTTACTTCTGTAACCTATTGGAAAGTACAAACTATGTTACATGTAATGTTGTAATGATCAATGTTTAAAGGGTCAGCTGAGGACTGCTCAGGTGCACCATTTGGAACAATTCATTGGTAGTTTGTTATTCTTGAGAATAAGTCATTTAAAAGAAAACTTTCCCATTGTGTATTTGGGGCATATGGACACCAGGATATGGACCATTTGGTCAACAGTTACATTGATTGTTTTTATGCACAAAGGTAGGCAAAATGTCTGAAAAATCGTCCTTTACTATGAACAAGTTGCATACTTATGAGTGCAACCTATGTGTTCCCACCATATTGAACAGGATCCAGTATTTGTTCTGCATAGAATAGTCTTATTGAAATGAATGAGACTTAAGCTAGTTGTTATTAACCAGTCTCATTCATTTCAATGGATCTATTCAACCCAGGGCTAATATTAGATACTACACATTACCAGTCTAAACCAATGATTTTATTAGTCCAAATTACAAGAGGCCCTGAGGAAATTACAATCTAAACTTCAACCCAGGGAGATGCAAATAGAGGGGGGGAGATGTTTATTTGCAGGTGCTTGGATTCATTAAATTAGGGTATGAAGGCTAAGGCCACAATTCTACAGTCTCTGGGAGTCCTGGGGCCACAGGAGTTTCCAGATCTCCCTAAGGGCATAGAGAAGTCTGACCTCAGAAGAGATTTGACTTCACAACCCTACAGCCAGCCACTGAGGAATTGCTCTATTTACTGTTATTACAGCTTTCCTCCTCTCCATCTGCCTCCAAACAAGCCTCCCCCTAGATGCTGGAACATGTATTCCAATACATCTGGAGAGCACCAGCCTGAGGGAGGCCAGTCAATATTGCACCATCATCCTCAGTGACATGACCCAAAGTAAGGCAAACACCTTACATGTAAATGCAAACTTTAGTTCAGTTAGGAATGAGGATCTGGGAAAAGGGCTGCTCTGCCAAAGGAGTGCACGCCATAGCAGGCCGTTATGCACGCTGTTTAACCGATCTTGCGGGTCACTGAAGACAGGCACACCTCGCGCAACTCCAGAGCGAGCCTAGCTCAGCGGTTCTTCCCCCTCCGGTCTCCCCATCGGAACCTCGGTCCAGCTCAAGCAGGGGAAAGCCAGGCAGGGTGGCGGAAGCAGACCCCTCAAGGCCTTCAAGAGAGGCCTTAGCCCGGAGCCGCACAACAGACAGTCAGTCAGTCAGTCACTCACCGGCTGTCACCACTCCTTGCCACAACTACCACCAGCAGCCGCCAACAACCATCCCACAAGACTCGCGCAGGCGCACCGTCTTGCTGTCCCATAAAGCCCGCCCCTTTCGCTGACGCAAAGCCTGAACGCCTTAGAGTTCTTGGCTGTCAATCACATTGTCCTGCCCGTCTTCCGCGTGGTGATGGGAGGTGTAGTTCATTAGATCTTCTCTCGGCAAGGATGGGAGAAGTTGTGTTACTATGTGCACGTACGATGCGCTCAAGCCTTGCAGACTGAGGCTACAGTCAGGTACACAAATTTTCCCAGAGAGTATGTCCTATTAAATACAGTAGGACTTACTGCTCAATATGCATACTTAAGACAGGCTTACGGCTTAAACCTATGCAGGTTTGAACAGAAAAAAACCCTATAATTCTCGATATTGGTGGGAAATGTTGGGAAATGTGGGAGTTATTTCTGTTGAAACGTGCATAAAATTATGTCCTTATTTCCTTGTCTCTAATACCCAAAACGTAGTGCTTGACTGGAATTTTACAAGTTCTGACTTAGAGGTCTTTTTTACACTATTGGAAGGGAAATTTCGCCTGCAAATTGATTTTCGTTTGCCTTTGCCCCCTCACATAAGACTTGAGTTAGAAGCATACGTTTCTTTCTTTGGTTCTGCTATTGGGCAGAAGGGGGGGGATCGTGTTTTGCTGTCCACTCATAGCTACTTTAACGTCCCGGATTTCTCTATAATTGTTTCACATGAGCAATTGCCCTTCCTTTGACTCCCCAGGAGAACTGCCATCTGAGCCTTCCGACAGTAGAATAGAAATGGTACACAATTCTATGTTCATCCTCTTCCAGATTTACCCCATAGCACTGCATTATGGGAGTGGTAGTTCGTCGCCTCATCTAAATTTCCTCTTTTGTTTCCCCATTGATACAGATATGAATGCGGCTCTGCACTCCCCTGGGTCTTTGGCGTGATGACAGTTTTAGGTCGTCCCTTCGCAATCACCCGTTTCTGAAACGGGCTTTGAAACTACCTCCTGATCCCTCTTATTTTTTTCCTGATATGCATGACGGGAGTCGTAGTTTCTCCCGCTGTAGGTTTGAGTCTCTCGCGCTGAAATCCTGTCACTTGCCCTTGTTGAACGTCCGCTTCTGCACCTTGGCAAACCCTTCCTGACAGTCAGGAGACATGCAGTCAGGCTGCAGGAAGTGAAGGGCGGTTCCGAAAGGGCGCTCTTGATGGAAGCCGCTTCGTGCTCTTGATCTGGTCTTAATGAAGAAATGTATCGACAGGGTCTAAATCACGCAGCCTCGCCAAGGCATGGCTGTCTAATCGCCTTGGTGGCCCTCCTGCTCTTGAGTATTGCTTCTTGGAGAGCTGTGGAGGCGAGGCCTTTATTTGGCACTGATGATTTTCGTGGCAAGCCTAACGTTGTGATGGTGATGTGCGATGCTTTTGTAAGTATTTTGTTTCTAAAGCTATGAAACTTGCTTTCCGACGCCTCTGTCGGAAGGTGAAGTGAAGCAGCTACTCTTTCAGCTAAGTACAATACCTTTCCTCTAACTACTTGAGCCGCCTACTTCTTCTCTTTGCATCCTTGGAACAGCCTAGGTAATTTTAGACCAATTTATTGAAGCACTCTTCAGATGACCTTGGGTATTGCTTCAGTTCTGAAGTATATAGCTGACATTTCTCTTCTCCATTCCATGCTTTACAGCTGTTTCTACATTCCTGATATATGCTAGGACAATACAGCAGCCACAATAAAAGTGTTTCTCAACTATGGTTTAAAACAAGACAGAACAAAAAACCTGTAAGCATGTGCATTTTACATTTTGCATTACATCACACCACCACCTCAACTAAAGGAAGGAAATGGAGTTTGCTTCTGCAGCCCCCATCACCTGATGCTTTCTGGCAGGTCATTTGCAGGGCAGGGAGGCTGGGCTGTAGGGCCTTAGACTTTGTCCCCAAAGTCCAGCACGTGCTGCATCACTGCTTTCCACTTGGAAGTGTCTCATGTATGCCCCAAAATCTGCATGCAGACAGATCTTGCACTGAGAGTAAAAATGCTTGCTGAGCTTTTGCTTAGTAATTTGGGAAGATCTTCACATATGACAGTCCTACACACAGAGAAACATTTGAGTACATTTGTACATTGACAGCCTGGGACTTACTTCTAAGTAAACATGTGTAGGATTGGGTTGTTGATTTACAAAATGGTTGCTGTCCAATCCGGTATTCCGCAGGATAAAATGGGGAAGGGTGAGCAGCATGTTGTTATACAAAGCCATTTTCAAATAGCTCTTTGTGTCCAGTAGGTGTCCTGCCAGCATAGCTAGAAGAACTGTAGACTGACAGTGAGACATTTTGTAACATCTCTAGTGTAGGTGTTTGTACACAATGGTAGTGTGAACATGAAACAGCTTGGTCAGTGTTACTCAAGAGTGAAAGAACAGAGGTGGTTCTTAGAAGTGAGATCATTAACCTAAGTGACAGCTTGAAAACAGATCAGATGGCAGTGAACAGACAGAGCTGTGTTAAAGGACTAAATCATACGTCTGACCGCTTGCAAGTCTTCTTTGCCCATGTTTTATTTATTTATTTATTTATTCCTATTCCATCCTATGGGGATGCAGGTGGCGCAGTGGTTTAAATTGCTGTGCTGGTTGATCGAAAGGTCACTGGTTCGAATCTGCACAGCGGAGTGAGTTCCTGTCGCTCCTTCCCAGCTCCTGCCACCCTTGCAGTTTGAAAGCATTCCATCCCATAGACAAAGCTTTCTGGGGAATTCACAAGATTTACTTTGCTTCATCACAAACAGGCAGGGCTCCAAAACCATGAGCTCCAAACCATTGGGAGCAAAGTCTTGTGAGCAAGTAGCAGTCATGGTTCATGTTCCTGCTCAGGAACTGGTCACAAAAGTTGCTCCAGATGAGGCTTTTATAGTGCTATAACCCTGCCTCATTCACTGAATTTTACGGGATGTCAGATTGAAAAGGAGAATCTTGATGATGTAATCTTCCACTTGAAATTTTTCCATGTTTTCCAACTTCTTTCTTACTGGGGAACATCCATTAAAAAAGAAAGGATGAAATACCTGCACAAAGCCTTCTGAAAGTTATCACTAGGACTCTTGCATCTGAAAAAACCCCAAGACTTGCTGAAATCAACCTACTCAGTGTAGAAGATCATAGGAATAGTGGAGTTCTTGCCAAATTGTACCACGAGAGACTGCAGACATGGGATGACAAGGTTTCCCCACTCTTAGAGTATTGAAGGTGTTGGAAAAGAAATTGTTTCTCTGACATGTCAAGCCAAGAATCATGCCCTAGGCCCATTGTCTCAGCTTCTGATGCTATAATTTTTCCACAATGTAGTTATAAACATGTTCCATTTTGGTAGTAGCACATTTGGACTATAAAGTCTGGTTCCAAATAAGGTTCACCTAGCAGCAAGGTACGTATGAAAACTGTGAAATTCTACTATGTGTAAATTTTATATGTAGGAACTTTTTAAAAATTCCATGTTGGTGTCTGTCATCAAAAACCTGTCCATAGACAAAGTTTCCAACAAAGGTATCATCTACAAAAAAATTACATATCTGTTGCATTCAGGTGATCTGAAATAGTTGTTTTAGAAGTTTTACTGGTTTCTTTGCAAGATTGCATATATTAATCTGCAGAGTAATTTTCATAATGTTATTTCCCCTCTGCATACAGGATGGAAGACTGACATTTCACCCAGAAAATGAAACAGTAGTCTTACCTTATATCAGTCTCATGAGAAGATATGGTAGTCTCTTTCTTAATGCGTATACGAATTCTCCAATCTGTTGCCCTTCTCGTGCAGGTAAGTTCCTATTTAAGCAATAAATATTTGAGTGGAACCAGTTCACATACTAATTTATTACAGTTAAACCTCAAAATATTTTAAATAAACTTATTTTAATATTCTGTGATAAGAGCATTACATATATGAAAATTAATAGTAGATGCAACAGAACAAATTTAAAAGTATTCTGACTTTGGTTCTAGATGCATTGTCTTTAAAGATTAAAGTTTCCTACCTGTGACATTTCTGAGCTGGAGCAAAATGAAACATTGACAAGTCATGAGGAATGCTACCATTGACATCCTGAGGACAGGTGGAATGTCCTGTGAGAACCAATGTTTGGTTCTGTATATATGGCTATTATATTTAAATGATTTCTTATAATTTCAGAGTTTCTCTGGCAATTAGTTATTCTTTTTCCAGTATTCATAGATATGATGTGTAGAGTTATGTATTTTATCTTCTGCCGCTAGTACTGGGGGCATTTCCGTAAGTTTCCCAAACGAGACAATATCTGCTTCTTTTTGACAGGCCATGTCTACTTTTCATAATATTTCATAACATCCTTCACTCCTTTATCTCATGCGAAATATATTAATGGTATGTAGCTTTATGTATACAGGCATCCATTTCTGCAAACTTTCTTATTTCAAATACATGCTGGCCTTTCCTGAGGTTAGCTAGGAAAATTTGCCTTTTCCTTGGCAGATACAGAGCTCAGTGAGAAATTATAGCATGCCAATTTCAATGCCTCTGTTAGAAGGGCTTGCTAGAATTAAATTGATGTAGACTTAATACAGGAACAGATCTTAACATTCCACTTACTGCTGTATGAAAATTGTAACTTAGGAGATGTTTGCAATTTATGAGAGAAATGTGGAAGGCCAAGTAACATTTTATTTTTTATAAATACTTGCAAGATAGCCTATTCTGCAGGTTGGTGCAGGACTCTCTCAAGATACACAGGAACCTTTGGCAAATGTTTGTTATAGCTTGCTTTGGTTTTTAATTTGGGTTGTTAGAATCCTTGGAAATTTCTTCAAACTGGAGAAATGGAATAGAAACCATTGCACAGGGTCAAATCTAGTGTTAGGAGTTCGTTCCATAGAACCCTGAAATCCACTAGATTCAGATCTAGCCCAATAGGGTCAAGGGAAAGGTTGTATTATTGTTCCTAAGTTTTTAAAAATTTAAATTGCTTTGTAAGGTAGAATTAAAAGAACAAAGTTTGGTGGAAAGAAAAGAGGGATCCTTGACAATTTCTCATGTCATTGGACTTGCCCTGGTTTCCTAGAGCCAATATAACATTGTGTGTGTGCGTGTGTGTGTGTGTGTAAACAAACAGTATCAAGAAAATCTTTATTGGTTCTTGAAGCAACAGGTTCTTGCCTTATGAGATTTCTCTTAGCTGCATATAAACAAAAGAGGAAAACTATAAAAATTGTTATAGGATGATTTTATGCACTTCTGACCATCAACAAATGTTGTTATCTTTTTAGCTATGTGGAGTGGCCTCTTCACTCATTTAACAGAGTCTTGGAATAACTTCAAGGGTTTAGACCCAAATTATACAACATGGATGGACCTCATGGAAAAGCAGGGCTACTATACTCTGAAATATGGAAAACTAGATTACACTTCAGGGCATCATTCACTAAGGTGAGTCCAAGGGAAAACATCTTATCTGATGCCTGTTGATTTAAACTTTATCATTTTTAATCATTTTTCTTTAACTACAAAACATTTTTCAATAGATATCTCCTTTATCCTGATAACAACAGTTTTGGAGCAGGTTAGCTTAAAAGATGTCCTCTTACAGTGGTGTCCTACAGTAAATGGTACGTTAGTTAATCCATCAATTGTGGGCACATGCATTGCATTAACAGTCTTGGAAATCTGCTGAACAAAAGCACTTGATGTTGGTTGTTCATGGGTTAAGCAACCTTAGGTTAACCCAATATCAAGCCATTGACTAACTGGAATTTGTAAAACAAGTCCATGTTTTTCTATCCCACTTCTAGTGGAAAGGGTTGAGCACATTTGAATAGTGCTAAGAAGTGCTAAACTGTTTGTGCTAACAAGCATTTGGGAGCTGGAAAGAAACGGATAGAGAAAACTTTTTGTAAGTGGAAAGAATGGTAGAGAATTGTTTGCGAAGGTAAAGTGTGGGCTACATATTGTATGTTTAGGCAGGGGTTAGGGAAGAAAACAGTGGTGAGCAGTGGGAAAGCTATTTGGGGGTGTAAAGAAAAGAGAATATTTGAGAAAAAACAGCAGTTGCAGGAATTGGGCATATGTGCTTCTTTGTGGGTCAAAACCATATTAAATTGTAGGTATGCATCTGTTAAATGGAATATTGGACTGAAGACATTTGCTGTTCTAATATCTATTGTGTCTGCATTGTTTCCACTGGAGGGCTAATAAAGCTAAGAGGACAGGTTAGATTTGGAAAACAGTACGAAACCAAAGATTTAATACACACACATTATTGTGGAGCCTCGTCCCCCAAGTGGCTAGGTGCTCTGAAGTAAAAATAAAAACATTGGGAATTTAGGGCACAATCCTATTCATGTAGGACTTTTTTCTGTCAAACCAGTCCCAGCATTCCTCTGCCAGACATTTTTCTATCTAACTGTGTGTTGCATTGCAAAAGATTTGTCAAAGATCTCTTGCGTCACTAGTAGTTCAGCTCTCAGACATGCCACAGGACTCTTTGTACTGCTTGTTAACTTGCTCATAAATAAATGTGCCCTCTGTTGTAACCCCAGTTTCTGACAGTGCAATGCGTGTCCATTAACTGTGTTATCCTGTCTCTAAGTAGATGAGGCAGTAAAGTCTTATTTCAATGTTTTTATTATCTTTTCTAGAAACCTCTTGTAACTGTGTAACTGAAATCCTTGCTATTTATCCTTAGGAACCCTCATTGTGTAGGAGGCATACACCTTAGAAAAGCAGCAAACAGAGCAGTTATATTTTTTGTAAGAATTCAATGCCTTTTGAATATTCTACTTATATGTGTGGGTTTTTTTAAAGGTCTAGCTTTGTTCTTCACAAAGTGCAGACACTTGTGGGTACTTTTTGAGGCTCATGTTTTGTTTGTACTGTTACAAGGACAGAATGACTGAGTGTGTGTCATTCTTTTTCTGGCTTGTTTAGATTTAGTCAGAGAAACTTAAGTCTAATATAAAAATATTGTTCTTGTTCCCTTTGTGTCTCTATTATAATAGAATAATAGGTGCTCAAAAAGGTTTTCAGTGTTTTTATAGAGCTGGCTTATTATTGTTTATTATAGTGTTTATTATAGTGTTTCATAACAAGCAATTACTAATTCTAAGGGAAGAATAATGAAATAGTAAGAATTTTTTACTTATTTTTAAATTTTAGTTCTTGAAAGGGAAAAACACACAATGTAGATTCAAACAGTTCATTAAATACCAATTATACAAAATTTCAAAACACAAATGATATTTAAAAACCAGGAGATTAAAAAAAATTGTAAGCCTCTCAGTTGTTTCAGGATAGAACAGAATACCTATATAATACCTATGTGTGTCCATTCATCCATCCATCTACCTATCAGGGCCATAGCTCCAAGACTAGGAAAGCTAGACTGTGTTTTATCATATCAGTATTTTTAGTGTATCCATTTTTACTATCATACTTTGATAAATTGCTGTGAACTTCCCAGAAAACCACCCATTATGCAATGAATGATAATACATACCTGAAACATGGCATGCATAGAATGGGTGCACACCTCTGCATTTAAAAAATAAATAAATCTTTAGTTACAGTTAGGGCACAATCCCATTAATGTTTAAACAGAAAATTCCTACAAACCAAGCATTCCCTAGACTGCTAACATTCCCCTATAACCTTTCCCTATAAATGGTTTGAGGAATTCTCTTCAGAAGTTCCTCAACAGGAAATCCACAGAAAAACTTCTTGGTTCTGTCTGACTTTCTAAATGTCTTGCCCATGAAAAAACACTACGGCCCAAATCACACATAACACTAAATCATGATTTATCATTACTAGGAAGAGTTTCTAGCAAGGCTCAGGCTGTCCTCACTCCCTTCTCATTCAATGCAGCCGTAAGGAAGAGATTGGAAGTATCCTGAACTCTACACTGTGGTTATCGTTAGAATATAATAATGAATATAGAATATAACATCGAAGCAAAAGGATTTGAAGTCTTCCATGTGCAAGAGGAGTTCACAATAAAGGTTCTCTGAAACTCAGCCTTCTAATGATATGGTTTGACATTATAAACATGCCCAGCATGTATCTGATAATATGCTGGAAAGATTTAAATATCCAAAGAAAAGTGTCTCCAGCACTGTGACATGAAACCACTGTATTCAAAAGGCAAATGTTTCAAAATTTTGAAAATTCTGATAATCTTACTGTAGCTGTGAGTAAACTGAAATTGCACATGCTGAATACTCTTCTCACTTTCAGCAACCGAGTGGAGGCTTGGACCAGAAATGTTGATTTTTTGCTTCAGCAAGAAGGCAGGCCTGTGGCCAAGCTCATAGGTAACAAGACATATGTAAGAGTCATGCAAAAAGATTGGGAGACCACTGATGAAGCAGCAACATGGCTAAGAAAGAATGCATCTCACTTAACACAACCCTTTGTTCTTTACTTGGGATTAAATTTGCCTCACCCTTATCCTACACCCTCCTCAGGAGAAAATTATGGATCATCAACATTTTTAACATCTCCATATTGGCTGCAAAAGGTATGTAAATGCAATAGAAATATTGAAATAGATTTAAGAATAACATTTATTGGATATCTTATTTGTCAGTTCTGTGTAACTCATTCTTAGTCTAAAGAAGTAGTCTTTGACTATGTTGCTAGATTAAAGGAGATGGGTTTGCTAAAGCACATCTGCATGAGCAATTTGTAGTGTATTTATTTATTTATTACCTTTCTCTATCATCTAATTGCTGAAGCTGTCCAGGTGGTTCACAACAATTAAAACCATAAAGTGCAACATGGTAAAATGCAATGTAAAAGTTGAAAAGTATAAAAATATAGTCTGAAATAAAATTAATATTCAAATAGAACCTAGCAGCCATGCGAAGATTTAGTAAATGCTAGCTGAACGGTCATTCCCTCCTCACACAACTGTAGTTAGGGGAGGGTGCTACCTGATCTAGGAGGGCTTCCCAACCCTAGATATAGCATTTTAAACTTGTCTGGAGGGACTGCTATGAGAATGAGGGAATAGGCATGCTACCTTCTGCAAGCCTCATTGCATATTCCTTGATCAGGATCCAAGCAAATATAATTTAGTACAGTGCTGTCGGTATACCAAATTATATAGGAAAGTGCTACCTGCAAGGAGCTTCCAAGCTCGAACATGCAGTGGGGCTAAACTGTAGGTACTGGGGCAGGTTGCAGGAGACATGGAATGTAGACAAATGCATTTAGCTTGAGACACACAAGACTTGTCCCTGGTTTGGTGGTAGTGGAAAAGTAAGGCATTGTAGCAGCATAGCAGTAATCTGCTTTACACCATTCCCTGATTTTGTGATTCTCTTTCCTAATGCTTCTCCTTCTGAGTCTGTCCACTGTGACTATGAAAGCTAATGTGGGAAGAAGCAGTGCCTGCTTCCAAAATGATGCATGTTTATGAAGCATGTATTTTCTACATTCAACAACCACTGTGTTTGCTGGTATAGTCCTAGTGTCTCACTGTTCACAAGGGATGCATTCTTACTGCAGTACTGAATTCTGTGTTGGGATATTAATCTTTCCTGGAATAATGTTACAATTTCAAGTTACTTTATTTTCTAATGGGGCTGGGGGGTCTCCAGCTATTTTCCTATATAGGAACCCAATAATATTTTTGTCAGAAGAAGTAAATTGTTCCTGTTTATTTGTACTGCATTTGAATTATTTCCTAATGCTGGTTTACTGTGGTCACAGTACTCTCCAGACTGGTTACCATGGCTCCCAGTGCTTAGACAGCAGTGAAGCCCAGTATTTCAGCACAACATTTTAAATTAAACAATTCTTGCTTCACAAAAGCTTCTTCAGTGCACACAGGTTACTTTTTCTTTTACTGTTTGTGTAATTGAACAATTGGTCAGATCATCAGGTACCTCAGAATTTCAGTTGTTTAAATACATTATTGACATCTTCTTTTCTCCTGCTCTAACGCAGGCAGACTAGTGGTCTATATTCCTCTTGTTAAATATGACAGGTTCAGAACTGTGTATCTGAAGCTCAGCTCAGTTCTCTGCTCAACACCTTTAAAATGGGAACAAAAGGTATACCGCAGATCTATGCCTATATAATTCTTAGGCTGGGAACTGAGGTCTCATGCAGTGTAAGCAGTCTCTTTAGACTTCTCTTGTAATTTTTCATCGTTGTGACCAGGTGGGACAATTTCAGGCCACTAATGACTTGGCTGTTAGCACAGAGAGACCCAGTAGAAGAAAAACAGTGCCTTACCCTGGGATCCACTGCTTACTTGCAGATGTATGCTCAAGTGCCTAGTGAGAAGTGTGAGTACTACTATGCAGATACACTGCAATGCCCACTAGGTATGTACAGTAAAACTGATCTGTGCCAGTGCATAGTTAAATTATGGAATTCACTAAGACGCTAAGTGAATTCACTAAGGATGTAGTGATGGCCACTGGTTTGGATGGCTTTAAAGGGGTTTAGACAAATTAAAGGAGGATAAAGTGATCGATGGCTACTAGTCACAATGGCTAAACATTACCTACAAAACTGGAGGCAGTATGCCATTGTTTATCAGTTGCAGGAAAACCAGAATGGAAGTATGCTATTACAGTCGTGTTCTGGTTGTGAGCTTCCCAGAGACAGTTGGCTGGCCACAGAATGGTGAACTGTATAGGTCACTGGTCTCTTCTTATGGTTTCAGATGGTGAATTTCTGAGCCTTTCTGTTCCTTCCAGCTGACTTTCACCTTTAATTTTGAAAGTGGCCGTATGAATGGATGATGTACATTTAGGTTCTTTAAGGTCATATCTATGTTGCTAATTGATAGGATTTATTCTGTGCATGTTTGATTAGGTTTCTATGGCTGAGTTGGAGCCAGACAAAAGTATTCCTTTGTTCACTGCTCTGCTTCTCAAGTGGAAGGCTGTGGACATCTAAGAACTTAAGATCAGTTCGGGGTCAATTTAGTAAAGCACCCTGTTTCCCACAGTATAGCCAAGTGGTTGCTTTCAAAAAGCCCACAAGTAATGCACAAAAGTAATAAGTTGCCTGTACCTTTGCCTCCCAGAAGCTGATATGAAGAGTCCATATGTCTGGCTGTGGCATTGTCTCCACTGAACCTGATTGACCTGGCCACATCTGGTACTGAATCCACTGGAACGAATCAACCTGACCACACGCTTAGCTAAATCCTGGGGATTTGCTAACACAACTGTAGATCTGCCATCATGTCAAACTTTGCTGGGTAAACAAAGGGGCTCTTTTGTGTGAGCCTAAAGGATTTCATGCACCAAGCAGAGCTTTTTTTTCTTTCTAGTTTTCCATGGTTTGTGTGTGTGTGTGTGTGTACGTGTGCGTGCGTGTATACGTACATAGCTGGAAGTCCTGCTGGGCTTGGAGAATTAATTCCATGGTTGTTGGGTTTGTGGCAGCCTGACTAGGTTTGAAGGGAGCTTAGCATTGAAGCAAACACTCTGTTCATTTGGTGCATCAACATGATGCTCTCACAGTACACTGTGTTGCTAAGCAGATGGTCTGTAAGGCAGTATATCAGCCAGAGCCATCTTTGAAGCATGTGGCTTTGTTCCGAGACACATGAGTTGTAATCAGCAAAGACAGATCAAGTTCAATTTTGTCAGAAGAGGCTTCCTTTTAGAGGCTTTATATACGCATTTGAATGGTTGATGCTGTACGGTTAGAGAGGGGTTACTGTGATCAGAAGAGACTGCTAATCTCTACAGAAGAGGCAGCCATGGCAGCAGAAGGATGTGATACTGCCCTGAAAGTGAACAGTAGTTTGTGGCAACAGATTGTACTTGCTCCAGCTCTTTGCCTGTGCTTTCTTAATGACTGGTACAGGCAGAGGAAAAAGGACCCACTAGAAGCAGTAGAGTAATACCTGAAGTAATCCTTCAAAGGCATGCAACATTGCTGCACAGGACCTTGCTGGGAACAGCAGCGGGTCAGGGACACCTTCCTCAAAAGATTTTGGCACAGCACCCTAATCCTCATGCCATTCTTCTATGAAGCTTACCCCCTACCTTCTGGTGCCCCTGCTGAATGAGGTGAGGTGGATGTACACTAATGAAAGGGACTGTTCTGTAGAAGCACTCCAGTTCTGGGGTACCCTTGCTTGCCTGGCACCACACTGTGGATTTTTTGGTGCCAGGTGAGGACATTTTGTACATTTTCCTAGGCTTTTAGTCTTTCATTTCTATAAAAGTGAAGCAAAGCAGGAATCCACCCAACCTTCCTGCAGAACAGGCAGGGATAACATTAACTGGTAAGCTGCCACCCACTTCAGCCATCCAGTCCAGTCCTCAGACCTCTTCAGTTGAAAGTGAGGATGACTGAAATAAGGGTGCAAACTTCTACCCTCTATTTAGTCTCCCCATCTTGAAATCAAGTGGCTAAAAGCACTGAAATTACCAATGAATTTACCAAACAAAACACACACATTTTGAGGGGATAAAAGAAAACTTTATTTGATAGGTATCTACAAGGAAATGGGAATAAAAAAAAAGGAAAGAAACAGGGAACAAAAGAAAGAGCAAACAGTTATGCAAGGTACAGAACATTTAATAAAATTCCTCAAATAGAACAATAGAGTTACCGCCTATCCTATACATTGCTATGGTAATAAATCACTTATAGAATAACTCTCAGCCAGGATATACAGAGTGATGGCATAGGTTCTAAAAGACCTAGAAGACAGCTGACTGCAACCATACTTCCAAGCACTGTTTTTATACCTCCTTTCCTCACAGCCACTCTCAGCAGATTGGTTTCTGACAATTATAGCTTAGCCTACCTTCACCCCTCAGCATCTCAAGGGGGGAGCAATTTCTCTGGAAACTTCCAGCTGTGGCTCATCTGACTGCTTTCGGACCTTGAATACCAGTCTGGCTAAAGCAGAACAGATAGACGACAGAAAATTAAACTCTCCTTGGCCCTGCCATCTCAAGAGGCCCAAGAAGGGGAAAAAGGCAAATCCTTTTAACCCATTCCATCCTTACCCTGACACATCTTCACAATAAAAAATACTTTTGTACATTTTTAGATCTTTGCACTATTGCTGGTACAGGCAGTCTCTGTGTTATGGCCATCCGAGTTATGAACAACCCTTGCTTAGAACTGTCATAAAGCCTATTCATTTTTTTAAATTCCTGCAGGAGATCATCATTGTAGGCATGTCATGAGTGAAGCTAGCTGGAGTGGGAGGGGTCAGACTAGATGGTCTGAGAGACCCCTTCTGATTCGCTCTGTTTCTATGCTTCTATCATCACCTTAGAGAGAGAGAAAGCAAAAGGGGAGAGAGGAAGGCCTCCAAAGCATCCCTTCCTGTCCCACTACTCAGAGAGGGAAAATCTTTCTGGCATTTCCTTGCTGCAAAGAGGAGATGCTGGTGAGTTTGGGTGCGGAGGCTAGAGATATTCACATTTTTTTCCACTTTCACAGGCATCCTGCACCTCTAACTGCAGTAAATGTGGAGGGCCAGCTATGTGTGATCCAACTTACATACAAATTTGACTTAAAGACAAATTTCTGTTTTTTCAGGAATGGAATATATTCTCGACCCAGGGACCACCTGTTATTTACATTTATTTATTCTGTTTTAAACTTTAGGGTTCCAATATTATTTTATATTGCAGTCCTTTGTGTTCCTTGGATTCCCAGATCAGAGCTTAGGGACAAAGCTCTGATTTTAGAGCCATGATCTATCTTGGATCCCCCTCCCCCCACTCTACAGCAGGTATGGAAAGACATGACCTGAGGGGTAGGAAGAGGAAGAGACCAGGGCTACATGGATTCATGGTATGCCAATGGTGCTTCTTTCTCCTTCTTTCAGAAATCAGCCAACTTCTAGCTCACTTGTTAGGTGGGAGGATCCTCTACTGCTTCTGCTGTGCTGCCCTGCATAGGATGCCTATAGTCCTCTGAGTTCATATGCTTAAGAAATCTCAGTTTGATTGTGCCTTTACTAGGCTATTCAGTTGATGGTTCTACATTTTGTTTTGTGAATCACCTAGAGAGTTATTGGGTGGTACAGACATGTAATAAATAAGTAACAGAACATAATGCATGTGCTTTCACTGTATTTCCCTGCCTATATTTCCTTCTGTTGTTTGATAGATGCCACCTTTCCTGTCAGGAATAGGACCTGTGCTTTTTTACTCTGTCAGTCTTCGTGCATATTGCAATGTTAATAAAATAAAAATAATAATAACACTTGATGATGAATGTTTCATTATATTAGCAATTATTTTTAAATACTATTAGGAGCCAGGTTGTTTAAGGGTTAGCCCATGTATTAGCTGCAGCTGATATTAAAACTTTCTAGATTTTTCTTTGCAGTCAAGCCACCATTCTGAGGAAAAGAAACTCTTGCATGTAACTTACAGCATCTTCCTCATGTTCAGTCAGCACGTACACGTTGGGGTGCCTACTTGAAAGCTGCCGACAAAATGTAGGTGTACACTAGTTGCATTTTGCCAAAATAACATATTTCTATTTTGTTACTAGGTGATATATAAAGCCATTAAAATTCCAAAATGGACTCCATTCTCCGAGATGCACTCAGTAGATTATTATTCCTCTTATACAAAGAATTGCACTGGAGAATTTACAGAGAAAGAAATTAGAGATATCCGAGCACATTATTATGCCATGTGTGCAGAAACTGATGCCATGCTTGGTAGGTGAAATCCTAGTCTAATTCTTTTACTAATTTATGCATGTAGTTCTTAAATACAGCATTAAATACAGTTATTCTGATCCTAGTCATGCAGAAATTGCAGCACATTCGAGTCATATGTTGTTAGAAGTCTTAGAACTAGAGCCTGTAGAAAGCTTTTAATGCAGGTCAGCATATTTTTTGTTGGAATTAAAAAATATTTAGGCTTCTGTCTTACCAGAGGATTTGAACATGATGCCCAAAGTAAATAATTTGGCCCAGTTCAAATATCCATGGCTGTAGTAGAGGCCAAGGCCAGATGTCAAGAATGTGCATATCTAGCATCATGCAAATGATGTGCTGTGCAATTCTATGACCCTCTGGAGAAAAGAAAGGACCACAAAGCTGAGGAGAGAAGTTTGCCAGTGGCACCCAGGGCATCATTCTGTGCTGCAACATCTGCACCATTGACCTTCACCATGCAAAGAACATTATTGTGGGCCTAGATATCTGGACTGAACCCATGTGACAAAGAATGCTGTTTAATGAAGCAAAGGACTGTCTTGAAAAAAGGGAGGAGTGATTTTTTGCAGTGCCTCCATTTCCTGTAGCTTCTAGCAACTCTCCAGAAATCTGCTTCAGAGGGTTGGGTGACTCTACAGCACAATGTGGGAGTTGCTGTAGGGGTGAGGGAAAATTACCCCCTTCGGTTGATGGATATACTGGTGGATGCTTTTCGTTGGTGGAGGGACACCAACTGGATACCACCTGATATTCTGTGAAATGGCTTTTTTGGGAAAGAGGTTAGAAATAAAGGGATATTATATGCTGGCACATCACTGCAGACATATAACAGCTGGATATTGTTATTGCCAAAAGAGTGGGAAACTTGTGAAGACCGAACTGGGGGAAAAAGGAGTCTTTCTCAAGGTTTTTCATATCAAATGGTGATATAGGATTTTCTTTATGTTTGTTGGAATGCTACAGAATTTGTCATTTTGAGAATTTCAGCTGTACTTTTTCCAAATATGAACATAGTATATTTAGAATCTATGAACCAAGAAGGAACCTCAGTAAAATGTCTGAGATCCTTTCAATAACTTTAGCATCCTAGGTAGTTTTCTATCTTGGCTATTAAGTTCTTTGCTGTACCTGCCCACATATCATTTGAAAATATTTAATGAATACAAAACTAACAGACACAACATTTTAAGCCTGTTAGCAGTGTCAGTGAAATAAAAGGAACTGCCATGTTGAGTTATACTTGGATATTGAGGGCACAGTCTTATGAATGCGCAGAGAAAAAAGGTTCTACAACCCCCAGAATTCTCCAGCCTGCCCTTATGAGTATGGTTGGCAGGGGAACTTGAGAAGTCATAGGACTTCTGCCTAAATGTGCATAGGATTTTATCCTAAATTTTATGTAACACCTTGGATGTAGCTCATTCCCAGCACTGAGCCATCAGGGATTTTTCTTTAGAGGGCTACACGGGAGGCAGAAAAAAATAAGTTTTTTAAAGTCAATTGTTGTGGTTGTTTATTCACAGGTTCAGAAAATAAGAGTGTTGTGGATGGAGACTTGAGGAAGCATGGAAAATGCAGTTCTGCCTGGTGATAGTTAGCTGTGCAAGAAACTCATTCTGATTTCTCAGGGGAAAAGTAATGTGTCCTTCATGATCTCCCGTTATTAAACTCTGTAGGCTTGGAATCCTTCAGAACAGCAGCACCACCTATATTGACCTCCTTCAATTTGATATCCTCCAGATGACTTGGGCCACAACTCCATAATTCCCAACTAGTAAATTGGTTGGAAATTCTGTGAGTTAAAGTTCATCATGTTTGGAGGGCACCAGGTTGAAGAAGGCTTATCTAGTGCTTTTTTGTAATGGGGAAAGAGCTACTTTCAAGACTTTTTAAAAACAACAAAATAGTTTTTACACATATACATGTTTAATATTATAGTATTTGTGTAGTAACTTTTCCTTGTCTTTTAATGCAGGTGAGATAATTTCTGCTCTAAGTGAAACAGGACTACTCAAAAATACTATTGTCATATTCACAGCAGATCATGGAGAACTTGCTATGGAACATAGACAGTTTTACAAGATGAGTATGTATGAAGCAAGTTCCCATGTTCCTCTCCTTATAATGGGGCCAAACATCGGTCTGCAAGTTATATCCAATGTAGTTTCCCTTGTGGATATCTATCCCACCATGCTTGGTAAGCACCATTTCCACTGGAATGACAAGTTCACTTTTGTAACTTTAACTGCTTTGCAGAATTACCTGTTTACACCAAAAGATTGCAGCTGATTGTTAAAAAGCATTGTTGAGGTGTGTCTGTGGCATCTCTGATGACAAACACCTTCCCCAACATGCCTGTACCATGTTGTGCTGTACTGCTTAAGGTGCAAAGCAACATTTATAGGACATGAAACTGACTGATCAAGCCTTAAATCAGCATCACCGCCCATGATTTAGCATGCAGAGTACCTTTTTGGCCACATGCACTTTAATTGGGCTCTCCGTTTCATGTGCATGTAGGCAAAAATATAATTGTACTACTTTGCTCAAATATCTAAAAATGCTAACTGTTTCTGGAAAAAGTTAGAAACAAGGCGACCTAAATGACATATAAATGCTGAGACAGAGATGCGTTGTATATAAAGCAGGGTGGATGGAGAATCTGTGGCCCATCATCCCTGACTCTTATCTGGGGCTGATGAGAGTTAGAGTCAACAACATCTGGAGGGCCACAGGTTCTACATCTCTGGTGCATGGTTTTCAGTAGTTGCTGACTCATTTCCAGAATGAAAAATAACAAAAGGAACCTTCATTGCTTCACAATCTGAATAAAATAAACTTTCAAAATATTTTCAAATGTGTAACTTTTCATTCTCTTAGACATGGGAAATACCATGTTTAAGCAGGATTTTCCCATTTTAATTTTCAATCAAAAGCAGTATTTTGTAGAGATAGAAGAAATAGTTCTTATAAAGAGCTTTTTGTTTTGAAAGTATTCACTTTCTCCAATTAACTTTGCTGTCACTGTTATGTTGACCCCCTTCCTTCTGATCACGTCTTCCTGAATTAATCACTTGGGCAGTCTCAGCTAACTGGAGGCTGCACAATGACCAAAGCAATGCCAAGACATTAACGGCACAGCCCCACTTGGTTGCTCATTAGAAGGAAGCCTCCAATCTCAGAGGTTTCTGAACATCCTATGCCAGGCTAGGGTGCTGCTAGCAGAGCAGGAGAAGTGAGGGAGATTGTTGTTCTCTCAGTATCCTCCTTTTTTTTATCCCCTGTACTCTGGCCTCTGAACCTATCTAGAGGAGTTGCACTGCCAGGTACAGCACTGGAACTCGAAGGGCCCTAGATTTTTCATATCCAGGCTTTTCCTTTCCTTGCTTTGCCCATCAAATTGCCTCAGTTTTTACCTCAGTTAAGTTTTCTGTGGCCACTTTTGTTACCTTCAGAAACAAGTGTTATGGTTCTTTCCATGGCAGCTACAAGGAGGAAGGTGCAAATCTTGGAATTCCTTTCCCAAAGTTGGGGGTGGGAATAAAAATCTGGAAAATCCTTCATCTGTGGGATGCTGTGCAAAAACTGAATGATTGTGCCCTAAGTAACCATAGATTCGGCCTTGCAACTTCACTGAAATCAGAGAAAGACAATTGAGAGCGAGGTCAGTGCATCCTGGAGCAGTGGCTTGAGTGAACCCATTCAATTGGAAATCATGTAAACAGGATGAGATGAGATGATCATATTTGGTTGAGCAAAATAAAGCGAATTCATTTTTCCCTGTTGTATTGTTTGAAGGCATATGTTGCAGCAACCTTTCTTAAGCTAAGCAGTCTGAGTATGATCTATGTGCGTAGATAGGAACGCCAAGAATGATGCATTGAGATTCTTGGATGTAAGGTCACATATAAACAAGAGGGAAGATGATGCATCATGGATCAGTCACATTGGTGATCCCAAATGATAGGGAATCATATTGTGAACATGATGACTTGGCAATGCTGCATTTTTAATTGAAACTTGATTGGACAATATTACTGAGGGCAAATGAAATCAATTCAGAGTGAGGACAATGTGTTCTGAACATTTTTGAAGTAATAATTGAAGAACTGGCCAAAAGCCAAAGGCAGGTGTTGGTACACTTTGCTGTTGTAAACTTCCTGCAAAATACTCAGCATGTCCAACTGAAACCCTATATTCTAACTAGAGAGTTCAATTTAACATTACTAATCAACTGAGTCATACAGCACATCTCAGCCCCTCCCTTCTTGTTGGTGACTTTTTTGTTCCAACTGTGTTAATTTTCTCTCTCTCTTCCTGAAGTTTGTATTTTTAAATCACTGTCCTTCCTGTTCTCTCATTCTCCATATGTTCTCTTGATTCTTCTTTCCTGTAATGAGAAGGTTAAAAATAAAAATATAAATCAAGAAAGTTTAATTTATTTAGATGACGAGCCAAACAAATGACTAATGTTATTTTCCCAAGCATTTGGAGTGATGAAGAAATAAATTATGACCTAGCTTGTAGTAAACAGGAGTATCTGTCATTGATCCTTTTCATTTTATTTTGCAATGTATTGCTTATGTGCATGCTCCCTGTTTATCACAACAATGCATACCTTAATAATGTGGAGATTTACTTATGCATTTAATCCTAATACCCTAAATGGCTTGTGAGGCTGCAATCCTATATCACTTCTCATGAAGAAAGTTCCCCTGAATTCTTTGGAATTAACTTCTGCCTATAGTTATGTACTGGATTGTATTGCCAGTTAGCTTGTTCAGAGATATAAATTTCATTGTATCTGTTGTTGATGACCAACTTGGTTTCTCAAAGATGTAAATAACCATCAAAAATAGTATCTGGAGTTCTGTCCTTTAAGCAGTTAATACAATAGAGGAAAACAAAACTCTGGACAGTTTGATGGTTCTTGAGTAACTGTCAGTGTTAGTCAAGACAGCTTAGTTAAAAATCACAAATTCTGTGTGATTTTGGTTGTGGGAAATGGGAATAGCAGTGGTTGCCAAATCTGAAAGTTATTGTACATACTGTAAATACTGTTGCATGCATTAATATTATAGAAATAGCTGCAAAAACTACTTAGACATATTTTAACAGAGTCACAAAAGAATGAGAATGAATTTTATTGAATTCTATACTACTGGGAAGAATCATATCCTTAATATTTACATATTTACAAGGCTGTAACAAAAAAAGAACTGTTTTGCCTATTTGCAAATCATCAGGGCAATATCATACAACTAAGGTGAAATGAATTAAAATGTATTTATATGAAATTCTCAGAATAATATCAACTATACAATGAATTTAAAATTCTTTGGCAACATTGTGTGTGCTGTAGTCATACAATACTTATTTATTTATTTAAAGTTTTTCTATGCAATCCCAATATTAAAACTCTCTGGACAGCTTACAAAAACAAAAAACAAAGCAACCATTTACAACAAACAAACAATACTTGCTCATTTACTTCATTTTCTTACTGTTGGGTACTTCCATTGATTACAGTGCCTGGCCTTATAACCTGAAGCACACATCATAGTAGTTTTTATCTAGAAAGAAATCTAACAGATTTCAATGGATCTTACTTCTAAATAGCATCCTAATCCTGAATATTGACACTGATGTGTCTCCCAGTCCTGTTTCTGTTAAGGATGCTGCAATGTTTTATGATGTTAGATTGATATTATTTTCACTACATCCCATTTTCTCAATAGAATTGAAATTTTCATGGCAAGAATTGGATAGGTAGCATTCAGATTGTTATAAGAATATTCAGATAAACAGATTGCAACCTGAGAAACCCTGTAGAATACAATTGGGCTTTACTTCTGACGTATTTAGGACTGCATAGTTCACAGGCATTTGGAGAGTTAAAATAGACACAAAGATCAGAAGAAGCCCTCTTTGAAGGAGATTAGAAAAGTGGCTACCCAGAGAAAAGCCTTCTTTGTGGTGGCTCCCCGGCTCTGGAACATGGTCTCCGGAGAGGGGCACCTGGCACCAACATTTTAATCATTTTGGCACCAGGCCAGGACCGTTTCATTTTCTCAATATTTTAACAGCTGATATGATTTTAATATGGATTTTATTCTGTTACTTAGCTGCTTTTTTATTATTGTACTGCCATGCTGAGACCTTAGTAAAGGACAGGGTAGAAATGCTTTTAATAAATAATAAATAAATAAATAATAAAAAAGAACAGGACAATTTCTAGAAGATCAAAAGGACATTAAATGTTTTCATACTTCATATGGTATAATTGGTTTTACACTTTTAAAAATTCAACCTTTTATTTGCTTTTAGTCAAACTGACTTAGTCGCATCTTTTTTCAGATATTGGTGGAGTACCGATACCAAAAAATCTCAGTGGATACTCATTGATGCCTTTGTTATTGCAAAAGGCAAAAGATGATGCCTCACCTAGAAATCTACATCCTGCTTGGGTTGTGAGCGAATTCCATGGCTGTAATGTGAATTCTTCAACCTACATGCTTCGAATTGACAAATGGAAATACATAGCTTATTCAGATGGTCATTCAGTGTCTCCTCAGCTGTTTGGTATGTTTCAGTCATTAATGTTTCAGTCTGACTCAGTGGCCTGATCAACATGAGTGGTGTGTTTCCAGTGTTGCATTGGTATATTTACACATCAGCACAAGACACTAAAGTTAAGAAGCAATAGCAGCTGGACAATGCCTTGTGCAGTTTATTTTAAAAGTAGAGAAAGAGTGTGATTCAGCTGGGAAGAAAGAGTAGTAATAATAATTGTCCTCCTATGTACAAAACCCAACAATGATCAGGACCATCCATTGCAATAATCTACAGCAGTACATGGAAAACATGAGTGTTAATTCAAGATACAATATTGTAAATGCACTGCTCAATTCAGCCAAAGAAGGGGTAGGGGAGAAACCCTGGAATGTTGTCAGTCACTGTTTACAATACTGGGCTAGATAGGCCAGTGGCCAGTATAAAGCGGCATCCTGTATTCCTAGGACAGTTGTCTTGATAATTTCTCTCAATCTGAGCAACATAGTCCAGGGAAGGAAGGGCAGAAAAAGGTAAAATATTACCTTAAATGTGCTGGCTATGAGTCAGTACTTATCGAGTTCCCTCACTGAGTGGGAGATCTGGGCTCCATCCCATTGGTAACTGAATTCAGTTTATCCTATGGCATATACATGTTTACATTTAAAATAATCATTTAAGGTATCCAGACAGGGACATTAACATAAGTCTATTACACAGAATGTAAGTATAGAATTAAATTACAAAGTGTTCCAGTTTTCAATTGTGTGGAACAAATCAACTGTATGGGGTATGCAGCCAGGATAAGGAGATAATACCATTTACCAAAATCACAATCTCTACTCATATCTCCCAGCCTCTAATGAAGCGTTCTCAATCAGCAATCAACTACCTGGCTGCTTTGATCTTGCTTTCATACTTTTTCTCCAATGACCGTGGCTTTGCTTTGTACACCCACTCACATTTCCATTAAAACTCAATCATTTTAATAATGTAGATGATTGCATACATCAGTTTTGAGATCACCTGAGTATGTAACTATGGGTGGGTGTTAGAGCTGAGTGTCAGAACCTACCAGAAGCAGCAGCAAACATTTCTTTTGTGATATATTTGTCTTTGCCTAGAGGTTATAATATGGGAATTTTTAGCTGGTCATGATAAGTAGGTAAGTATATGCTATAACATGTTCCAGGCACAACGTGTCACTGAGGGATGGTTAATTTACAACAGAATTTTTTAAAATACAGGACTCTCAAATTAGTCATGTCTTTTTATCTTTTACTTTAAAATCTCAAGCAGTTTCTACATTGTCAGGATGTAAAAATGTTGATTTGGACAGAATACAAAAGTGGGCACAAGCAAAATGCATTTCAGAACATTTTAAGTTTTGTTCTAGGATCATTGCCTTCATTTTAAAGACTGAAGCCCCTTATCCAGTGACATTTATGAGCTGGGAGCAAAATGGAGCAAAGATAAGGACTGCTGCCATTGCACTCCTGAGGACAGATGTGTCCTATTAAAAGAGGGCTTAGAAGCTTGCCTCCCATATTTATCTGGCTTTTTTAACAGCACAGCTTATGTGCTTCCCTTCCACTGAATATATCTTTAACAATTAGCTTTTACTTATTTTTTGGCAAAATTTTCAGCTATGATTTTGGGAAGTAATATATTTACTTCATTGGGTGTATTGCATTGCTATATTTCCATCAGTCTTCCAATCAGGATATTTGCTTGTATTCTTCAGGTTTACTGTTTCATTGTTTCAAATCTTAACTATTTCTTAGGTCTGCTTACTGCCTACAATATTTTATTTTCACTTCTTTGCATTGTAAGTAAAACAAGTACAATAGTAATCAATTAACTTTTTTCTCCAACTTTCTTATCTGTTACTCCTTTCCAGAGTTCAACTCAGAAAAATGTCCTCTTTGTCATGGCAGGCTCCTGGGTAAATGAAAAATATCAACACAAACCCTTCTGTTAGAATGCCTCTTTTAGAATCAAGATGATTCAGACTTGAATATTTTATGTGTTTCCTTGTGAAATTGAGAAGTTTATGAGAGTGATAACTTTTTGAGAGAAATATGAAAATGGCCAATAATTTTCCTTTTGGATAAATATTGCATGGGAGCTATTGTGTAGATTGATGCAGGAGTCTTGCAGATGCAAAGACTTTTGAGGGAAATATTTGTATTTATATTGCAGCACCTTCAGTCACGGACCTACAGTGCCATGGTTGAAGATTTAGTCCTCCCTTTAAGGCTCATCTAGCAAATCACATGGTGAAAGAAAAATAAAAATGGGCAAGATGTCACCATCAAGACAAGAATGATGTTGAATATCCAGATTGAAATATTTACTGCATGGCTCTAGGGCTATCCCAGCATGAAACCATGATTGGTGTAGGAGTTGCAGTATATTTTGTGCAGGTGCATTAATAGTTCTGGCATTGTTGTGATGATGCAAAGCTCTGGCTGAAACAAATGGTGACAGCCTTGGCTAGACTATATGATCAGGCTGCCCAGCAATCCCCTTCCCACAAAGTAAAACCTCAACCTGTTTACTTTCTTCTGTTTGTTTCTTTCATTGCCATAGATCTTTCTGCTGATCCAGATGAACTAACAAATATAGCAACAAAGTTTCCAGAGATCACACAATCTTTGAACAGAAAACTCTATTCCATAGTTGACTATCCAAAGGTCTCTGCCTTAGTTGAGGAATACAACAAGCAGGAATTTATCAAATGGAAACAAAGCTTAAGACAAAACTATTCAGAAACCTTAGCTAACCTCAGATGGCACTGGACCTGGAAAAAGCACCCTAAGAAGTATGAGCTTGCAATTGATCGATGGATTAAAGGGAACACAACTGTATAAAATGCCTACAGCAGGTATGGACCAAGTATCCGAAATAATCTGATTCTGAAAATAAAGGGACCATGCAGGCATTATTTGCAGTGATCTCTTACTGCTACAGAAACTGGAATTAGCCATGGAATCTGATGCTGCTTGTCTCCATCTCCAGACACAAGCTGACCCTGCCAAGCTTTAACCACAATTACAGATTTATCAGTGTAAACAGATTAATTTAACCCATTTTTCTCTTAATTAGGTTTTTCTAGTTTATATTGGTAGTTTTCTGTCTTCTGTGAAGACTGTTTTCCATTCTAAAAAGTAGAAAGCCTTTCCTAAGGTTTACTTATTGTCAAGGAAAACTTTAAAGTAAAATAGGTTGTTATCTATTATATTTTCGTTTGCTTTTAGTTTCATCTACCCCTGGAATGCAGCCTCCGAGGACTTCTACAAAATAGATTTTGGCCCATGGGCTGAAATACCTTCCTCACTCCTCTTTAAAATATGTAAAGATTACAACTAGATAATGTATTTGAAGCATTGGAATATTCAGAAACATTCCACAAAATATTATTACTCCCAAGTGTAATTTTTATACTTAGAGTATTTGTAGCTCTGTATATATATTATATTTGTGATCATGAGTTTCTGCTTTAAATGAAAATAGAATCATTGTAAAATCAGGACCCATATCTCTTGATTCTTTAAAAATGCTCTTTTAATGTTTGCAGGAATGTGATTTTATGCCTTTCTTAGCTCCTGAATGGAGAAATAGAACATGCTGTCTATCTTAGCAAGATGTGCTTTGCATCATGAAGACCTCAGCCTTTTGAGCTATTCATATAGCTGTCAGGATTTATCCCCTAGAATACTTTCTCATCCTCTTATCACAGGCTACCAGAAATCGATGCTGTGCAGTTACTGATACATTGACCATCCCAAGTTAAAGAAGCCTTCTCAAACCTGCTGCCCTCCAGATGTTGTTGATGTCATTTTCCATCAACCCCAGCCGACTGGCTGGTCACAGATGCTGGGAGTTGGTGTCCAAAACATCTGGAGAGAACCAGATTGGGAATGGCTGATGTAAACAAATAGCAGATTGAGAATTTGAGCATATTGTGCACAAATCGTTTTGCACAAGACATCAGGGCACCTTATTCTGCAGATAGATGGCTTGGGAGCACAGTTTTTCAGAGCAGGGGTCCCCACCATTTTTTGGATCAGAGACTATGTTTAGAATTTTGAAATCACATCACAGATGTTCTCACAAAATAGCATCCATAAAGGGGGATAAAATGGCTGTAATCATGGTCGGTTATTTTATTTCTTTATTTCTTTGGCTTTTTTGTATACTGTCAAATTATTACGGAATCTCAGGATGGTTTACACAAAGCATAATTTATGGCTTACAGTGTAAGCCTTACACAAATTAGTCAGCATTAATTTATCAGAGTGCCATTGGTAAGACTAAAGGAAAAAATAACTTGGAGCAGCTGAAAGATTAAATCCCCAGTTGACCCTTCACACCTTTAATTCAGTCATTTTCAAATACTTCAGCAGTATTTTTCAACTTTGAAAGAAATCACTTAAAGTTGCTGGAGAAAGCGGGACTTGCCAAAATTGTTTTCTGCTTTTGCTATCATTGGGAGCAGTGCCTGGGTTCTTCAAAGATTATATGATATGGCTCTCTATATTTGTATTTTATTGATTTGCATGGCACCTGATAGTATTTCACCTAAAAGAACCCCAAAATTAAATATGATGATGGTTTGCATTGTATGACTTAAGACCTAGTTCATCTTCAGTTCTTTACAGCTCTTGCATAAGACTTTTCAAAATGGTGCTTTATTTTACCATCTTGTATTTTATATAGGTTGCTTATCCTTCATGTAGTGTACTCTGAATATAGCAATGTGACTTGTATTTGCAATTCAGATGTCAGCAACACCAGATCTTTTGAATTTATTCTAAAAGAACTGGATAAAGGATTAACTCAATAAATGAAGTAAGACTTCTTAAAAGCATAGTAGTTGTTACTATCTCCTCTTCAATATACTGGAAAAATACTAGTCATCTTACCTTTTCCCACCTCCTCACCAAAGCTTGGGAACACAAAAGTGAAATTTACAACCAAGAAAAGTAGGACATGTAAACTCAAAGATCATCATGATAATTACCTCTAATGCCAAACTTGAAGAGTCTCATTTTGTTTTGGAAGCAAAATGGGCTACCCAAAAATGAGCTAGGAGATCCTGAATACTCATGGAACTCTCTATTTACAAACTATTTACATAGGAGTTTGTAAATTAAAGAATATTAAAACAAAAAATATTTATTTCATTATAAATACATTTTTATACCACCATATAGCCCAAAGGCTTGCCAAAGACCTGTCCTCAGTAGCTTTCAGGACTTAGAATATGTTGAGTGTTATCAGTTGAAGGAGGGAAGAATTGCCAGTTTGAGCTCCTATTGGCTTGTGGTATCCTAGAGTAGGGGGCTTAGGTAGATGCATGCCATGAGGTTGAAAAAAACATCTGTCACTGTGGGAAGCTTTCAGGAGGAAGGAAAAATAAAATCTATTCCCTTTCCTACACCTATGTCACTCTAAGCTCAAGTGCTCAGATTCAGGTTCAACAGCCAGTACAAACCAAGAGCATATAGTGGGAGGTTTCAAATTAGTAGCAAAAAAGTGTCCTTTTCATTTTCTCTGTCATGAAACCTTCACCTTACAAATTCTAAGACTGCTTGGAGACTTGAGACAACTACTTCTGTTGAAGGATGGAAAAACTTTAACGTTTAGCTGTGGATCTCCATTTATCTTATGTTGCACAAGTCTAAAGGATTATTTCAAATAGATAGCTTGTTCAACTCTCTAAAGACACTGAATTGTTCCTGCTTGAAGTACTGCTTGTGAAAAAAGACTGTGACTTGATGTCAGCATGAGTAAGTTCCAGACCAGCACTTGTTACTTTTTGTTCGATTTCAGTCCCCTGGTATTCTGCTACATATTTTATATTATGTTGAGGCACAAATGTGCTTGCTCATTTTAGAATTGTTGGCTTTTGTTTATTGAATATCTTTAATTGTACCTCTGCTTATCATGCTCTCATTTGATTAGTGTATGCTGAAAAACAGGAGAGATGGACAGGGCGTAACTTTTGTTGGGACCAGCTGCCCTTTTACTGACAAACAGGGAGAAGCAGAGCACAAGATAACAGATGTTGGATAGTGGCAACACCTAAGCCAGATTCTTTCTCCAATGTTCTGATTCATATTATGTAATAACAAAGATAAAAACAACTTTACTAGTATGAAGCCTGTAGTTCTATCAAAGCATATACAATACAGTCCTATGCATGTCTACTTAATAGCAAGCCTAGTGAAAGTGGCTTAATGAGGCTTATTACCAGGAAAGTGCATAGGCATTGCAGTCTTGTTAATGTTAGAAGGTGAAACTTCTTTAGAAACACCTGCAATTGTAGAATAACAGAGTGGGGACTGCTTATATGCAACTTATTTATTTAAACCTGTGACAAAGCCACATATTTTAGCATACTTTCCAATTATATGGGAGCTACAAATTTTGTAAGGTATATTTTATACCTGATTTTTGTCACCATCTTCCCACATGGGAACTGATTCAGCCTTCATGACCGTTTATAGTATAAACCAAGCAGACCAGCCACAATGACTAGAAGACAATTGTTTGCATATACTCTGTATACAAAACATCTCATGTTATATATTACTTTATTTACAATGATAGTATTGAATATGACAAAAATTAAAGAAGGCATTAATAAATACCATCTGTTTGCATAGCACTAGCAACCGTCTTTATTTTTGCCCTTTTCTCTTACAAAATGAATGGAATAGAATTTGTGACAATTTAATTTAGAAATAAAATGCCTGAAAATTGCTCTGATGGGTGAAAGCAATGTATTATGCATAACTCCATTTATGGTGAGTCTGGTGGAATGGCTGTGCTGTAATGAGGGGCTACTTCTTTACAGATCCTAGCATCAGTTAGAGAAGCTGTGAATAAGGTTCTGTCCCATCCAATCAACTAACACCAGTTACAAACTGTAATGAAAAGGATCCCACTTGCTTTCAACCCAGATGCTAGAGTAAAATGAAGAAAATCCCATAAGGCTGAAAACTTGGTTACGTTATCTCCACACTAACTAAATGTACTTGGAAATATGTCCCCACATTCCAAGTAAGTACTTAACATAGCAAGGGTTGACTCATTTAGTTTCCCTTGATCTGAAAGTGGGTGTAAGGCTCACAATCTGCATAAAGTGCCTAGATTCAGCACTAGAAGTGTAATGTCTCTGTACCGAGGTTTCTTAAGCATGTGCAAAGTCATTTTTTCCCACTGAGAAGTAGCTAGCGGCCCCCTGGTATTAAAAGCAAGGTCTTCCAGATAAGAAAGCACACAAACTTGAGTTTCAGTTCTTCATAGTTTAGAAATGAAGGGCCTAGAGCGAGATCCCGGGCACCGTAAAGAGTCCCTGGCAAGTACTAGACAAGTTTTGCCGAGAGGGTTTGGTCTCGGTCCGCGGACTTCTGCAATGCGAATTACGTGTTAGAATCCGCTCTCGCAAGCGAGTGAGGCAGCCCGGGTCTCAGGGTCCTCTCGCTGGACGGCCGTGGAGACACTGGATGCCTTACTCTGGCAGGGGCACAGCCAGAACGCTGTGCGCTCCACGGCTGCCTGCGGTGGCGGACCGTGGCGGTGACGAGCTCGTCGTCGGGGCTGTCCGTCGGGGCAGCGGCAGAGGCTGCGCTGGAGGCGCCGCGCCCAGGACCGGTGGCTGTGGAAAAGGAGGCACACGTAGGGGTTGAGGGCGCTGTTGGTGGCTGCCATGATGCTGCCCAGGCTCGGCTGGGCGTCGTCGCCGCTACTCCCAGGGGGCGCAAACGCCAAGCCGAGCTCCAGCACGAAGCGCGGGAAACCGCAGAGGGCGAAGAGCGTGGCCAGCGCTAGCGTCAGCTGCAGTGCCCGGGCTCGCGCGCGGGGCAGGCTTCGGGGCGCGGGCGGCGAGGGGAACACGCATTTGGCGACTGGCAAAAGCCGCAGCAGTATCGGGACCGGCGCCGGGGCTGGCGGAGCCGGAGCGGTGACACCAGGCAGCTCCGTGCGGTACTGGCGGGCGCTGCCTCCGGCCGCCCCCCGCGATGGCTCCTCCTCCTTGGCGCGGGAGGCGCTGAGAGCCCAAAGGATACGGCCGCAGGTCCCGCCCAGCAGGCAGGCGGGGGCCACGAAGCTGGTGAGGGCCCCGTACACGGCGTAAGCTTGGCCGTGCCAGCGGGGCCGCTGCGCGAAGATGCTGAGGCAGCGGCCTCCGGGCTGCGGCGGGGCCAGGCTGTACACGAAGGCTTGCGGCAGGGCGAGCAGCAGCGCCAGCAGCCACCCCAGCGCGGCCAGGGCGCTCCGGGCTGGCATGGAGGAGGGGAGCGAGTGCGTGGGGCTCCTCACCAAGTGGTGTCGCTCCAGTGCGATGAGAACCAGCATGAGCGAGGGCGCCAGCAGCCCCGAGCCTTGCAGGAGCCGCAGCAGGCGACACGTGGCGTCCCCTGCAGGCCACGCCGCGTCCCCCGCTCCTACCCCGGGCGGAGGCAACTGGGAGAGTAGCGCCAGCCCGCACCTGTAGAGATCGGCTATAGCCAAGTGCGCCAAGAGGAAATCCATCTTGCGCCGCCCTCCGAAGCGGCCCCCGCAGCAGCAGCAGCAGCCCCCGCAGCGCAGACGGTGCAAGAGTAGCCCGTTGCCCACCAGCGCCAGCAGCATGATCGCGGCGGCCGAGATGGCCCGCGCGGGCTGCTCGGGAGTAGCCCAGCGAGAGGGGAACGAACGGTTCAAGTTCCAGCCGCCGGGATGCTGCGCGCTAGACAAGTTGGGTCCGAAGGCAAAGCTGTCCGGCTTGGCTGCGCCGTCCATGGCTTGCTCTGTCCGTCAAATTGGGAGCAACTAACTTTAACTCTTAGAGAAAGAAAGCCCGAGGATTGAGCATGAATGGACGCGCCTCGGCAGCATATATAGGGCTCTGCCTGTCACCTGGCATCCGTCGTGGGTGGGCACACACTCTGCAGCCGTTGCGCCCCACCCCGAGCATCTCCCCCTCCCTCCAATTCAGCGGTAGGCACTAGTCTTACCCACCCACCTAGCTAGAGCCTGGATCTCCCCCTCATATCCCTCACAACCATCGCTTTAAAGAGCATCTTGCACACCTGAACCAGCCGTCATCTTCTCTGGCTGTCATGTCGTTTAATCCTTAGCGAAACCAAAAAAGCATTTCTCCCCTCAGTCCGCCACAAAGATTCACAGTTCCGTTTGCCCAACTGACAGAATTACACCTCTGGACTGAATATGAATTTCTGAGAAACCTGTTGCAAGCCAGGCACCATAATTAATGGCTTCCGTCCTGATATAGGAAAATCCACAGCAGCTTTGTCACTGATTTAAGAACAGGATTGCATATTCCTCATAGCCATATCGCAGAGCTAAAATCCAACAGCAGCCTTAGCCTGAGCTATACTTGTGCCCCTATGGCAGCTTGATGTACAGAAATCAGCAAGAGATGCTTATTACATCATTGAAACAAGCACCAGCAAGTGTTCGTGTCTGTATATCAAGCTGGTGTTAAAGGCGCAGGTACAGTGTCCCATTAAGTACTTGACTCTAGACTGAACCATCCCTTAAGCTAGTATATAACCTTTCCTGCTTCAGAACTTCAGGGTGAAACACACAGATTAAAACCAAGATATTGACTAAATTACCACAGTCCTTTGTTCTTTCTGTGGTAATTTTCTAAATTCTGCCCCAATATGGAGGAAGGTAAAAAGACCAGCCAAGATACTTTTTGCCCACCACAAACTCACCCCATTCTTTCCTTTGGGGAGCAGAATGGAACCAAATAGCTCCTCAGTTTTGAAAAGCATGAACAGAATCTCATGGCACACTATAACAAATTTATGATGGCAAACTTTTGTGGATTGAAACCATCTTAATCCAAAGTATATGTTTTCACCTTTAAGGTTGCACTTTGTTTTCTCTGACAGTCAGATACAACAACTACTCTGCACTCTTATTATTACATTTTTAAGACTATCCAATACCCAACTTCTCTGGATGCAGTACACATTAAAAACATGAAATGCAAAGTAGCAAGAAAATTTGTAAAATAAAAGCAAGCAGTAGGGCATAATAAAAGTAAGACCAGCAGCAAGAATAAAACAATGCACAGATTTTTAAAACTTTCTAAAATAACTGGGAAAATAAAAAGGGTTTTACCCCATGTGCAAATATCATAATGTAGGTGACAGGCAAACCTTCTTAGGGAGGGTATTCCACAGATGGGGCAACACCACTGAAAAGGTTTTCCTTTCCTTCACCTAATTTGGTAGGTTATCTGGGTAAGGGTCTCAGAGGATGACTTTAGCATCCAAGTAGGTAAATGCAGGAAAAGATGCTTCTTCAGGTAACCTTTCCCCAAGCTATTTAAGGCACAATCATGTTAAGAAAGAAAGAAGGGAGGGAGGGAAGAAGTCTTACCAGCATTCCCTAGCCAGCAATGCTAGCTGGGAAATGGGAGCTGTAGGACTTTTTTCTTCTCTAAACATGCATGGAATTGTCCCTTTAGGGCTTTAAATATTAAATCAAACATGGTTGCTTGTATCTGAGAATGGAGTGGCAGCCAGGCAAAATACTGGCATAATGTGATCATAGCAGCCAATCCACATTTACAGTCCAGCTTTCCTGTTTTCAACCAGCTGAAGTTTCCAGATCATTTTCAAAGGTAACCCCACAAAACAGACCAATGATCCAGGTGGAACATTACCCCAAGCTGATAAAAGACTAAGGCACTAATTCTTGAAATACCTTTCCTAAACTTAGTTATTTTAAGAGTAAACATACTGGTATTTTGGCTCTGCCCCCTTTACCTTTAGTTTCACTCACCATTAGGATATGGTTCACAAAAGTCTCTTAAATGAAATTTGGCCTTGGGCTGAAAGAGGAAAAGCAACCTGATGATTGTTTTTAAAATGTTTTTTTTTTTTTTAATTTGTTGGTAGATGCTGTGCTTTACTGTTGTATTACCATCCTGAGACTCAAGTGAAGGACAGGATAGAAATGCCTTTAATAAATAAATAAATGAATGAATGAATAAACCTTCAGCCATCACTTAGCAGGACAGCTGAGCCACTCATAAGTAATAATTGCATTTTGTCTAAGTTAAATCTCAGTGTATTGGCCCACATCCAGTGCATTGTTTTAAACTAACTGTTTTAAAACATACTACTCTCTTTTTGTAAATGGCCATCTGAGGAAAGTATTAATTTTAGTAGTGGTGGTAGTAGCATTTTAAAGAAATAATTTGCTTCTGATGTCCTAAGTAACACACCTCCTTTCCACTGCCACCACTGTCCTTGCCAGTCCCCTGAAGGAGAGTGTAAGGCAAGTGGAACCTGTTCTTTCTATGGGCATAGCTAGCTGAGTGGTCAACAACGTCAAGGAGGTAGTCCAGGGGTTACTGGAATATGAGCCTCAGGAGGTTTCTGTTGACCCTGATTCCAGTTATGCCTTAACAGTTAAGGAAGGTTAGCATTTAGCATCACTCAATTAGAAGCATGAAGCTATTATTGCCTGTCATTGTGCTCCATTTAATAGAAAGCCAGTAGCAAGCATAATCAGGATTGCAGGGTTATATATTTTACATTAACAAAACAACTTGCACACATAAACACACTGTTTATGGTAAGCCTGTTTCAAAATCTGATGCAACTGAAAGTATTCTTGTTGTTTTTGTAGTTTGTAATAAAAGTAGTATCCAGCTGGGAGGCATATATGTCATACTGTGATTTACAGCAATAGTTTGCTCCATCCTTTCATTTCAAAAAAATTGTCACAGAAAGAAAAAAGGTCAGTCACAGAGTAATACTAGCTCATCAACTCACTCACATTCACATCCCAAAGGATAAATCTCCTACACCTTCACTTCTATTATGATTTCCACCAGATGGCACTTCTCTGTAAGCACGCCCCCATGTAAAGGGAGGCAAAATGAATCAGAAATGGCAAAAAACATAAAAGGTTTTCATCTTCAGCTCATGAAATGAATCTAGAAATGAAGATATGCCCTTAGAAGTACACAGCCTTTATTAGTTTGAAATCTTTTTTTTAAATAATGCTGTTTGTACTGTTTTTGTTGCTCCATTTTTCTTTTATATATAAATTTCATGTTTGCTATTATGTGATTTGCTATTCTTATTTACTTTCAAGATAACATTGAGAAAGGGTGCAATTCTGAAATCAGTGAGTCAGATCCAGGGTAACAGTAGACCAGTTTATATCAATGAGGCTTACTTTTGCTAGAAAAACTAATTAGGCTAAATTCCATTTATTGCAGTGGGTCTTTCTGTTTAAATAAATCTGGGACCACCTTCTAGAAACACATACTTAATGAATTTGAGATGGAGTTGTAAGGCTGAAGATTTCAAATAATAACAACCTGTAGTAACCCTAGTGGGCATGTCGTTAACCGTTCTGTGAGGAGTTGATAGATGTTGATAGATGCAGTATTCTGTCCCAAACCAGAAAAGATTGCCTGCTGGGGTTCAGAATTAGCTATCTTTGACTAGGAGAATTATAAAAAGTGGGATTTTGCCCTGTAAACCACATTCAAACCAATTGAGAGTGCTGTGTAACTTCTCTAACTCAATTCAAAGAAAGGTATACCTCAGAGTATTCATGTTTTAGCGCTATGAACAGGAAAGCAGAGAGGGAACTTCTCTGATTCTTCAAGAGATTACAAAAAGGATGGAACGCTCTGCTTATGTACTACTCTCTTATTGCTGCCTACAGAAATGTCAGCAATCCCAGACATTTTTCCAAACATCAGTTTTCAGGGGAAAAATCTATTGCATAGACAGAGCCACTCTGCTAGATCAACACCAGTGCTTTTACTATTGCTTACTAGTTACTGCAGGTGGCACAGTGGTTTAAACTGCTGTGCTGCTGGGCTGGTTGATCGAAAGGTCGCCGTTTCGAATCTGCACAACAGGGTGAGTTCCCGTTGCTCCGTCCCAGCTCCTGGCAACCTTGCAGTTTGAAAGCATGCAAATGCAAGTAGATAAAAAGATACCACTTCGGTGGGCAGGTAACAGCGTTCCATGCACTTCGGTGTTCAGTCATGCCGGCCACATGACCACAGAGACTGTCTGCAGACAAACGCTGGTTCCCTCGGCTAGGAAAAAGAGATGAGCACCGCCCTCTAGAGTCAGGCATGACTGGACTTAATGTCAAGGGGAAACCTTTACCTTTTACCTTTACCTTACTAGTTAAGCAAAGTATACTCTTACATATGTGCATCCCACCTCTGAGTAGTGAGAAATTTAAGGGCCACAGCATTTGCTCAGGGTTCAGTTTCCTTAAAAGTCACTGGAGACTTTGAAATGTTATTGTGATACTGGGTTTTTTTTACAAGTCCACAACATTCCTGAGCACCATCAAATTCCTGATCCCTATCATATTTCTAGGGGAACCCATAGTGCTATACTCGTAAGTTTCCTGTAGAAAGCAATTCTTTTGCCTCCTTTCAGTTTGTTTCTATACTACCCCACAGCTGAAGTTCTCTGGATGGCTTACAACATCCATAAAAAAGATATTGCAATAAAATATTTGTACAATACAAATATGCAAATACAAACAGATATTAAAATACAATAAAATATATAAAACAAAATACATTAAACATTTACAATTTAGAATTTAAAACCAAACAATATCAAGCAGAGACTCTGACACATTTGTGTATGGATGAACAGTAGTGAATAGGTTGCTGCTTAGTGGACCTGAATATCCTTGGAGTTCTAAGACAGACATCTATTTCTTGCATGGTAAGTGGAACATACTGCACTCATTCACTCCCTTTGTTGAGTGACACATTGTATTCATTTGTGTTTCTGGGCTACCCCATTGCAATAGAAATGCATCAGCAAATGTTACTAGCCATCCTCTGTCCTTTGCCAAATCTTAAGAGGTATTGTCTCCTGGCATCTACACTGATAATTACAGAAAATTTCAATCACAACTTAGAATCAGAAGCAGTATTTTTCCAGAGGGGATGCAATCAGAAATTCTGGACTGTAAGGAATCCCTGAAAGTTCATTCACAAATCAGAAATACATAGCAATATTGTATATAAATAGGATGATGCAGTTTAACTGTTTGCAGTCCTAATACCACAATTCTATAAATGACAATTGACAATAAAGGAAGCCACAGTCTTGAATTTCCAAAAGCTGAGCAGGGCTGTCATAGATATGTCTTGACAAGAAAGCTTTCGCTCATAGGGTTGTCAGAAATTGGAGATGACTTGACTTCACATAAAAACATCCCACAATATATATATATATTCCAGGAATGATAGATGAGGTGTCTTATGTACTTGCCATAATATCCCATTTTCTATCACTGTCAGATCAGATATAGAGAATGGAGCACATCTCCCCCCCCCCCCCCCCCAAAGCTTTAGCCAACTGTTGGAGGACATCTCTCATACTTCAAAATGTTGATAATTAATTGTGTGGGTGAGGCTAGGTAGATCTGTGCCTAGGGCATACTACCTACAATTATTTCGTGTTTAGCTTGTATAAAGGCTACCATCTGTTCATTTCACAAACAACCTGTATATTGCTGTCAGCTGGATATAGAGAAATGAGTAAGCTTTATATTTTTTAAAAAAGTGGGGCAGCAGTTTTTGCTTCTTTGTTGCAGGAAGCCTAGGTAAAACCTGAAATCTGACTGATTCTGGGTGAAACACGTTTGCCTAATTTCCCTGCTTTCCAATCATTCTTTAAAAGTGATGGGCTTTGGCTAATATGCTGAACAGCTTTTTCTGGCCCTCCTCACCTCACATTTTGCTCTCCATTCAGTCTGATGAAAAGAGTGCTGAGAAATCGAAAGGCTGCTTAGAGGCTAGGTGACATTTTGATTGATCCGAGTAAATGGTATTACCATTTGGATGTATAAGGAGCTAACACATCTACTGACAATGTTTAGGCATTTCTAACACAACAGTCCTATACAAGTTTACTCAGGGCTGACCCAGTAAGTGGGATAAGAAAATGGGGAATCTGGGGCTTGGCTACACTTGACCCAAGGAGGTTGGAAGAGAATCAGGGCTGTTTATTTAACAGGAAGTGCCAGTATGTTGAATTAATGAGGTCGAATAAATATGTACAGGATTGGAGTGTAGCGCAACAATAGAAAGTAAGTCCCCCTGAAGTCAGCGGATCTCACCGCCGTCCACACATGCCTCGAATCGCTCGGCGTAGCTAAGAGAGGCGGGCCAGTTTCCGGCGCGTGATGCCTCGATCTCCAATGGTGTCTCAGGTTTTGTCGTATTAAGCATGCGACGTTTTGGCGACAGAAAACTCGGGGGGAGGGGATGATGACCACAACCATCGAGCAGCAGTGGGGATTGAGTTGATCGGAATCATCTTCTGGAGGGAACGCGAGATGGAGCAGGTCCGTATTCATTAAGAACATAATCTTCCTCTCCCTACGCAACCCTGGTCCCATATAGCGCACACGTGGAGAAGAAGGGGATAGGGAGGGGCTGAGCACAAGGACTTCAGGGTACTGTAGTCTTCAAGACCGCAATGGCTGCTGGGTGTTGTGGTCTTTGAGCTTGTGTAATAGACACGCCCTGTAGGGTTGCTAGCCTGCGGTTTGTGCGAGCGCCGTCTGGTGGTAATTGTTTCGTTTTTTCCCCCTGATATTTACTTTGAGCTGGGTTTGATGGAGAGCGATATGGAGCCTGGTCCCGAAACTGGGGAATGACGAAGGCGGGTAGCTACAAGCGGGAAAGGAAAGTGCTGTGTTGCATTTAGATCTCTCGCAGCTTTTCAAATAATACATGTGTGTTTGCAGGGAACGTGTGGCGGTCAAGAAATTCCTGCAAATCCCATCAGCCCCAGCCAGCGGTAAAGGCTGATGGGAGTTGCAGTGTGGTGACATCTAGATGGGTGCCGGTTTCTTGCATTGCATCATACAGTCATATTCTTTGAAAAGCATTACGTATTAAAAAGCGATGGAAGGACTTTTAGTGTTCATACTTCACAGTCATTTCTTGTGCAATTGGATTTTCATAATAGCATGCAATATAGGTGGGGTTTTATATTTTCATTTGGTGTGGGAGGCGCAACTGACAGGGCTTTTTGGATTTCTGTACAAATATCTACACAATCTTTAGTATAAAAAAGCAAATGTTCTGATGTGTATGTTATTCCAGAAAAATGCTTGAGTTATTTACATAAGCTGTTTGTAATGACATTGGTCAGACATCATCTTAGAGCATTATGCAGAATAGCAAATAATCACAAACAGTTTCTACAATTGGAAATAAACAATAAGATTTTGAGAGAGATCTGACCCTGAACTGACAGAAACAAGAACCCCACTCTCACTTTTGCAGTCCGCATTAGGCATTCTGGAACTGCAATGTCTCCTTTCACCTCTGGGTCCACATTACAATCCAAACCAAATCATGTCATTAAAGTTTAAATAGTAATAATGAGTTTAAATAGCAATGATTCCAAGCAGGACTGTGTGCTAATGCCAGGGTCCACCGATGCTGGATGAGACAAGGGCCAAAATGTAGGTGGGGGATAAATCTAGCAGCTCCAGAAAAAGGGGAGGAAAAAAACTCTAGTAAAAAGCAGGCGCCCCGCCACACACACACAACTCACAAAAACAGTCCAGCTAACCAACTAAAAAGAATGTGCAAGACAGCAGAGAGCTAGTAGGCTTGCAAAACTATCTCTAAAAGGAAGTAATTGACCAGGGGTCTATATAAGCTTACATATATACTATTAAAAATAAATAAGTACCAATCCTACATAGCATCTTATTGCTCTTTTTAGTCACACTGTGAGGCGAGTTCCAGCAGCTGGGACTATGCATTAGTGGCAGTAACAGAGCCTGTGATGAGACAGAGGAGAATATCCCCGGAAATGAAATCGCTGTGATCAAAGAAGTCTTCTCACGTGATTTTCTCAGCAGAATGGACAGAGCTCCACAGTACATAACCGAGCAGTCTCCTGCTGCTGGGCAGTGTAATGCACACAGGCACTTCCTCCTGCACTTGTGAAGCTCCCGTACAGATACGTGTAATTTCACAATTATTTGTGTGTGTGACTGAGAACAATTCCAGTTGAAGCAGCTGTGTCCAACTGCTTCCCATCTTTATTCTTCTGCTTGAACCTAGAGACATTCTTAGGAAGTAAGGCTGGCAGGCAGCTGGAAGTCAGTATTTTGCTCTGACGATCTCTGGGTGGCAGGGGAAGGGGGGAGAAAGCCTTCATTGCTACTGCCTGATAAAGAGGAAGACTTTGGGATGGCGGGGGGAAAGCCGGGGAGTGTTGGGGCTGACCCCGAGAAAGTGGGATAAGAAAATGGGGGATCTGGCGCTTGGCTACAGTTGACCCAAGGAGGTTAGAAGAGAATCAGAGCAGGGTATGGCTGCAGTGAGCAGACATGGGGGAGAAGGAAGGGAGATCAGAGCTAGTGGCAGACAAGGGTTCAGAGAGCAATAGGAGTTAGAGGGCACCTTAACTTAGGAGGGAAAGAAAGCAGGGAATGGGGGTGTGAGCAGGAGACTTCGCAGGTGATCCTGAAAAGCAAATAAGTGAAGGGGTATATGGATCTTGTGTCCTGGGGGTGTGGGGTGTGTGTGTGTGTGTGTGTGTTCTCAAAGTGAGAGAACTATGGCTTCAAAGGAGTGTGGTTGCGTTTTGAAGCTCAGATCCCACCTTTGCTTTTTCTTGAGGTTTTGATGTATTTATTTACTTATTCTGCTTATTTTTTCTCAATGCTGTAGCAACTGGTAAGCTGCTTATAGTCAGATGCATATGCCATACACTCAAAAATATTTAAAAAAAATGAAAAAGACACAGAGAAGTTACATAGTCCACTGCAGGCCAGATACATTTCCAAAGGCTGATTGGAACTTGCCACAGTTCTTGCTCATGGACGATTGTTGCACAGAGTTGGTTCAACTACTGCGAATATATTTATTCTCCCAAGCATTTGAAGCACTGTTTTTAGTGCTTCATCTTGATGGTTTTAATTTATGTGCTAGAATGGCCTTAATCCTATGGCCTCCCAGTGTTGTCTGAGGGGCCCCCACCTCCCTCACAGCCCCCCCCCCCGCCCCGCTGCCTCTCTGAGGACACAACTGGGCCTTGGAGAAGGCAAAACAGGGTCTACTGGATGGGGAGCATCATCGCTGTACACCAGCTCCTGTTGGCATCCCAGCCTCTTTCCTTCCCCCTTCTTGCCATCTAGAGTAAATTCATGCGGTGAGGCCCTGCTGCCGTGCCTTGCTCCATTCTTAGGCTACATGTAAAGCTCTGAGTTCAGAAGCTTATGTGCATGTATCTCAGAACACATTGGATTGCACTCTAATTTACTTTTCTTTTGTTAACTATCTCATTCTGACTCATTAACTGCTTACTGTTATTATGCTTTCAACTAATCATGGTTTCAGTGGTCAATAAGGTTTGTTTTCCTAATTTCAACGTTTGTCAACCTACCCTGGCTTCAAAAGGTTTCTGGTAGTTTCTTGTAAGTTTTTTATTATAGTTATTTCATATAGGTGTTGTTTGTGAATAAAGGGATAAATGTTTTAATACTTTTGGAATGAATTTACCACTTTTGATGTCTACGCTTTGGAATGTTTTAAAACCATCTGGCTTATTCTTTTGAATTTTATCTCAGAATCAGGCAATTGACAATTTAAAATGTGCATACAGATAAATGAACATATGTGAGCGAGCAGTAGGCAGTTTCTTCCTACAGAGAAAGGGGTAACCTTAGACATTGGTGAGATTTAGTCCTAGCCGTGCAGTGTGGGTTAATCATTATGCTACAGTGGAGAGAGCAACTCCTAGCAGAGCAGAGTCAAGAACTATTTCCATTTCACCCCTCACATTTTATGTATTCGGCACCTAATGCCACTTTAGAGGCTGTGCCAGCATGTTTGCTTCCAGCCAGTTCTTTGAAAAATCACAAACCTCTTCCAATCGTTCCCAGCTAAGAGGCTGCTTGGCAATGGGAATGGTGACTCACAGGGAGAATGATAGCTGGAAAATGCAAGTGGATGGGATTTGCTATAGCCGTTGGCAAGTGTTCACAGCAGGTCTTGCAGCTGAAATTGTCTAGGTTATCCAAATTGAGAGTTTAATAGCCAACGTTACACATTTGTAAGCGCCATCAGGTTCCACTTGGTTCTGGCTGAGTGGTGAACTGGATGCTTAATTGTGCTGCTTTATGGAAAGCAATGGTTAATTTTGAAGTGTAGGAGCTCATGCCCACATCTCTAAAGGTAATCGAAAAATGTAGGCAGCTATATTGATGCATATTAAAAAGCAAACCAAATAATTTCCAGCACTTTTCCTATCTGCCAGGAGCAGGCCTTTTGTAAAACTAAAGGGTCTTAATTGCCCAGTGAAGACCAAACCCTTCCAAGATATTTCACACTATAACAATGGTGGCGAACCTATGGCACGCGTGCCACATCAGACATGCAGAGCCCTCTCTGTCGGCATGTGAGCCAAGTCGCCCCAGCATCGCCCCAGCAGTTGAGCATTGGATAACAGCACACATAGGGGCCATGCGCCTGCGCGGAAAGGAGTAGCGGCACCGGGCGATAACGTCACGAGCCGCAACTCATTAGCTGCGACTTAACCGAGCTTTCACATGGCCGGTCAGTGCGCTGCCAAGGATACATATATATTTGCTTGGACTGGCTGTGAGTTGTTTTTTCTAAACTAAAACCTCAGATGCAGGTTTTATTGCAGTGTTGGCACTTTGCGATAAATAAGTGGGTTTTGGTTTGCAGTTTGGGCACTCAGTCTCTAAAAGGTTTGCCATCACTGCACTATAAAAAGGACAGCTCACAACAAAAGATTGTTCCTAGGAGAGTTCACCCCCTCCCACACACAGGTTAGTGTGAGGGTGCAGCTTAGAGAGAACGAAGCAGCTTAGGTGATATCCTCATCCCCGTTAAAGAAAGTCTCAGTGTTTCCTTCCTGTGAGCCCAGCTTCCACTACACCATTGATTTAAAGGGTTTGTTTTGAACTATTTCCTGAGAGCGGCATAAGGAAAATACTATTTCAAAGTTCCTTTGATAGTGACCCCATTCAGTTTACCAGGCTTATGTCTTCAAAATGCTGATATTGGTGAAAACTTATTTCCATTGAAGTGAGTAGAAAGCCTTACAGCCTGGTGCCTTGTATGCTTGATTGGTAATAAGTACCACTGAATCCAGTCACAAGGTTTGTATGATTACAGCCTCGCTCTGGAAAAAATAGTTACGGATCTCTATGCTCCTGCAGTTGCTAACTTTGTCAGATTTTAAGTGATGCCTTGCCTGTTATTTACAAAGCAAATATGATGGAAAGGAATGGGCTGAAGAATACAATGTTTACTCACTAATGAGGACTACTCCTCTTCTGAAGAAAAAAGTATTAGCCTTTAAACAATAATGGCAGGAAGTAGATTACATTATGAAGAGCACCAAGCACCGTTCCTTTTTGATTCATACATAATTGCTTAGTGATAATGGCAGTGTTGTTAAGGCTAAGACATAATACTTGTATTATTGTGGTTAAAAACCCTCTGTTTTGGAGAAGGCAAGAATAAGGAGAGAAGTGATTGTGGAAGTCTCTGAAATGTAACACGTCCCTCTTATCAGTTCTGTGCAGACTTGTTCCTGTGCTGTTATCTGCTCAGGCACGATGCATCATCAGCCATGTTGATCCCTGTCTTATCACACTGCACACATCACTGTGTACAGGCAACTTGTGGGAAAATGTTCTCTCCCAGTACATGTCGTTACGTAAATGTAAATATGTACATATATGATGGATATGATAATTAGCCATTTCAGCAAAGCATTCAGAAATGTCCTGCATTTCTTTTTAGCTTCCTTCTGATCACTGTGGCCACCTAAGACTTTGTGTGGTTTACTCTGCTGGTGTGCAAGGCTACCATTCTCCGCTCCTTGGGAGGGTGAGTCTGCTGTTTTATCACCACGTGCCACATTAAAGTAGTTTTAGAATTCAGTTCTTCTGACTTGTACTTAAAACGGGTCTAACGGGTCAGCATAGAAGAAGGAGGGACAGATGGTTAACACCTGTTCCTCTTTCTGGTTATTCCCCCAGCCGGCGGGTTCCAGGTAGACATGTCAACTGCCCCCCGGGCCTGTCGGTGCTGCTGCTTAATGCCAGGTTGGTCCAAAATAAGGCAACCCTCATCCATGATTTGATCACGGATGAGAGGGCCGACCTGGCGTGCATCACAGAGACCTGGGCGGGTGAGGGGAGGGATGTTTCCCTCTCACAATTGTGCCTGCCCGGGTACCTGGTCCAGCACCAACCACGCCTGGAGGGGAGGGGAGGGGAGGGGGGGTCGCTCTGGTTTATTGAGCTTCTATTTCCCTTGTGGGGCTCCCTGTCCTCTCGAGGCCGGGGCTGGAGTGCCTCCACTTGGTGTTGGGCGACCGGGACAGATTGGGGATTCTGTTGGTGTACCGTGCACCCTTCTGCCCAACAGACTCCCTGCCTGAGCTGACAGAGATTGTCTTGGACCTGGTGTTGAAGACTTCCAGGATGTTGGTCCTGGGGGACTTCAATCTCCATGCCGAGACGGTGCTAACGGGGCGGCTCAGGACTTCATGGCCTCCATGGTGGCCATGGGGCTGTCTCAACACGTCATTGGCCCGACCCATGAACATGGACATACTCTGGACCTGGTTTTCTCGACGGGGCAGGAAGAGGGTGATCTGAGGGTGAAGAATTTGAGCTTGATGCCCTTGTCATGGTCAGATCACTTCCTCATAAGGTTTGAGCTCAAGAGAGGCCTTTCCCTCTGCAAGGGTGCGGACCCAATTGTATTGGTCCGCCCCCGGAGCCGGATGGATCCAGATGGATTCCTGGAAGCTCTGGGGGATTTTCCGGTTGACAAGGCTGGTGATCCTTTCGATGCCCTGGTTGAACTGTGGAATGAGGAGATGACCAGGGCTATTGACACAATTGCTCCCAAGCGTCCTCTCCCACCTGGCAGAGCCCGTTCATCTCCTTGGTATACACCTGAATTACGGGCAATGAAGCAGGTTGGGAGACGTCTAGAGCGTAGGTGGAGGAGATCACGGGGTGATTCTGACCGAACACACTTAAGAGCCCATTATCGGGCCTATGCTGTGGCGGTGAAGATGGTGAAGAAGAAATTCTTCTCTGTTTCCATTGCCTCCTCACAATGCCGTCCGGCGGAGCTTTTTCAGGTTGTGCAGGGGCTGATACATCCGGGCCCAAAGAAATATCTTGTGCCACCCTCGAAGGCTGTGACGACTTTGCCAAGCATTTCAGAGAGAAAATCGCTCAGATACGCCACCAGCTTGACTCTGCTATTGAACCAGATTCTATTGGGGAGACGCCATCGATGCTGTCGAGTCCACAATTAATGGATGAATTTCAGTTGTTGCAGCCTGATGATGTGGACAAGGTGCTTGGACAAGTACGTCCCACCACTTGCTTACTAGACCCATGCCCATCTTGGCTACTTAAGAAAGCCAAGGACAGGATTGGGACCTGGATCCTGGAGGTGGTCAACGCCTCTTTAAGAGACGGCCGGGTACCCGCCCCTTTAAAGGAGGTGGTAGTCCGGCCAGTCCTAAAGAAGGCATCCCTGGATCCAGAGGTGGCCGCCAATTATAGACCAGTGGCCAACATCCCGTTTCTGGGCAAGGTGCTAGAGCGGGTGGTGGTGGGACAACTCCAAGCACTCTTGGATGAAACTGATTAACTGGACCCATTTCAGTCCAGCTTCAGACCCAGGTATGGCACTGAATCTGCCTTGGTCGCCCTGTACTATGACCTGTGCAGGGAGAGACACAGGAGGAGTGCATCCCTGTTAGTTCTCCTGGATCTCTCAGCGGCTTTCGATACCATCGACCATGGTATCCTTTTGAATAGGCTGGCGGGATTGGGAGTTGGAGGCACCGCGTGGCGGTGGTTCTGCTCCTCTCTCAACGGCCGATTTCAGAAGGTGGTGCTGGGGGACTATGGCTCTGCGCCATGGCAGTTATGCCATGGAGTTCCACAGGGGTCCATTTTGTCCCCTTTGCTATTTAACATCTACATGAAACCGCTGGGAGAGGTCATCAGGAGGTGTGGGCTGCGGAATCATCAGTACGCTGATGATACCCAGCTCTGCCTCTCGTTTTCCACCAATCCGGGTGAGGCAGTGGCTGTGCTGAACCGGTGCCTGGCTGAGGTAATGGGCTGGATGAGGGCCAGTAAACTGAAGCTCAATCCAGACAAGATGTAGGGCCTGTTGGTGGGTGGCTCGGGCCTCAGGATGGGGGACTTGGGCCTTGTCCTAAATGGGGTTGCACTCCCTCTGAGGGACAGGGTTTGCAGCTTGGGAGTGCTCCTCGACCCTGAGCTGTCTCTAGAAGCTCAGGTGACAGCGGTGGCGAGGAGCACCTTCCTTCAGCTTCGGCTGATACATCAGCTGTGTCCCTTCCTGGAGAACGACTGCCTGGCGACAGTGACACACGTGCTGGTAACTTCCCAGTTAGATTTCTGTAACGTGCTCTATGTGGAGCTACCCTTGAAGATGGTCCGGATACTTCAATTGGTGCAGAATAGAGCTGCCAGGTTGCTGACGGGGACTGGGCGTTGTTCTCATATAACCCCAGTTCTCTGTCAGCTCCACTGGCTCCCGATTGAAGTCCGGGCCCAATTCAAGGTGTTGGTTATGACCTATAAAGCCCTAAATGGCTTGGGACCTGGATATCTAAAGGAACGCTTGTGCCCATATATGCCCTCCCGCCCCTTGAGATCAGCAACGGATGCCCTTCTCCGGGAACCCTCTGTGAATGATATTAGGAGGGTGAGTACCCGGAGGAGGGCTTTTTCTGCGGTGGCGCCCCATCTATGGAATGTGCTCCCCAGATATGTCTGCCTGGCGTCGTAATTATTTGTTTTTCGGCACCAGGCTAAGACCTTTTTATTTAAAACTTATTTTAATTGCTAAATTATTGTATTTATTAGGATTTTAAAATTAGCCGAGAATGCACCGGGGGTTTTAAATGTTCGTTTTTTCTTTTAAATTGTTATATTGTTATTGTTTATGTATTTTTTTTGTATTTTTTGTGAGCTGCCCCGAGGCTTTGTTGCGATGGGGGCGGCATAGAAATGTTTTAAATAAATAAATAAATAAATAAATAAATAAATAAATAAATGGCCTTTCTGGGTGTGTGATGACAGAGGAATGAAAATACTTTCAAAAATGCCTTGTTTTATCTCTAATCTTGGCATATATGTTGTTATGTCTGTTTTAAATTGCCAGAATTTAGGACCTTACCTGGTAATTATGTTTTATCTTTTACTGTAACGTTTTTTTTTACCTCTCTTGGGCTACAGTTCTGAGTGTGCTTACTGGAGAGTAAGGCTCATTGAACTCACTGGGTTTTATTTACAGTTGGATTGTTATTTGGATTGTGAAAAGGGAATTCAAGACACATGAACTGCAGATCTGACAATTTAAGGTTTAGGCTGTACTCCTGATCTATACCCAGTTACTTGGGAGCAATTGCCATTGAACTCAACTAGCCTTCTGAGTCATTGTGTGTATTGTTCCTTTACTGTCTCTTAGTTTGTAGTGTTGTTCAGTTGGAAAAGCATGACTTATATACCCTGTTTTAGTTCTCATTTAGTTTTGTGTGTGCTATATATACCCATGTTTTATAATAACAAAAAACAGAAGTATGTAGTATAACAATATTTGTTGACAGAGCTGGTACAGATCAGGTGTAACCTGATGAAATCAGGCAGTTTCTTAGCACTTTTCATATAGTAGTGAAGTATCTGCTTTTCCCTTCTGTTCAAATTGTTGTATATGCCTTGTGTCTTCTGCATTGCATTCTTCACTATTTCAAAAAAATGATAAAAAGTTGAAAAACTGCTTATGTTTTTAACAAATAATGCTGTTACTGAATTAAATAGACTTCCACCAACCTCTCCTTCACTAAAACCCCAACCACATCCTTTTTGCTATTACTTTTGAAATGTGTTGCAATGTTGGGTCACTAGAAAAGAAAAAAGTTGTGGTTTGATTCATTGGAGCCATCAAGTTAAGGTCTTTAAAAATCACTCCTTGTGGCACTGTCCATATGTTCAAGGGCTCAGCACATGTATCAGTTCATTTAAAAGGATCTATTCATTTTAAAAGATTGTATGATTTATGATTGTAGTCATAATCAGTAATAATGAATTTCAGCAAGGTTTTCTTTTGTTGCTTCATTATCATATTTTAATAGGATATTGTTTGATCTTTAAATGCATTTATTGCTTTGTTTGCAGCGAAAAGAGTCCATTGGGCACCCATCTTTCTGTACGTTTCATGGAGTATCTGCAAATGCCCTAAGAACTGAATAGAGGTGAATGAAAGTAGCAGTACCTATGGGACTGTAGTTGCTCATACACCCCCATTACACCCACACCCCTAGCAGGTGTCCTCCAACTGTTTCAGTATTGTGAGCTAGTTGACAAACCTTTATAATATGCAAGATAAAATTAACTCATTAAGTTAGGAGAATGGCATTTCTTTGAAAAGATGTTAGCAGCTAACAGCATGTAGGCTGTTGACAAGATCAGACCAACTCAAAGTACGTCAGTTCTGTCAGTTTCAGGTCTGGGTCACAGTGGCGATGCTAGGTATCCCCTCTTTCAGTGCCTCCAGGATCTGATGCATAAGAATCCAGAGTCAGCAGAAGTCATACTGGATAGATGGAAGAGTGTGCCACTACTCCCTCTTCCCCCCACGATCCTCCCCCCTGGCCACAATAACGACCGTCACCCACCTGTCCTTCCCCCTTTTCATTCCTCCTGTGATGGTGGCAATAGCAGCAGCCAACTCTTCCTTTCCTTCATTCCTACCACTGTTCTCTCTTCTCCCTGTCACCCAGGCCTCTCCCCTCCCTCCATGCCTCATGTGAGGGGTACTCATTCAGAGCAAGACTTTGCAGGAAGGCAGTCCTGAGGATGGGCTGTGCTCCAGCAGCACAGGCATGTTCTAAGGTACCTCCCAACCTAGGACTTGCCCTGAAGATGTTTGGAATGGGCACTCTGGAGAGCCACACTAACTACCCTCTCCCTGAGCAGCTAATGGGGCTTTCCAGAGAGAGTGGCTGCCTGCTTGCACATTCCGAGGGGTCCTCTGAGTGGATGGTGCTGCACAGAGCTGTGCCATCCATTCTATCATTTCAGGGAGCAGCAAGCACAGCTTTCTAGCGTGCCACTTTGGACACACAGTTCTCCTGGTGGCAGATGGAATCTCCTTGTTGGTGGCATCCTACCCTCAGGTGGCCTTTTTATATTAATTGATTACATATGCCTTTACTGCTGATAATTCTAGAGGTACAATTCTGCATACACAGAGAGGATCTTTCAGATGCAAGAAGCTCGTACATCCTTGCAGAGTTCCCTCATTTTGTTCAGCATCTGTTCCATGCATGCCAGGGTTCAATCCTTGTCATCTCCCCATAGGCCTGGGAAAGACGCCTGCCTGAAACACTAAAGAACTGCTGACAGTCAGTGTAGATGAACCTGACCTAGATGGACCTGTAATTTGACCCACTATAAGGCAGCTCCTTTGGGAAAGTAACTTCCATTCAAGTGAAGAGTGAAGCCCACCCAACAGGTGCTCTCTGTAATCATCAGTACACAGACAGAATTCTAGGTTAAGGCACGTCATGTGTTTGTGTGCATGGTTTCTTGTCAAAGCTACCATTTCTGAATAGTGGTCAGCTGCTAGGCAGCTCTAATGAATACAGTAGATCTCTGTCAAGGGAGTAGAATGTATACAAGAAACTACTTGACTGGAAAGGATAGAAACTGAACAGACATAATTAAGAACTCGGAAGCAGTGGGATTCCCTAAGAAAAGTCCCCACAAAGAATGATCTGGAGCCAGCAAAGGTTGCACTATTTCCAGGAAAAAGACGCCCAGGACTATTCCATGTGTTCTGGCACTTGCCTTCCTTATGATGGGAAGAGAAGAAAGGAGCAAAACAGATTCCCACTGCTGCTTGTCTTGACTCCTAGGAGAGGACAGCTGGCTTCCTTTTCTTAGTGCCCAGGATAAGTGATAGACTTGCCCCAGTCCTTGCTTTCTATTTTCTTTGTGCAAAAGAGCAATCCAAATACTATGTTAATGCATTTAAAGATTAAATTATAGATATGTGACCCCTAAAAGCAAATATGTAGATTATGTCTGCAATGGCTTTTGACAGTTTCATGGTCTTATAAATCTGACTTGCCCAGCTTGGGACCTCCCCACAAATAAATGCAACTCACATGCCATGTGCCAAGGCCTGCCAAGGACTTGATGGTTCCCTGTCTCTATTTTTGCATACTCAGGCAGGCCCAAAACCGGAGGTATGTTGATCTCCTGGTGAACTAACTTACATGTTTGATCACTTGCAAGGAGTACCGGCCTCCTAATGATCTCAGTACAAGTATGATTTTCTTGTATCCGTTCCAGTATCTTTGAGTATCATGTCAATGTATAATGCAATGGTTTTTCCTCCTTGCTTGCAGAATATGAATGAGAACAACTCAATTGAAACATCTAAAACAAAGATAGCCAATAGTCCCATTTGTGTCGGCAGTGAAGAGGATTTAAAAAAACTGCGAAAAACAACAGCCACTGTCCATGGCAGAGAAGTTGTTGTTTTCTACCATGATGGAAGATTTTATGCTCTGGATTGCCGTTGTTACCGTAAGAATTTTGCTGTTTGTTGAACATCTTCACATTTAGGTAGATGGAATAAGAGCATAACAAGAGCCCTGCTGGATTGGACTGAAAATGGGCTGATCCAGCAGGGCTTTTGTTATGCTCTACTTCCGTGCTCTGTTCCCACAGTGACAACCAGAGATGCCCACAAGCAGGAGGGTGCAGTGGCCCTTTCCTGTTCATATTCCCCAGCAACTAAGATTCAGGGCCATAATGCATCTGATTCCAAAAACAATCAGGACTAGTAGCCATTGAGAGCCTTATCATCCACTAATTTGTCCAATCTCCTTTTACAGCTGTTCAAGTTGGCTGTCAACGCTACATCTTGTGGAAGCACAAGACTGACTGTGCACTGCATGAAGTAGCACTTCTTTTTGTCAATCCTGAATTTCCACCATTCAGCTTTAGTGGATGACCCTAGGTTGTAGTATTCTGAGAAACGGACGAAAACCTCTTATGCACTTTCTCCTGGTTACATTTAAACACCTCCATCATCTTGTTACCCCCTCACCATTTTTTTTAAGCTGAAAAGCCTCCAAAGTGTCAGCAACTAGTTTTCAGAGGCCACTCCTGGTAACAAAATACCATCATGACTAGCATCTCTAATTGCATATTTTCTTCTCTGAACAGATGCAGGAGGTCCTTTACATCTTGGAGAAATAGAGGTATGGAAGGACAGTAAAAGCTCACTTGATTAGGCAGCGTGATGTCTAAAACGTTTGGATAAATGAAGAACACAGTTTACATAAGACCGTAGTAACAGAGCAAAGACAGATAACTGCATGATCAGAGGGAATACCACATCCAGTGGTGTGGAGCTGAAGGCAAAAGGGACAACCCCCCAATTTTGGCATATTTTAGCTTAAAAAGCTGTTTCTGCCAAAAACTAAGCCTTACAAAAGGCAGTTCAACCTTTTACAATGGACTGTAGAGTGCAGTGGGGTGGGCACAGAAGCCAAAAAACCACCAAATGATTGGTGGTTGGGAAAAACAGTTGGGGCATTGGTAAAAGGGGACCATTCTGCACCCCTGATTAATTGCATCCATTAATAAGGGTCAGACTATTCACTTCCCCTGCCCCACCCTCTGTTCATTCAAAAGAATGGAGATGTAGTAAAGGGTGAACCAGTCTGGGAGCCTCTTTCCAACTAAACAACATGAGGCTATCCAGGGCAGAAAAGCAGAACGGGCCCTTCAGATTCCCACAGTTTCCTTCAGATCTTCACTTACATTTCTTAAGATGGAATCCTATGGATGCTTAGACTGCAAATAATGGCTGTGACTGCCAGCATGCCCCAGCCAGCATTGCAGTTGCGGGCCTTATTTCGGTCTAAACATGCATGGGACTATTCCCTTAACCTAGTACAGTGGTACCTCAGCTCACGAACACCTTGATTCATGACCAAATTGGGTCACGAACAAAAATTTAATGAAAATTTTGACTTGGGTCACAAACTCTGCTTTTGGTGGCGACCAAGATCGCAGCCATCTCCCCACCCACCCCCACCCCCCGGAGTGGGGAGATGGCCATGATCACAGTTGTATTTGTGCAGGAAAGATGTGCATGATCATGGGCGTGCTCCTGCAGGAAAGACGGGCGCAATCTCAGCCATCTCGCCCCCCACCACAACCAGCATGATCGCGGCTATCCCTCCCTCCCCAAGTGGAGAGATGGCTGCAATCACAGTTGTGTTCGTGCAGGGAAGACATGCGTGATCGCAGCTGTGCTGTGCCCGTCTTTCCTGCTGGAGCGCGCCAGTGATCACGCATGCCTTCCCTGCACGAACGCAACTGTGTATTTAAAACTTATTTTAATTGTTCAATTATTGAATTAATTAGGATTTTAAAATTTTTAGCCGAGAATGCACCGGGGGTTTTTTAATGATTTTTTTTGTTATCATTATTTATGTATGTATTTATGTATTCTTTGTGAGCCGCCCCGAGGCTTTGTTGCGATGGGGGCGGCATAGAAATGTTTTAAATAAATAAATAAATAAACTGCGATCCTGGTCATCTCCCCACTCGGGGTGGGGGGGAGATGGTTACAATCATGCTGGTTGTGGGGGGGTGGGAGATGGCCGAGGTTGCACCCGTCTTTCCTGCAGGAGCACACCCATGCCAAGGTTTCTTTGAGAAGCAACACCCCAACATAACTGCAACGAACAGAGTGTTGAATCTGATGAACAATAACGTGGTCTCTCATTTCCAGGGGGTTATGCAGTGCAGGAAAAAACAGGTGACTATAGACAGACTTTTCACCAAAATTGACCCTGCAGCTAAGACACAAAGAGAGGAAACCCCTGAAAGAGATCTCCTCAGTGTCCTTACGGAGGGGGACTCTCCCTCAAAACAATAACCTCCCCTCCACCTAGGTCAGTGTTCTCCACTGTTCTGTACAGTACTTTATTACTTTGTTGTTCTTTGTCATTTTGTTTCAAAATTTCTGATTAAAAAAAATAGTTACAGAACAGATTAACCTTATTTACATTGAAACTTATGGGGAAATTTGACTTAGGTTACAACCAATTTGGGTCACAACCAGAGTCGTGGAACGGATTAAGTTAGTGAGCCAAGGTACCACTGTACTCCTGCTACAGCAGTATGAAAGCTCATGGCTGTCTGAGATTGCTCCAGCATATGTATATTATTGAGGTATATAAGGAAATAAATGTGATTTTCCCCTCGTTTGTTTAGGACATCAATGGACAGCCGTGCATTATTTGTCCCTGGCACAAGTACAGGATAACTCTGGCTACTGGTGAAGGATTGTATCAATCAATTAACCCCCGGGAACCATCTTTATCACCAAAATGGCAATCAAAAGGAGCTAAGCAAAGGACTCATAAAGTTACTGTGGACAGTGGAAATGTTTATGTGACTCTTTCAGATTTAGCAGACAAGATGGATTCTGATTACTATGCTGAAAACTACAAAAAGATAAAAAATTATCCCCAGAAAAAATAACGTATTTTGTACTTAATACTTACAGGCATTAAACTGAAGCACCCTTGCTGTCTAAAGAGCACTTGGTTTTCCAAGTGGTGATATGAAATTAACTGAACTGGGTTTAATATTGAGTATACACAAATCTTTAGTCCAGGCAAGGGTGGGCAACTTTTGGCCCTCCAGATCTTTTGGCCAGTAATTCTCATCAGTCTTAGCCAGCACAGTCAAAGATGAGGAAAGATGCAGATGTCAGCCAAAACACCTGAAGAGCCATGAGCTGCCCCTCCTGCCATTGTCAGAGACAGGACTCTCTCTCTCTGTGCATGTGCGTGTCCGTGTGCATGTGTCAACAATGAGTTGAATAAAGAAGTGCTTGTGCCTTGGAGAAGAAATATGCTAATTGTATGAATTTTAAAATTATAATTGAAAGAGTTGATTCTTTTTCTTGCACTTAATCCAAGGCTTCCCGAAATAATCAAGATTTGGATCTGAAACTGTTCCAGTTGTGTACTTATTCTGCAGCACCATAAATTGGTCTGTGAGCTAGGCAGGCTCTAAGTGGCCAGCTTATGCTGAATGTAACTCCGCAAGCGCCAGCTCACTTATATTAACTGGAAACGACATACTGCTTTTCAACCAAATAGGCTGTACTAATGGCCTAGCTCGAAGAAGCTGGAGTCCTAGGAGATTTATCCTTCTATTTTGTAGCAGGCAAAGTGGTGTGAAATTTACGTGTCAGTAGCTAGGGCTATGTGCATATTTGTGTGTGTGGTAAGATACTGCAGTAACAAAGGCCTGAATGGCCCAAAGAAGCAGAATATTTCCAGGAAAGGGTGGAGTATTTTGCCAAAGGATGCAAGAACAGGCCGTAGAGAAACAAACATGGCTCTCATTCACAGCATACAGTTATCCTTTTCATCTGATATAGTTTCACATTCACAATGTGATGCTGAAGGATTTGACTCGCTGTTGTTTTAACATGTTTATGCTTGTTTTAAATAAATTTGCAAAATTACCTGGTTATGCATGGTTCTCGGGTATCCACATGCCCCCTGCAAGATATAAAAAGTGTTTAACTCTTGGTTTGCATATATACTCCTAGATTATATTGAAATATCTGTGAACCTTTCACTAGGATATAGAAGAATGCTAAACACATACTCGTAAAAAGTTTGTGGGGAGCATATTGCAGTTTTTTCGTGAGAGGTTATTTTCTTTGCTCTTTGTATATGCACAGATGGCAAAAACCCATTCTGTTTGACTGCTGACTCAGATGTGGCATTCCCACACCAGAACTGGAGATTCCTGGTAGTTATTGGAGTAGATTCTATAGGATATTGGTCCAATGCTGCTATGAAAAGCTTTCAAGGCAATGCTGCTACATAAGGGAACTGTTCAGCAACAGCCACATGGGGTCTGTAACATTTAATCAGGTCTTGGATTTCTGCTAAGCAAGACAATCTGTCCTTCTCTTCTAGCTGCAAACAGAGCCCTTTTCTTCTCGTGTACAGAATCTGTGTACAGGAAAAGTTTGTGAGCAACAAAGCTCCTTTTACACAGTAGCTTTGGATAAGCTTGGCATTCACTGTTGTGTAGGTGGGGCTTTAAGAGCAATCTGCTCTTCATACATAATATGCAGTTACCTAACTAGCAACTGAGGTTTCTAGAGGAAAAAAAACAATCACACTAACTGAACCAAATTCCTGTACTACCCTTAATTTGATGACACTTCTTTTGGAGTTATTATTAATTTTATTTATACACTACCCAATATGCAAAACTCTCTGGGCAATTCAAGATAATAGATTAAAAACAATAAGAATCCAATAAAGCAGCATAAAATGCAATCATTTTTTTAAAAAGTGTAATAGCTACAACAGATTACCAAAATTAAGTTGCAGTGCCCTCATATAATAGAAAAGTAATTGAATGGCATGTCATAGAGGATAGCCTTAACTTGTCACTGAAAAGATATTGGGGTTGGTGCCAGGCAGGCCTCAGTGTGGGGAGCGGGTGGGGGGCAGGGACAACCGCTGAAAAGGTTCTAGAACCATGTTCCAGAATATCACTGCATTTTGTTTTTAAACTAAGCTTGCAGGAAAACAGTAGTATATGCACACTAAAAGAGTAAATTAGGAGGCAACCAACTGTGAAACTAGGATCCTTCTTAATAAGTCAGCGAGCAGGACTGTTCAGGAAAGTATGTTTAGGAAAGTAATGCCAATTGCAAAATACAGCAAGGGTTGACTACTTGGTGCCCACCACATGACTTGGATTATAACTTTCGTCAGCTGCAGCCAGCAAAGCCAGTGGGTGGGGGTAGTGGCAGCTGTAGGCAAAAACATCTGGAGGGCATAAGATTGCTTACCTCTGAAATAGCATAAGCTATTTTGCTGTCAGCAATTCTCAGAAGGCCTTGCAATTATCCGTGACCTGAGATCATAGTAATTCTTCACCTTTTAACGTTAAAAATAGATGTTGACATATTACATGGTCTGACAGATATCAACTTTAGTTCAGCTTTTGGAAAAAAAGTGTTTCTTGCATAAACAAGACCTTTTAAAAAACCATGCATACTGATGTCACTGAAATGTTTTTCAAGATATTCAGCAATCTTTGTCGTGGAACATAGACAAGTTACTTGGTTACTTCCCACTAGGTAAGGAACATTAACTCACTAAGCTTTTTTTTTTCAGTCGAGGGACTGCTTGTGCGTGTGTAAGATTTGAATTTGCTTGTGGAAAATGAGTACTATCTTCACACAGCTGTATATTTAATAAAACAGTCAGTGGAGAGGCAGAAAGATCACAGCAGTGCCTACTCTGTAAGGGAATATTCTTGTTCTTGTTCTTGATCCATTGCTGCAAGCAATGTATGGATACTTCCACGTGGTGTTGACTTCACGGAAAACTCTGAAGGTTCTTGTGGAGTGGTTGCAGAGTCGTGCGCTGCTTCATTGGCTCTAGGAAATCTGTCTGCATCAACGCCATCACTGCTGCTTTCCCTGGAAGCGCTTTCTGTTTGGATGATGCTTTTTATTTTCCCCAGCATTGTATTGATGGAGACTGCCTATATAATGAAGGCATACATTTTTACTTGAAGTAATTGAAAGGCTTTATATTTTCTATTTCTGACTAACAGAAAAGCTGCACTTTGCAGTTTGCTACCGATACATTCATAGTGTGTATTAATTGCCTCAAAATATCAGATAACTGAAAATATAAGATTATGATGGGGATGAGTTGGGTAGATTCACATGGTTACTTTTTTCTGTTGGTATTTACAGATTCTGGGTTTCAGAAGCCTAAAATGAACTGAAACATTAATTCCAATATCACAGGTGCAGTTATCTGCCCTAGTTTAGGATGACAAAAAATAACTAGAAAATGCCTGGGCTTTGTTACCACTCTTTTAACCATTGGATTGAAGATGACTGCATCGTGTTTTATTCTAACAGTTTTTCATGAATGGTGACATGTTAACAATTGGATTGTCCTATTCAGAAAAACATATACTTCTGCTTCATTGACTATACTAAAGCCTTTGATTGTGTGGATCACAACAAATTGTGGCAAGTTCTTAGAGATGGGAGTACCAGACCATCTTATTTGCCTCTTGAGAAACATATATGTGGGTCAAGAAGCAGCAGTGAGAACTGGACACGGAACCTCTGATTGGTTCAAAATTGAGAAAGGAGTTCGGCAAGGCTGTATACTGTCACCCTGCCTATTTAACTTATATGCAGAGCACATCATGAGAAAGGCGGGGCTAGATGAATCACCAGTTGGAATTAAGATTGCTGGGAGAAATAACAACCTCAGATATGCAGATGATACCACTCTAATGGCAGAAAGTGAAGAGGAACTAAAGAGCCTCTTGATGCGGGTGAAGAAGAAGAGTGCAAAAGTGGGCTTGAAACTCAACATTAAGAAAACTAAGATCATGGCATCCGATCCTCTCACTTCCTGGCAAATAGAAGGGGAAGAAATGGAGGTAGTGACAGATTTTATTCTCCTGGGCTCCAAGATCACTGCAGACAGGGACTGCAGCCAAGAAATTAAAAGATGCTTACTCCTGGGCAGGAAAGCTATGGCAAATCTAGACAGCATACTAAAAAGCAGAGACATCACCCTGCCAACAAAAGTGCGTATAGTCAAAGCTATGGTTGTCCCAGTTGCAATGTATGGCTGTGAAAGTTGGACCATAAGGAAGGCTGAGCGTCGAAGAATTGAGGCCTTTGAATTGTGGTGCTGGCGGAGACTCCTGCGAGTCCCTTGGACCACAAGGCGATCAAACTGGTCAGTCCTAGAGGAGATCAACCCTGACTGCTCTTTAGAAGGCCAGATACTGAAGATGAAACTCAAATACTTTGGCCACCTAATGAGAAGGAAGGACTCCCTGGAGAAGAGTCTAATGCTGGGAACAATAGATGGCAAAAGAAGAAGGGGACGGCAGAGGATGAGGTGGCTAGATGGAGTCACTGAGGCAGTTGGCGTGAGCTTAAGTGGACTCCGGGGGATGGTGGAGGACAGGAAGGCCTGGAGGAATGTTGTCCATGGGGTCGCAATGGTCAGACATGACTTCGCGACTAACAACAACAACAACAACAATTGATATTAGCATTGTAAGCCATTTAAAAACACCCAAGCCTGTGTTTAATGTTAAATATCTTAGGGTGCAATCCTGTGGCTGCTAGAAACTGGCTAGATGGCCTTAGGAAAATCTAGTGCTCCATCTCTGAGTGCAGAAAAGCACTTTGAGTGCAGAAATGGGGCTCTGAATTTGGAGCAACCTCCCCTAACTTTGCAGCTGATGCACTTCTTTCCGGGCCGGCCATGGCTTTGAAGTTGCGAGTGTGACTTCAGAGCTGGTATGTGTGTGCATATGGTCTGGGGCCCAAGGAGGGGAGGAGAGAGGCTCTTCTGGGATGCAAAGAATCTTGGTAATGCCTTAGCCCTCCTCACAAGCAGGGGTAAGCAGTTAGATGGCCAAATTTGATGAAGTGTTTTGGAAGGTGAGGGGATCATGGAGGTTCTTCTCCTGCCCTCCACAGATGCCTATCATCTAAATTCAGGTATGAATGAGTGGTTATGAGGAGCCACATTGGATGGTGCCCTAAGAGTCCAATGGAATCATTTTGCACAATAAAGTTAAGCTACTACATAATTGCTTTGGCAGACATACAATCACAGTTGCTTAACTTCCCTTGGTCCTAGTTAGCATAGCCAATGGTGAAGTATGATGAGCGTTGGAGGCCCCCAAGTTGCCCAGCCCTGTCTTACAGGTTAGCATCTAAATGATTCGCTAGCATAGGGGTGCACAGTGTAGATTAGGTCAAATTCCTGAGCTAAGCATGTGTTCCTGTCTGCTTACCTGGGCCATTTTTATGGATCTAGCTCTGGTTGGTAGATTGCAGGATTCTACTGGCATCCCCTGACCCTGAAAGAAGGTAGATCCCACAAGGCTGGAGTCTGCCCATCCCGATCTCTGGAGCTATTTTGTTAATCTTAAATTTTTGGATGACTTGGAAGTGTGACAGAAGAAATGTTCACAGCACACTCAAATGCTGGCAACAACCACCTTTGCAGAGAAAGATGTGAAAAGATGAATATTTATGCCCCCAACTGGAAAGCTGAAGTAGATTTGGAGTGTGTGGTGCTTTCCCAGAGCTTCATCATACTATGATGGTTGCAAAACATAGCTTTAAGGCTAGGACACATGTGCAACACATGATTTGATAAATAAGTAAATTACATGTTTGGGAATAGGAAGTATGAGAGAAGCAGGATCAGAGAAATGGAATTTACTAACTTACTAGATAAATTAGTGCTGCATAAGAAACACACATCACACTGGTCAGTGCAGTCCTTGCCGGATAGGAAATAACATCATAAAAGAACATTGTCCTATCCTGAAGAGAGAGAAGAGGCATTATTTTGTCACATTGAGTTTTGCTGGGCACAATCCTTTTCAATCCTATTGATTGGAAACATGCTTATATCTTTCTTACTGAATTCTGTGGGACAACATGCTTAACTTTGGATGGATCATGCCCAGGGCTTAAGCAGATTCATTGTACAAATGCCCCAATCCCAAATTGTTCTCATTGAGTTCAACAGAACTCATAGTTGCAACTCTGTATGTACCGATTTGTACATAAGTCATACAGAACTCAGTAGGCTTACTTTCTAGTAAATGTGCATAATAGATGACATGGTCTCTAATTCGCAAAGTTCATGTGACAATCAGTGTTAGCCTTTAAGGTGCCACAAGACTCCCTTTGGTGTTTGCTGTAACAGACTATCAGAAGGCCATTGGATGCTGCCTTGCACTGATACAGACCATAGGTCCATCTGTGGGTTTGTTTATTCACCTCTAACATTTCTGCTTCCCCATAGCTGAAGTCCTCTGGACAGTTCACAACGATCAGACGTGATAAAACATAAGACTTTAAAAGTTTAAAACTGAAGTATAAACCCAAAATTTAAAATGGACAGCAGTTAAAAGATTTTAAATAAAGTTTTAAAGACAGCAGAAAATGGAAGACTAACATGCCTGGGGAAATAACATGGTTTTCACTTGACACTGAAAAGACCACAAGGTGGGCACCAGGTAAGCCTCTGTGGAGTTGGCATTCTGCAGCTGAGGTGCCACAACAGAAAGATCTCTTTCGTAGTAGCTGCCCAGTTTACTTCCTTTGGGGATGGAACCAGACTGAAGCTGAATCAATGGCAGTGCTGGAAGTGGGCTCCTCTGCCGGCTCCTTCCCACAGCAGCCCCTCTACCCCACGTAAAACGATGCACAGAAAGTCAGGAGACCTTACTGAATGGAGCAAGCTGTAGCTTAGCAGCAAAGTGCTCCCCATCCTCAAATTGGGCAGGAGAACCTCCATGTGCAGAGTTCTTTCTATCACATAAGACAATCCTGGAAATAGTCCTGGATCCAGCCCTAGCTTGGCAAATGTCCCTCTGCAGTGAGGAGTCTTTTTGGCCTATGCGTTGTCTTCCCCAGGCACTGAGGGCCAAACTGCACATGCAGTTCAAAGTATCTTTGCAGCCAACATGCATTCTAGTTTATTTGTGTGTTTCTTTGAAATACAGATATCTTCTTCTGGGTAGCTGATAAATAATCAAGACTCCAACAGGCAGGAAGGGGAAATTCCATGTTTCCTTCCTGACTGCACCCCTGGGAAGATCCTTTCTCTGCAGCTGCATTGACAGTGTTGAGAAATTCCCCACTGGCAACAAAGGGGGATTTGACCCACAAGCAAATATTCACTTCAGAACAAGGAGCTTCTCCTCAGAAGTGCAGCAATAGGGTAAATTCCCACCCAACCCCCATCCCAGCTCTCTGATTCATCATCACACACAGAGCTGATGCAATTTGCATTTTAAGCATTCAGCAGACCTCCATCATGGTGCTCTTAACTTTCTCAGTTTCAGTTGGGGAAAACAAAGATCGCATTTGGGACCTCCTGCATGCAAAGCAGGCAGAGCCCCACCTTTCCACCCCATCAGAACTGTTTGGGTTGCATGTGTACCTAGAAATGTGACTGCAGTCCCCATTTCTAAGTTTAGGCCTGCTATTCTTAGAATGATAAATTGTTGTTTTAACTTGATCAAGAAGCCTAAATCTAGAATACAGGTTTGCAGGGGCCCATGGAGCAATCTCTCCGGAACAATGTATATCTGACTTTTATTACTTTTCTTTCCAAAAGCAGGAAATGCAAAAAAACTGATTAGACAATGCAGCTCTTTGTAGGCTTTCTGCTATGTAGATCAGGGAGAACTGGGACAGTTGGAAACAGCTTGCAAAGAGAAAGAAGCTCTTTGGAACGGCTTTGGCACATTCGTGAATACATGCCATTTTAACCAAAGACACCGTGGAGGGAAAAATGCTAAATCCATTTGTTCAAAAATAAGCCTAGGTTCAGTCTTAGTCAAAATCAAGGAAATTTACATAGTAACCTGCCTTATCCTGTATCATACCATGGGTGACTCCCTGGGTTTTCAGGCAGTATTCTTTCCTAGCCCTGCCTGGAGAATCTGGGACCTTCGGCATGACAAACAGGTGCTCTTCCACTGATCTATTAAGATATGCTCAAATCTGGATCCAAGCCACTATCTATTGCTAAGATGGAAAATGTGTGTCCATCCAGCTGGCCAACACCAATGGTATTGCAGCCCCAACACACCTGGGGTGGGGGGCACACATGCTGCACCCCCGCTTGAATGCCTTCATAATAGAACTTAGTAGCATGATGTGCACAGTCACTCAAATTCCTTGTCTACCTTCATTCCATAGAGAGGTTGTTTGGGAGAGTTCAGTGTTTCCAGAAAGTGATGTGATATCATACTCAGCTCTGTAATCTTTCTAGCAAATCGTGGCTGCAAGAATTTAGCCACTGATTTTGAAGACCGGGATAGTTTAGTTAGTCCATTCATGATGATTGCTCCGTGAGTTGAAGAGAGTTCCCTCGTTATAACTGATCTAGGTTTCTGCACAGTGCGATTGCTTTGCTGAAACAGGAAGAAAAAGAAAAATGAATATGATCACTCAGCAGGATATTAGGCTTAGAACAGAGAAGTCATCTCAATGCTCTGAAATGGGGAAGGGAGAAAATAAGTCAGGATCTACTGGTAGATCTCTGGGTGATTTGCAGTACATCTCCAAGTAATTCCAACTCCCTGGAACTTTAACAAGAGCAAAAATCTGCCTCTAATTGCTTCCTGTCATGGGACTCCTAACATTATCGATTAGAGAGCACTGACTGGGTTTGTATGACACGGTAGATAAGTCACACTGTGTAGAAAGCTATGAAGTATGTCTTCCAAACTACCTTACCCACAACGTGCCTGACAGATAATTGGGCACATCTGGGATATGGTGCCTCGTGCCCCTCCTTTGTCCTCCTGAAGGTAACCCAGCGAATGCTGCTGGAGCACCAAGGCTCCCCCCTGCTGCCACTTGACAGTGGTGTTGGAAAGGTGGGGAACAGGCAACATTTTAGGCATGACAAAAGGGTTGGCTGCCGTGGCAGGGGCACTGTTCCTGCTGCCACCTGTAGCCCAAAACAGAGATCCTGCTGTGCCAAGATCCAAGCCACATTCTGCTGGGCTGGTGTGTGTTTGTGGCTTCTTGCTTGGTGTGGCAGCTGCTGCACCAGCACGACAGTCTCCCCAGTGCAGGGGCGGCTGCTTCAAGTGCAAGAGTGGGAAAGATATGCTAAGGACTCCTGGTGGCCCCATTCTTGCTTTTCCTGCAACTATTTAATTTCTATTCCACTCAACAGATTAAACTCTTGGAGCAGGAACAGGACTACCTTGGCTCTGGCGCATGAGGACTCCTCACTGGGCAATGGGGCCCTTCCCATAGCCTCTCCCTAAGCCCCATTAGACACTCGGAGTGGAACACAGTAGACTAGTGGCATCACTGAGCACTGCCTCCTCAAGAGCAAGCAGGGCTTGGGGGCCATGCATGGCCAACACTGGCACAATACGACCCCTCTTCAAGCTCTGGACAGGGCTTGAGGGAGCTGGCATGCAATGGCAGGGAACCACGACGGCCGTCCCTAAGCTCCTCTTGAGCACTTTGAGGGCAGCTGTCTCTGGTGCTTGCCCAGAGCCACTTGGCAAGAACAGCAGGGTGATTTTGCTGCTCTTGTCAAGCGGTTTACTTGTTGTGGGGCTTGCCCCCCTGTGGGTACTGTCATCTACTTTCAGATGACGCAGCAAGCTGCCATGGGACAAACAACCACTACAGCTAGCCATGGCTTGTCAGGATGGCTTATAAGCCAAATGCAAGCCCCTTTGATGAAGCCATCCTGGGTTTGGACAACATGCTAAGCTACCATGGTTTCAAAGTCTGGTGACTTAATGTGAGGTGCCAACCATCACTATAAGCTTTTTCATCTTTCCTTCCTTGATGGATTTTCCATGGAAGGAAAAAAAAGATTGATGAAGTAGTGGGTTAGGAATGGAAGAGAATTTTGTTAGGACTTCACCTACCATTGAGGGAATGAGAGCATGAACACCTCACCTGCAAGCATCATCAGTTTTTTTTTCATCAGTAAATCAGTTCCATTTGACTAGGTTTTGTTCAGTTCTGCTAGCCAGTTTTAGAGTGTTTCGGATCCCTGATCTCTGGTAACTCACACATAAATTTGCATTAATCCCAGTGTATGATTCATAGGGATCAGTGGATACTTGACTGCACTCCCAAGCCGTCATTCTATATCTGGTTCTGCTTGACAGACCTCAACAAAACAACAGCAACAAGATCTGCTCAACTCTGCATTAAGAGAGCTACGTATGTATTGCATCTGGAATTACATTACACTCCCAGCTTTCATTTTGAATATGTGTACTGCTGGGGAGGAAAGCTATGGCAAATCTAGATAGCATACTAAAAAGCAGAGACATCACCCTGCCAACAAAAGTGCATATAGTCAAGGCTATGGTTTTCCCAGTTGCAATGTATGGCTGTGAAAGTTGGACCATAAGGAAGGCTGAGCGTCGAAGAATTGAGGCCTTTGAATTGTGGTGCTGGCGGAGACTCCTGCAAGTCCCTTGGACCACAAGGTGATCAAACTGGTCAGTCCCAGAGGAGATCAACCCTGACTGCTCTTTAGAAGGCCAGATACTGAAGATGAAACTCAAATACTTTGGCCACCTAATGAGAAGGAAGGACTCCCTGGAGAAGAGTCTAATGCTGGGAACAATAGATGGCAAAAGAAGAAGGGGACGGCAGAGGGTGAGGTGGCTAGATGGAGTCACTGAAGCAGTTGGCGTGAGCTTAAGTGGACTCCGGGGGATGGTGGAGGACAGGAAGGCCTGGAGGAATGTTGTCCATGGGGTCGCAATGGGTCGGACATGACTTCCCGACTAACAACAACAACAACAACAACAACAACAACAACAACAGGGAAAAGAGAAAGCAAACTTTTAACAAAATGTGAAGAAATCATTCTTAAAGAAGAAAAACTTCAATTTGCCACTAAGCAGGAATCCAAACCTGCTTTAGGGTTTGAAATTTACTTTATAACTGTAACATTAAGGCTTTAGAAAAAGAATACTTTTGTTTAAAGCTTCAGTTTTTATCTTTTGTGAAATAAAAAAATCATTCCTAATCAGCGTCCTTGTTAGCCTATCTGGATATGAATGCTGGTGGAAAGCAGAATATTATTTTACTAAATAAATGGGTGATTGCAATAATTATATCAACAGAAATCCATCTTGTGAATTCATTTAAGCTGATACTCTTTTTTAATTATACAAAAATACAAGATACAATCTATGAATTAACTTATTTTTAAATAATATAATAGTATAAAATATAAATGGCAGGTACTACAACAATTTATATAACTCAAACTGATATCCATCTAAGTAATATATTATGGTTAAATACTATCTCATTATTTCATGTTTCATTGATTGCAAAACTATGCAGGTTTACATAGAATAGCATTGTTCCCTGCATAGGGCTGTGCCCTAAACCAATTCCAACTTTCAGTATACTTGTCTACTGAGCTTCTTTTTTAAAGTCTTTTGCAAATACAAGCTTTGTCAAAATGCTGTTACCTAAACTTGTTCATGCTACTTGGATATTCAAAAAGTTCTTGAGGATTTCCATGATGATGCTAAACCCTGTCTTGTGGCAGTGCACAAGTGCAACCCTATACATGCCTACTCAGAAGTAAGTCCCAGTGACTTCAGTGAAGCTTACTTCTAGGACTGCAACCTAGGACTGCAACCTAGAAATTGAAACCTACATTGCAACTAGTAATCAGTTCTAGAGCATCCCTTAAAATATGAACATTTAAATATCTAAGAAGCAGTATTTTGGCTTGAAAGGGAATTTAAATCTTGTCCTGAAATATCTCTTAATCTTTCCATAACCCCCTGGCAAAATGAGTTAATAAGAGGGCAAGCCATACATTCAGACTGTGGTATCTGGTTCTATTCAAGTACCGTTTGTTTCAATAAAATTTGGAGAAACAACTCCTACGTCCACTTTCCTGCATGTGAAGTCCCATTAAATTGATTAGGCTAATGGGGTTGCTTCTAAGTAGTAAAAGCCCAGCACTGCCACCATTCACCCTTCTGATGATAGAAATGGTTCCCCTGCTCCACCCAGGCTGCTCTGGACAGCCATGCTGGCTGCTCTCCTGAGGCCTTGGGAAAAGGCCTTGGGGCTCCCTAGAGTTCCAGCCTGGCTGATGTCCTTGCTCTAAGGACCCCTCAGAGTGAAGCACTGGCCAGCTGCTCCAGAGAATCTTGCTGGCTGCTCTTCTGCCAAGGGATTTGCCACAGCAGAAAACTGGCTGAGTGGTCTCTGCAGAGAGCCCGCCTGCACAACGCCTTGATCTGAGGCAGCCCCAGAGTGAGGCACTGGGCAGGTGGCTGCCATGGAGAGCTCTTTCAGCTGCTTTTTTGCTGTGCCAATTGGTCGCAGCAGGACAGCAGCCAGCAAGTTCTCTGGAGCACCTGCCCACAGGAGTAGGGATTGTGAATCCTCCAGGTGGGTGGAGGCTTCGGCGAATGGGGCGGCGTAGAAGTTCCCTAAATAAATAAAAAATAAAATAAATTTGCCAACGTTTCTGATCTGATCTGCTGTCCAAGGCAGAATATTCATTCCATTCATGAATACATTGAATTTTCTGGCTGTTGTTTAGAAGAGGAGCAGATGTAACATGCTGGCCTTTCTGTGAACAGAAGAGCTGTTTTGGTGAATGGTAGACATGTTGGTTTAGTGGAAGCTCCCTGCTACAGGAAGGTGGTGAGCAAGTGGTTTTGTTGATTCCCCCTTCTCCCTGAAACTCCTTGCACCAGACATTACCATGTCCCAGAGGCAGGAAGCATCGGAGGCTTCAGAAGGAAGAATCTTCTCCCCTCTTCCTTGCATGACTGTGAGCAAAATTTTGCTAGGCAGTATCCTGGATCCAACCTGGTTGAGTTTTTTCCCCTTACATTCCAATACATCCAAATACAGTCTTCTGATTCTTTACATCCGTTGATTTTTGAAAATGTCCACAAATAGGAAATTTATCATTATGCCATAGCTATTTAGCATTATACTTTTGTAGGTGAAGTATATGTTCTGGGATGTAGCTAGTTAGCAAGCTGTTCTCCAGTTAGCCCATGCAATTCTGTATCTGCCTCCACTCTGTGTGGCATCAGGACATCATAATCTCTGATGAAAATTTCACTTTCATAGCACTGCTGTACCCTAACTAGTCCAAGACATGCTGAGGAACTGGCTAAAATGCCTCTTGATCCCTGATTCCACCTACAGCAAGGCTGGGCCAAAGATGGATCTACAGACAGTTTGGGCTTCGGTTTCCAGAAACTCCTGCCAGCAGGACCAATGGTCAGAAATGCTGGCAATCCAATGTCAAAGTTTCGGGAGGGCTACAACCTGTCCAGAGTGATAGCTGAATTTTTCTTGAACAATGGTGATGGGACAGCCTCTCCACCGGGGATGAAGAGACACACCTCTTGTTTTGCAACACCTCACTGCTGTCTCCCCAGTCCTTGGCACGTGTGGCCTGTGGTGGCTGTCTCACTCTACTTGATGGTAGGGCTGGCCCTATATAGAAATGCACTTCTGCCACCAGAGTTAAGCCTTTGGGGGCAGGATGCTGAGCTTCTGCAGCCCCCTCTGTCACAATCGCTGGTGCTGAATTTTATTGTGTTAGGTGTCTAGTGAGCTGAAGAGCATAACTGTGCATAAGTACAACACTGCACCAAAACTTGCAGAGAAAATGGTAAATGTAATATATTTAGCATTTCTAAAGAAACCAAATGTTCAAATAATGAAATACAATTCAGAATCATTACCTGGTTTGAACTTGTCAGTCTCAATAAGTTTGGAAATTCATCCCTAATTTCATCTATAATTTCCAAGAAGGATCTCTGAATTATCTCGGCTGAATTGAAAAACAATTGTTAAAAGAATATAGCCCCAGTGCTCAAAATTAGGCTTCACATATAAGCATTACTGATTTGTGAAAGAGCTGGGATGGTCAATTGAACAGAAAAGTCTACAGCATTAGAACCAAGAACTAGACCAACTAGACCAAGGACCAAGTAGTACTTACCTGGTGTAAGTGACAAAACTATGTTGTTATTACTTAAGGACAGTTTGTAAGCCATCCTGAGACTCCTTGCATAGGACAGCATAGAAACGTTTAAATTAAATTAAATTAATTAAAATTTAATCACTTAACCGTTATTGGGATGTGAAATGCCGGTCAAGTTCATTTATTGCAGGTCTCCATCTATGACCAGTATATTCTGTTACATTCAACTCATAAAATTTCAGAGTCTTCTATAACTATGCTTAATATCCACAATATACTGCTTCAGTGCTTCCCTTTCTCTCTAGATTCCGTCCAGACTCAACTGTTCTAGAGTAAGTCCACTGCAGGACCTACTATGTTCAGGGTGCAGATGCTCTGTATGTTGAAATCCCATGTCCAGTGTCTGGCACCCCCAATTAAAAGGATCTTGGGCAGTAGCAAACCTTGAACAGCTGCTGTCTGTTAGAGTGAACAGTATGGTTTAGCTAGAGCCTAAACCAGCCCATGTGTACCAGATAGCTTGTTAACTACAGCAACAAGACAGAGGCAGTTTGAAAACCAGTGTGGTGTACTGGCCAGAGTGTTGGACTGGGACTCAGAAGATCTAGGTTTTAGTTCCCACTTAGCCATGAAACTCATGGGGTGACTTTTAGCTGGTCACTGATTCTCTGTCCAATCTAACTCACAGGGTTGTTGAGAAGATAAAATGGAGGATTATGTAGACCACCTTAGCTTTCTTGCAGGAAAAAGGGTGGAATGTAATATATTAATTAATAATAAACAGCCACCCTGGCCAAATTGTCTGAGGGTTCCAAACTCTATCATTGAAAAAGCACTGGGTGGTACCTTATTGTGGAGGTGTCCTTGCAGGAACAATTGTTTGGGCAACAAGGCTTTTCAGTTTAAAAAATAATAATCTAAAACAAAATCACTTCCATAATGAGACAGATCAGTGAAGGTCAGAAAACAGAGCTCCACTGATCTCCCAATCTGGAAACAAGTGTTTCCACCTGTTTGCAAGATTAGTTTTTGAAGGGTGAAAGCCCTGTTACACACTTGGTAGGTCCCGTGAGAAGAACAGAACTGAACAGCCCCATTAGGCACTTTCAAATGGCCAGCTATTTGGGCTCTTCTGCCTTAAGAACAGCAGAAGAATTACAGGAATGTTAAGATTTGAAGACACTGTCATCTAATCCCCATGAAAAATTCTGCACACAATGCAAGTCAATTGCATGATAGAAGGCTCCAGGAAGTGCCCAAAGAGCTCATACCTTGTCCAGCAAATTTCCTGACCAACTCCCCACATATCCAGCCAATTGGCCTGAGAGCCATTTTCTAGGCCATCTGCTGCCTCCCTACCAATTTTCAAATTAGTTTCCTCACCAAGTCTCCTCACCAAGCTGGCCTATCAGGCCACAGATGACAGCCTCCCATTTGTTTGCCTATCTCCACCTCCAATGTAAGCCACAATGTGCCTTTATGAGGACACAATGTGCTTGTCAAACGCAGCACCTACTTGACTCCTGACATTCAGAGTAACGTGCACACAAGAAAACTGCCTCATAGTGGGCAGGGCTCTCCAGTACAGCATTCCTGAATAAAAGAATGCATGATTTGATGAATTTCTCTTTCTACACTACCGGGAAACAACCACAACAACTATAGCCTTGTTAAGGTTTCTATTATTTTAATAGTCTTTAACAGGCCAGTCCCCACACACAAGAGGAAAAAACAAGCAAGTCCTGGTTACTGGATTATGTAAGATCTAATCTTCTCAGCATTCTGCTTTAAACTACACAAAAAGCTCCAAACCACATTATCTTGAATTTTCAAACACAAGTATGATGACAGTTGGAGAGTGTTAGTTGCAGTTTAGGAAAATCAGGGTAAATCTAGTGACCCATTCTGTGTTAGATATGCTCATCCTGCCGCTTCTTTTTTCGTCTTGCATTTCATGTGTTTCATTTCTGCTTCTGAAGATTACACTTTGCTTTTATGTGTAATGGGTGGGATCCAGATTTAGCCACATCTGGGGTGGTGGAAAAGACTTTCCTGCCTTATCTTTTTCATGACAGAAGCTCAAGTCTCCTGCGAATATACTAGAAAAAGACTGAGGAATCTTGTTGAATGGGGTGAGCTGTGAGGGGAGAAGGAGGGATTGGCTGAAAATGGGATCCAAAGCTGAGTGCTTCCACCATAGAAGGCAGAGCCTAGATTGAATCCTTTGTGTTTGCATTGAGTTTTACTCACTTTGGGGTCAGCTGTGGCACAGGAAGAATGGGATAGCCAAAACTAATTGTGCTTTATGTTCTGAGAAAACGTGATGTCCCCTGGAAGATAGCAACTGCACTTTTTTCCTATAGAGTCAAAATAAATAAAATATACAGTTTACTTGGTGAGGTGCCAATAGTAATTATGTATCATGTGCCCTAGGTTTGATAAGACAGACTATGCATTCCTCATGTGACTGGTGAAAAGAACTCTTGCACACTTCCTGAAATCCATGCTGAAGACTTAGTTGATGGAATCCAGTATAGATTTATATCCTTAGGCTTAAGATCTCTGATGTTTAATGGCTGAGAATTTTAAATTATGCTTCTAATATCATATATACCCATATTGCAGAATCCTTCTGCCATATTACTGGTTCCTCTTGGCACTTCTAAATTCTATCTGATAAGATCTGTTGTTAAATTACCTCCCCAGCAACATAAATAGGGGAAGCATCTATAAATCCTACCACGTCTATCCTTCATTCAAATGACTTCCTCTGATGGCCTAGACACTTTCATAGTGCTTGCCTGTTCATTTATAGAGAATGCTTCAAAATGGAAAAGCAGCAGCAGCAGCAGAAGCAAGTTCCACAAATGATGATTTTCAAAACAGCACCTTCTACCACATTTTCAGGATACTGGTTTGGAAGCTTTGAAAACAAAATAATTGATGGCTTCCTTTTGTCACAATAAAAGAAATCTCAGTGTAGTTTAACTAAAAAGCAAGAATCTTAACAAGTTGCATCCTGCTGAAGGCTAGTGGATGCATTTGGCTGAAATCCAAGGGTTTTTTAATTTCTATTTTTTGCTTACCTAGGGTATAGGGTGGGTCTGCTGTTATGTTAATCAGTTAGAAAATTGTGCTTCCATTACCAAACAGAGCTTCAATAATACCCATAGAAAGCTGGTTTGTAGTGCTTCCAGTTTCGGTTGGCAATGACTTTAACATCTCACCCAGCTGAGCATATCCATGTGTCTTTTACATTCTACTCTTTCCCCTGTCTCTGGAAATTACTTGCTACTGGGTTTTTGCAGACAAAATTGCTGCATTTGTTACAACCTCAATATCACTATTGTTTCATGGTCAACAGCAGAACCATCTAGGTCCTCCTATAATCAGACTATATTGGATGATTTTCAATTGTCAACATCCAAGGTAGAGGGCAGGAATTTGGTTCTATTCACCCAGCAGCATGTCCATTCCACTGCAACCATCCTATTCAGCATGGAAGAGCTGGGGAAAATGCTGAGCTGTTTGTTGTATATAATTAGAGCTTCTCTGGGAGAGGGAACTGTTCCTGGGAGAGACTGTTGCTTTAAAGAGCCCTCACTCACACCTGTGAGCTGGGATACTAAGGCCAGTTTCTCATCTCCTATTTTTGGACTGTGTCCACATAACCCTTTGTGAAAAAGTTAGAACTTATGCTCTAATAACCACTTTGCTACTGCAATATACTGCAGATGTGCTCACATGCATGCAGATGTTTGATGAGTACTAAAAACATATGACATAAACACTGGAGGTATTCTATTGGATGATGATTTGTTTTCAGGCCAAATTTAAGACCTGGAAGGCCTTCAATGGCTTGAGTCAGTGATCTGAGGTCCAGTATAGAATCTCTGTTGTTGGCGCTGTTTCTTTCAGGATTACATTGTCCTCAGAAATCAATAAGTTGTGTTCAATTGATGGCACACTTTTAGGGAATCCATTACCATTTGTGATTTGTCAGATTTGAAAACCTGGTGCATATAGATAGGCTATTAAACCTTTTATTTTAAAGCAGACTTTTCACTTCCAAGTGTGATGGAGCTTAGTTTGCTTTGTAACCATTTCCCTTCTGTTAAGATAATGCTGTTATTTTTTAAGATACCTTCATAGTGGTTTATTTTGAAATATGGATTCTATCCTGATACTATATTTGCTGTCAATAATAGTCACCTACTTTACAAAATGTGGCTATTCTTAGACTAGAGTAACTCAGGGATAAGAACCTGTTTGATTTCTTAATTTGGTTTCAAATGCTCTCTGTGTTGTTTCTATGTCACTAGAGGGATGGGGAAAAGATAGGTGCTGTGGTACCTAACTTATGGAAAAGCTTCCCAAAGGAGCTTTCTTTGATCTCCTCTTTCCCTGCTTCTAAGCAAGTTCTTTAGAGTGTTTTTATTCTAAGCTCTATTCTTTGCTGTGATCTGTTGTTGCTGGTTTGTTCTTTATTGTTTGGAGCTGGTATAGCTCTGTGGCTAAAGTTGCAGTTCTATACACACCTTCCTGAGGATCCCATAGAAGGTAATGGGCTTACTTCTGAGTTGGCATGAATTGCATTGTAAAAGACTGCACTGGAAATCAGCAAGTCTCCAGTTTGAATCTTGCCTCTGTCATGATGTTCTTAGGTGTTCTTAGGCAAGTCACTTCCTTTCCTTTCCTTTCCTTTCCTTTCCTTTCCTTTCCTTTCCTTTCCACCTCAGTGCTCCATCTGTAATATGGGGCAATAATGTTGACTTACAAGTTGCCTGTTGCTAGATAATGCATGTGGCATACTTTGAACATTTGAATGTGTCATAAATATACAGAGTATTATATTTTTTAACTTAATAATGTACTCATGTGATGTACTCATGTTATATACTCATGTATGTTTTATTTTGTAAGCCCTCTTATACGGTAATAAAAAGATTGTTCAATAAATGTTGAAATAGATGAATCTAGATGAAGAATCTGCTCTGGTTCATCACACGGAAAACCGGTTGAGGTGACTCATAAGACAATCATGCCAAATGTCTGATCTCTTTATCCGTAAGTATAAATGCTGGTTCTCCAGGGCTGCAGGCAATATGCCTCTGGATATCAGGTGTCCGGGAACATGAGCAGGGGAGTGTCCTGTTGCACTCAAGTCCTGGTTATGCACTTTTCATTAGGGCCCCGGTTGGCTAATGTGAGAACAGGATGCTGGACTAGATGAGCCTTTGGTCTAATCCAGCAGAGCACTTCTTACGTTACTAATATTTAATTCCTTTAATCTCATTTGCATGTATTTATGTGGCAAAATAACCAGTTCAATGCAATTTTGGCCTAAATGTAGTTCCTCCTAAAACAAAAGCAAAATGAAAACAAAGGAAGAAACAGAAGGGCTCTTCTTACACGCTGAAATACTCTTCCAGCAATACCATTTTAAGCCTGGTCTTTGATACAGAAGATTCAACAATTTCAGAAAAGGGCTGACTCATTGAATGTAGTCCTTATATTCCACAAAGGCCACATGACAAAGCTTTATGAAGCGATGGCAAGGACTTTTGTACAACTAGGATGAGAACTCTGTAGAACATCTGCCTCCTTGTCTCACTGAGGAAAAACCAAGCCATTAACCTGGCAACTGGACATCAACTAAGGTGAGAAAGGTGCAGAAGCCTCACTCTTTCATGCAGCTGATGTGTGCAAATGCATGCCATTTTTTCTCCTCTTGGCTGCCATTGCATACGTCATAAGGCAGTAGCACCATCAAGAAGGATGGAAAGAGGTATGCATATACAATCCCCTTCCATCAGTGTCTCCAACAGCCAGTACTCTGAGAGCTTTGGCGCTCCCCAAAGCAGCAGGAACAGTGGCAGGAATATTAGGAGGACTGGAGATAACAGTCAGAAGATCTCTTCCAGTATTTCCTCCATGAAGAGAGGTGTAACTAAGAACTAAAGTGACTGGACATCAGCCTGGGTTTGCCCGATACTATCAAGGGCATCTGGCATTCCAGTAACAGGTTCCTTACAAAAGAGCCTCAGGCATTCCCTCAAACAAGCAGGACAACAACTTGTCAGAAATCCAAAGCATGGGTACACTTTGTCATAATATGGTCTGGCCAAAAATGGATTGTATTATTGAGAACTGCTCTGCAATTCATCATGGCTGATTTTTTTAAATTCTAAAATAATAAATTCAAGTAGATATGTGTCTTTTTGGAAGCAGAGCTGGGCTAAAATATGGTAGTGATTCCTATATCCTTGAGTGGCTTCCTAGGCACATAGAGGTATATGTGTTTCTAAAAATATAAGGAAGAATACTTTTTAAAATGGCCTGAGAAACACTTGTGAGGTCTCAGTGCTTAAAGGGTGCTAATGGCACTTGGGCCCAGAAAGACAGAAACAACCAAAGAAGCCAGAAGTTCAGGCTGACTGAATAAGGTAACAGCCAAGCACATGTATGGGAGTATCCTCCAGGAGAGGCCTGCTGTGGCATGTGCCACAATGGATGAATGAAGCCAGCAGGGCTCTCCTAAGCAGCTGCTCATCTGGTGGTGCTCGTGGGTACTCTGAAGGGGCATAAAATGCTTTGGTTCCAGGCAGGTGTCCTCCAGCCCTGTGGGACATTATAGAGAAAAAATCTTTCCTTCTCCCACAAGGTCTTAAAAGGATTACAAGACCTTTGAGCCTGGCTGGAGCCCTGAAGAGGAACACTCCTCTTTGGGTCTGCAAATTCACTACAACATTTTGTTGCAGGCCCTATTTATGATAAACAAATCACATGTTTACAAGGGCACATTAGATCTATTTGAAAAGTTGTGCATTATTTTCAGTTGCTTTCCATGGATAGCAAGAAGCTCTAAAAATAGCTTTCTTAGCAAATTATTTTATTAGTTGTTTACTTTCTTACACTTCTATCTAGAGGCATGTGTACTTTAAAATGGATAGTTTTCTCTGTACATGGTTAATCAGTTGCTTCTAAGTTGCATTTCTTTTCTGTCTGTACTAACTTTCAGACTATGAGCTTTATTATCTATAGTGGTTACTGTTTTTAGGTGAAATCTACCTTTATATGATGAGCCTTACAAAGCCCAGACTGATTTATGTATTAATTTAACTCTATGTTTGTTTTAGCTACCTTTTTATTTCAAGTGGATAGCAAGGCTTTTATGTCATAAAAATTAAGCATAAACAGTCTACTCTAGGCATTATGCTGACTGAGGAGAAAACACAAAATGAGAGTCTGCCTGCCTGGATCTTGCTGGCCCTCATGCTCAGTCTAGGAACCTGCAACTCTGCGGGAACCAAAATGACCACTCTGAAAGAAGCAGGTAATGGAGGGAAGTGGCAGACAGTCATGAATGTGCTTTGATTTAACTGGATTTATAATGCAAAGTGGAACATGCTCAGAGTATTTATGTTTATTAGGGCTGTCAAACTGCTTTTTTGTTTTGCGCTAGCATATTAGGAAAGTAGAGGCAGTGGTAAAGGATGAATGGTGGGGTGCAGGGGAAAGAAAAGTTAAGCGTGCTTCAAAATTGATGTAATACCCCAGGGCCATCCAAATGTCCCCCTCCTCCAAAAGACCATTAAGTTCAGGGTCTAAAGTAACTTATTTGGACCAGTGGATTGGTGTGATATACAACCCCCTCCTCCCAGGAACACTTTTAATTAACAAGTTGGAATACCTCCATGAGCTGTACGTGGGACTGCCTTTGAAAACAGTCCAGAAACTTCAACTGATCCAAAACAGGGCAGCAGGACTGTTGATGGGGACTGGCTCAAGGATCGCATCAGTCCTCTTCCAGCTGCACTGGCGCCAGTTGAACTCTGGGCCCAATTCAAAGTGCTAGTGCTAACATTCCAAGCCCTAAACTTTGAACATTACCCACACCCTAGTAACTCTTTGAAGGGACTATTGTAATGTGTTCTATGTAGGGCTGCCCTTGAAAGTGGCCCACAAACTTCTAATGGTGAAAGCAGGGTGGCACGACTACATTGGTCACCAGTTGAGCTCTGAAATGTAAAGCCCTAAATCATGGGTCCTCAAAGTACTGGATGGCGGTGGACATATCCGCCCCGCCATTCCCATGTATCCAGCCCACCTCAGAGGTGTTGGACTCCCTGCGCCTGTGCCCACCGCCGCCACTGCCTGCCTTGCCACGCACGCACTCGCAGAGATCATTTTGGACTTGAGCAAGCCACCGCCTCGCCGCGCATGCATGTGCCCACCGCTGCCTCACTGGCCTGTGCCCGTGGGCACCCCCACCTCACTGGCCTGCACCTGCCACCGCTGCCTTTCAACTGGCCCCCTGTTGAAAAAGTTTGAGGATCCCTGCACTAAATGGCTTGGGACCAGGATATCTGAAGGACTGCTTGCTCCCATATGCATTGGCCCCTGAGATAGGTTTCAGAGGCCCTTCTGAAAGAACCTTCCTCCAAAGGGGCAGGAAGGACTGCAAATAGAAGGCGGCCCTTCTCAGTGGTTGCGTCCCACCTATGGAACAGCCTCCAGAAAGCAGTTCACCTGGCACCTTCATTGCAATCTTTTTGGTGCCAGGCAAATACAACTTCATTTTCTATACATTTTAACAATTGCTTTTATCTTGGACAATTTTAAAGGTATTTGTTTATTTAATATTGATGTTTTAATCTATACTGTTTTAAATTCTCATTCTTCAGCTGTACACTTTTTTTGGATATTGTTAGGTGTTTTATTTGAAAATGTGTTTTTTTTAATTATTACATTTTAATATTTTTTTTAATTTTTAAAATTAAATTCTGTTGTAATCTGTTTAGAGAGCCCTTGAGAGAAACATGAGAAATATAAGTTTTTAAATAAATAAATGGCTTGAGGCCAGGTTATCTGCAGGATTGCTTCATTCCATATGTACCTACCAATGTACCTACCAGGAACCTGAAGTCCTCTTCAGGGGTCTTTCTCCAGAATTCCTTCCAAAGGAAGTGAGGAGGGTAGCTACCAGGAGGAATGCCTTTTCGGATGTAACACCCTGGTTGTGCAGTGACCCCCCAAAAAAGATGTGCCTAGTGCCTACTTTGTATTATTTTTTGCACCAAGTGAAGACCTTTTTATTTTCCAAGCATTTTAACACTTTAACTTTTAAACTCCATTTTTAATATTGCATTTTAATCTGTACCACTGCTATGCTTGTATTGTATTCAGTTGCAATTTATTTATTTATTGAAACATTTATATGCTGTCCTTTGCCGCAGCCTCAGGATGGCTTACAAAAATATCAATATAAGTAACAATAAAATAATACACATCTCAATAAAAACAATCAATAAACAATACATAATCCAATAAATAATAAAAATAAATCAAATCAAAAATATCAAATTGAATAATCAAAAGTGACAGTTAAAAAACAATGAAATACTAATTTTTAAAATACCGTTTAAATAAGGATTTAACTTGGTGCCAAAAAGAATATAAACTCGGCGCCAGGCAAACCGCTCTGGGGAGTGCATTCCACAATCTGGACGCCACCACAGAGAAGGCCCTATTCCGAGTAGATGTGCATTTTACCTCCTTCAAGGAGGGTTCCCAGAGTAGGGCCTCTCCCGTAGATCTCAAGGGGTGTGAGGGCAGATAAGGAAGTCTTGTAGTTTTGTTGTTTTAAGTCAATTTTATTTTGTGTATGTTTTACAATTTTCTTAACTTTTGTTAATTCTACAGAGATCCCTGCCTATTGGATGGTATACAAATGCAATAAAAACAATAATGCACAATCCAGAGGTCCTGCTCTGGGAGCTTTCTCTAAAGGAAGGTAGGAGGATGGCAACCCACGGCAAGACCTTCTCAGTTGTGGTGCCCCATCTATGAAATTGTTTTCTCAGAGACAGTCTCTAAGTGCCATCCATATACACATTCCAATGACAGACCAAGGTGCTTTTATTAAGGAGCACTTACTTGTTGATTATTTTAGTTAGACTTTGATTTTAATTAATATTTTAAATTCATAATTGTGATGTTTTAGGATCTTTCCAATCTGTTGTTAAACTGTAAGTTGATGTTCCTGCTATGAGGGTGATGTTACCTTATTTTTTATTATTTATTGGTATTGTTGTTTTAATTGTTTATATATGAAGTTTTATGTTGTTGGTTTTTGTTATGTAAACTGCCTAGGGAACAGTGGGGCTGGTATATAAAAGTGCTAAATAAATAAATAACCCCTCAGAGGAAGGAAGATGTTCATCTATGCTTAGTGCTATGCCTGTGCATGAGGCGACTGTTAACATAGTGCTGTGTTTGGTACCCCCCTCTTGCGCCTGGTGATGGCGGTGTCACATGACTACTATTTTAATTTTCCCCAGTGTAATGCTGGTCTTGAACAGTGTAAGAAATTTAAAATAATGGTTTGTGCGGGCTACCCAGAGCAAGCATCAGCACTGGGGGCCCTCTTAGAAGGCTTGGCCTTAGCAACTTGGATTGAGGATGCCAACTCCTATGCATGTTTTACACTAAATTCTATTATGTATATACAGCAAGCTAACAAAGACCAGGATGAATTTAGTCTTTATGTATACAGTTTATTAATAGACACTGTTGCAGAAGAGCAGTTTTAGAATGTTTTTTAAAAAGTGCATTTAGTTTGTTGCAATTTTAAAATTGCTGTAAACCTGTCTTGACAAATAATAGATTCTGTTGCACAGTTTACAGATAATATCCAGATGGTTTTTGGACCACATAAAACAAATGGAGGCTGCACTTCTATGCTTACCTGGGAATTTCCCCTGAACTTAATACTTCTGAGTGAACATGTATTGTTGCACTGTGAATTTTTCAGCTTGAACTTGATATTTTAAGTGGCTATTCTTTTACAAAGAAGCACACAATGCACTATAACATTTGTTACCATTTATTTTTCAGGACTCAGGATGCAACTCAGAAGTTGCAACCATGTGGATATTAGTGTAAGCTCCAGGTTGTCAAAAGTCTTTGGGCAAGACACCGTCACTGGCCCACTCCTGCAGCGAGTCTGCCTTCTCACTGCTATTGTCACCAGCTCATCTACTTCCTCATCTCTGCTGCTTGCTTGATAGGTAGAGGCAGTGAGTGAGCAGCAGTTACTTATACTGCTCTTCTTTCTCACTACTGTTGTTGCCTGGACCAGAGAGAAAGGCGGTTGAACAACTATGTCACAATGGTGAAGAGAAAGACCAACTCCAGACAGCTCCAGTTAATGGACCCTTGCTAAGGTGTTGGTTGTTGGTAGGTAAGCAACCATGTCTACCCTTGACGCCAGCCCTGTGTTATGCCTCCACTAGGATTAGCCCAGGGTAGGGGCCCCAGGGAGGATGCCTGTGAGACTGTCCACAGAAGACAAGAGTGCTGCCTCTGAGACAGAGACCAAATGACCACTTAGCTCCTGTGAGCATCAGTGGCTCAAGAGGCAGGCCAGTAGGCAGGCCATGAAAAAAAAGTGCTTAGATCCAAAGAAGAGTTCCCCAAGAACCAAAGCCTGTAATACATTTCAGCTGAATCCTGAATGAGGCTTAGGCTATATAAGCTTTCTGTTAATGTCTGCTAACTGCTGGATTTTCTTAACCAGATTGAAGTGCTGTGGATTCTTGGTCTTGTCCTGTGACTGAATTTTTGTGCTATTGACCATTGAACTCTCTACCTCTTTAAGTGCATTTGGATCTGGATTTTGGCTGTGCCTTTTTGAATTTTCCCTCTAGCCTAGTAATACAGTGTCTTTGACTATTGTCTGTTCATTGACTATTCCTACCTTGAACTCCTGACTTGGAGGAATGATGCTGCTGCGCTTCACCTTTTGCCTGTTTACAGACTTGACCCAGCCTAAGCAGGACAACTCCAGATGAGGTAACCATTAATTCTCTTGCCCCTTTCCTTCCCTATTTGTAACTAATGGCTGCAAAACAGACAGCAATTCAAGTGTAACCTGTATTCAGGATAAAGTTCTATTTGTTGAATTTATCATGTTTAAAGCATAGAGTCATTGACTGGAAAAAGTGCATCCACAGCCTTCTGAAGCCCTTGGTAGTGCTCCTTGGGTTCTAATCAAAAATATATTGGGTTATCTGTTTAAAGAAACTCAAGATGGAATTTATTTAGGTTTAGGTTTCACACCTTTTAAAACTATTCTTTATTTGTGCACATTTCTTTTGGCTTCAAAAGTCACAATTATCAATTGAAATTAATTCTTTCTTCTAATCAAGCCAGCACCATTATCTGGTGAAGTGGGATAAACAGGCTTGATGTTATAATTAATTTCAGCCCCTGGCTTTGTTGTTTTAAGTTGATTTTATATTGTGTATTTTAATTTTTAAGCTTTGTTACCCACCCAGAGAACCTTGGCTATCTAGTGGTATAAAATGAAACAAACAAACACTATCTAAAATACAGTATATGTACAGTTCTCACATAGAGGAGGAGGAAGGAATGAATCCCTGTGAAAGCCAGTTCACTGTACACCAATGTCATAAAAAAGCATCTCCACAATTATGTAGTGAGTTAGCTTTGTAAACTTCAGAATTCTTTCCAAAGTTTATATACCCTTTAGTACAAGTTTATTTCCCTATCCATAAAGAGATAGCTGTAGAGAATAAATGAAATAAATTGAAAAAACCCTTGCATTTTCTTTAATCTTTAAAATGAAGAACAGCAATATAAATTTAAGAACAAAATTACAGTACTGGCATTTTGGCATTGGCATAGATATTTTTACTGTGTAACTCAAAATGTGTTCCTTCTATAGTTTTGTACTGTTAATCAGCTTTATAACTCTTGCATTTCATAGCAGTCTGTACATTATCTAAATATTTTGAGTTTCATCATTATTTTGTCAGTTCAAATAATTTAATACTAAGTAAGTCTTCTTCCTTCTAAAACATCAAGTATATCATTCAGAGTATATTCAAGGCATTTCAGAAGTCCATCTAAATCGTCTTCTAAATAGCTAGTTATAATACAACCTATCCAAGTATCAAAAACATTATATCCAATACCAAAACCATCTGGCACCACTGGTCCAAAACCACCATGATGAATTGCTGGACTGCTTAATGTGCTAGTTGAAATTATAATGTGGTTTATGCTTTTGTAGGCTTCGTCATTATAAAAATTGGGAATACGTCCACCTCTTCGTTGGACAAGGTACTTCAAGGCAAATAAATGGCGATCAAATCCTTGGCCTGAATAAAAAGAGGACAAATGCATGGAATAGAGAGAGTAGGTAAATATTTATAAAAATGAACTCATGGTGGATAGTGAGAAAACAGACACCATTCAACCAGTTTTAAGGACTGAGTGAGTTCAATGGCAAAACTAGGGAGCTGCTTCATCTATTGAAATCAATCTGCTTTCAAAGTGCTTAACATTAGGTGGTTATTCCTCGGAACTGTTATTCTATTTTACTTAATTTCTGGTATCTCAACAACCATATAAAATTTATTCTTCATATTATGAATTTTATAATGCAATCCTCCCCCCCCACCCCCCACACACAACCAGACTGACCCTGTTTGAGTGTCACAAAATAGCCCATAGATTGTTAAAACCTGGCATCTGAGTTCATCCTCCAACAACTCAGTTCTGGATTCACACATCATGCTCAACAACTCAGAAATGTCCCTGGAATTTTAGTACAGCAGGAGTGGGTAAGCGGTCAAATGCTAGCTTGCTTGCCTGCTCTTCTTGCTCAAAATAATATTTCTGCTTTTATCTAATGTCTTATTTTTCCCTCCAAATGCTCTCAGTTCCTTTTCTTGCTCATTTGTTATCTCTGCTCCTTTATGACAGCATCTCCTTGTTATTCCACAGACCAAGTGGCTAAATCTCAAAACTAACTTAAGCAAAACAAAACCTTAAAGGGATACATTTATATATACATTTGGGATTCAAACAGAAAGAATTGTGACACCTCAAAGCTTCTTTGTACTGAAAATATGACACTGAAAACGAACTTGCATGCTACATAGAGGCAGAGCATAATTAACTTGATTTTGTTGCAATGTAAAAATTTTATCCAGAGATAATCACCAGAGCTGACACATTCCATGGTGACCTTGCCTACACATTAACAGTGGCATTCAGTGGCAAACAGTGGCTTTCCCAGAAATTGTGGAGATGCTCACTGAATTCCAACAACTTCCTATTAATGCCACATTCATAATTGTTAGTGATTTGGCTGAACACAAGTATTGTGGGTTGTTTAACCCACAAACAACCCAACATTAATCCAACAAACCATGGACTAATTTTCCATTGTTTAACTTATGAACAACCTAAATTGGCTGGATCTAGACATCATGGTAACTATCTATAAATGTATCATGTTAAGATTGTTGCTGAAAACCGCAAACAACATATGACACACATTCTCACAATTCTTAGGTTAATTCATGTACCACTGAAACAGCCCCAACCTGTTAAACTCACTTTTATGTAACATGCAAATTGGCTCTCAAAGCACCTATAGTGTGGAACATCTAAGTATGGTTAATGGTTTCTAGAAAGCATTTTTACAATGCAGTGTATTTTCCATTCTATTTAGAGCTATGTTAAAAACAAAAACCTATTTCCCCATAACTTGCGGAAGTGGCCTTAATTGATAGCTCATAATTATTGTGAGGAGTATCCCAAATTTACTAAAGTGTATCTTAGAAGAAAAGTGTTATATACATTAAAGACAATGAGCTGGTTTGCACAATATAGCAATATGGCAAATTACTGTGGATTGAAGAGCCTACAATGAACCATGGTGTGTGTTGGGTGTTCGTAGTTAGCATTTTGAATATCATCTCCTAACTGAGGTGATCAAAGGCTCAGCAATATTGTGCAAACCTGGCCACTACAGTTTATTCTAGAATTAAGCAACCCTCACATAACCCTGATTAGCAGTAGGATTATGCAAGGATTATTTAGTTCTTGAATAACCCATAGTGGTCAGGTTCACATGTAATGACAAGTCAAAGAGGAAGCTACATGAGTACGGCTTGTTCGGATATTTGAATCCAGCATCCATGGTGAAGCACAGTATGTTTGGTTTATATAAAACCACACAGAAAAACAACAGTTTGTTGTAAGGTTTCTGTGCTTCACCATGACTTCTTCTGCAGTCTGAACCAGGGTAGAATGTTTCTGTGTGGTTTCCATGTTTCTGCCATAGAGTTTTAGACATTCCTGCCTTCACTTGGTGTTGTCCAAATCTGCCTGGCAACTATTGAGTTGCTGGCAGCATCACAGTGACTGGCTGCTCTGTGCTCCCTTTCTTCTCTGCCAGTACATAATGGGATCTTGCTGACAGCAGGGCATTAAGCCACACCAGCTCCAGCAGCAGTGACTATGGAGACTGGCACTCCCCTCTGCACTCAGTGGTGCCTGGTAAGCATGCTGTCTTTGCAAAATATAGTGATGCCCTGGTCTTCTTCCAGGAAAACTGCCCTGCACAGGAAGAGCACATGGGCTGTGCATGGGACACTGGGTGTCCTAAGGAGCCCATGCCACGCACCCTCTCCTTTGCTCCCATCCTGTCCTTCACAGTCCTTGGGACTCTCAGCAAGTCCCATTGTCTCCTATTTCCCCACTATAGCTGAAGGACAAGCACTGCCCTAGTAGTATGTTGGAAAACTTTCCCAGGCAGATGCCCACATGGGCACCCTTTGGAAAATCTGCCCAGCAAGATGCATTACCTCCATCCCTGGCATTGGTGTCCAAACTGAAGTTCTTCATGTGCCTAGCTGCAGGAAGTGAGGCAGTCCTGTTGCAGCGTGTGCAAATCCCGCACATGGGAGGGGAGGGGAAGAGGAGGGGAGGGGAAGGTGTGATTGGGAAGGTTTGCTTGCATACTGGTACCAAGTGTGGCAGCAACAAGGAGAGCTCCTGTAGTGATCCTCTGGAGCAACTGTGCTGCTCAAGTGACTAGGCAATTGCTCTACAGAGCAGCAAACAAAGAAAAGGCAGCCAGCTGTGGCCATGCTCAAGGGAATATGTGGGCTAATGAGGGGGAGACAGGCAATGAAGGCAGGAGTGGTGCATGCTGGGATTGATTTCCAGCTGCAGGGGCTGAAAGGATACCAGACACCATTTGAAGAGAAGATGAAAATGTATGGGAAACATGCATGCATTGAAACCAAGCACTTGTCTGAACCTAGGAAACTAATAAGACAACATGCCACATGGTTACCATGCCTACCACTACATGTGAAGGCACCTTACATGGCACAACCCTTGATTGCCCTGATCAGGGCACCTATGAAGCAGCCAATGATGAGTTCAATCATCCAGAACAGCCTAGCCATATCGTGCAAACTAGCCTGAGGTATTTTAAATTGTTAACACACTCTATACTCCTCAGCAATATCTTTGGTTAAACTAAGAAAGCCAGAATGAAAAATACTCATTCCCACATAAAAACTCCTACAAAACTCACCCCTTCTGTAAGACATGGCAAACAGAAACCCCATCTTTTAAACTGTGTTTATACAGTTAAATATTTCAGCAGGATTTCCTGAAGAGAGCCAGTCCTAAAAAGACTATCACAATAAATAATTATAATAAATATAATATAGAAAAATATGGCAAAATGTTGAAAAGACCTAACCTAATGTAGCTTCCAGCTGCAAGCGTCTATGATACTTTGAACAGTCATCAATCATGTTTCTCATATCTTCAATGCTATGTTTTCCTCGTTCATCAATAAATGCAACTGTACATTTTCTTGTGTACACAGATGTTGGCCGAATTGTTTCAGTGCGACCATGTTTAAAAGCTGCAGTACTACATGCTTCATAAGAAGGAAGTAGTTTTCCATAATGGCGATAGATGGCCATTTGACAGCCAAGCTGAAACACAGCATCAGGGCTTAATTTCTGGTTCACTGCAAACTGTTTCCCAAACTTTTCATATCTAAATGATTTAACACATAACTGTTTTCTTTTTTCATCAAATTTTATACGTGCAGCATTTATAGCTGATGTTATTGTGTGACCCATAGTAAATTCCAGTTTGTCACATGCTGCAACAAAAATGGCTGGACTGGCTTCTGGTACAAGAGCTGGATGATCTGTACTGTCTCTATAGACTTCGTTAATAAAACGTAGAACTGCAACTCCATCTCCCCAAGAGTGTTCAAAATTTATTCCTGCAGTGCCATCACTAGTGACTATCAGACTAAAGGATTTGTCAAACCAGCGATTGAAACCATATCCATGAAGAAAAGAATGAGTGAGTTCAAGTTCATCTTGTTGGGGAGTTTTATCTAAACAAAGGCAAAAGACTGCACTGTCAATTTTCTTTAGGCTTTCTGCATTACCTTTCTGGATAAGTTGCTGTCTTAGAGTTGCCCAAACATTTCTTTCTTCAGTTGTCAGATAGGAAAGCTCAAACCCAGGCAATCGATCAGCATCATGTATTATTTGTGTTAAATGAGCCTGAATTTCAGATGGGTGTAGAATATTACCAAAAGGATCTAATACTTCAAAAACATAAAGATGACCATTTCTCATAACCAACAAATGTCTTGCAAATTCACTTGTGAACAATGTATCTTTGCTTAAATTAGGAATTCTTGTACTGTTGAAGAGAAACTTATACTGCGACATATCTAAAGGATAAGCATTCACCAAATATGCTCCATACCAGGATAAAGTAGGTGGAAGAATACGGATAAAATGTTTAAAAATTTTACTCTGACCCCATTTGCGGTTTACATAATATATATCTGGCCGCAAATAGTCATTCTTCAGGGAGTTCAGAAACTTTAACGATGATACTACCAAATTTGTTGCTCTCACTATTTGATTGTTGTATCCTGGCTTTGGATCAGGATTTAAAGCAATAAATGGATTGCTGTTAAAAACAATTGGATCTCTTGCAGAAAGATACATATCATACCAGGGTTCTAAAAAAACAAAAACAATCAAGTTAATGAATACACATTTAGCACTTTCGTATATAAATACATTTGTATAATTTCCAATTATTTGGATTCAACAATACTTACCTTTTTGTTTCAAATCACAAAAAGCAAGTTATAAAAGTTAAATAATAAAGTAAAGGAGAGTAGATGTAAGACTCCAGGCATATTAACATCATGGAGTACCAAGGCCAGAGTGTGAAGTCAGTGTATCAGAAAATCAGTGTTTTCAAGGGATCCTGAAAAGGGACTTATCCCACTGCAGGCAACAGCAAGTCCAACAGGCAAGGATAGTTATCTATACTGCATTCTTATCT